TTACAATTGTTATTTTTTGGGAGCAGGGGTGCCAGTATAGGAGGCACATGCCAGAACTATTGTACATATTTTTAGTGGTAGGGGAAACCGGAGCACCCGGAGGAAACCTACGCAGACACGGGGAGAACATGCAAACTCCACTCAGAAAGGCCCTGGTCCAACCGGGATTCGAACCCAGGACCTTCTTGCTGAGAGGCATGAGTGCTATCCACTCAGCCACCGTGCCGCCGGTGCCGCCGGTGGCTGAGTGGTGGAGCAGTTATCTGCAGAGTTGGAGGCGATGAAATCTGCATTCCAGGCACGTTGTGCTGCTGATGCCGTCTCTGGGGCTGGTTCTTGCTCCATGCCATCCCTCCATCCGGAAGAGGATGTGCTTTCTCTGGCAGCCTCTGCTTCGTGCTTCCGGGACGAGGATGACGCGCGGTCCCTTTCGGGGGACGGTTCTTATTCTTCCGCGCATAGTGTGTCCAGCCGGTCTGGTGACGGCTCAATGCAGGAGGTTTTTCGCAGGGCCTTATCCCGTCTGCAGCTAGAACTTCCCCAGTCGGGACAGGCTGACCCTGGCAGTGCTTTTTTCAGGCGTGGTGGTTCGTCTCCTGCTTTTGTTGTGCCCCCGTCCGCGGAGTATCTGCGGCTGGGGTCCGCGGCTGGACCCCAGCCATTTCTCTAAGCTTTCGGCTGAGGGTCGGGCTTTGGCCGCGATGCTCGATGCCTCTTCGGCTGGCCTGGATTGCATGCCTGCTGTTGAGCCGGCTGTTGCCTCCCTCATTGTTTCCCCAGAGGAGTCCTTGCGGGAGAATGTGAGGTGACCTCGGAGCCAGTGTCGTGCGACTGATCACTTGCTAACAAAGGCCTACAATTCTGGTGCTCGAGCTGGCCGTATTGGTAACTCCTTAGCGCATCTGCTGCTTGCCCTGTCTGCCTCCCTCCAAGAGGGTAGTGCTGTGGGCACTGATGTTACTGCGTTTAGCGACGCAGCTCTGCATGCGTTTGCCTTGATGACCAGGGAGCTCGGACGGGTCATGTCGGTCCTTGTACAGGCTCGTCGGCAGGTATGGCTGGCTCAGTCTCCCCTGACTGAGGCCTGTCGTAGGACCCTCCGTGACATGCCTGTCGAGCCGGGTCAGTTGTTTGGGACGGCGGCCCAGGAAGCATTGGACCGGACTGTCCATGCTGGTCAGACTAGACAGCAACTTTCTAGCCTTAGCAGGGTGGTGCGCCCTCCCCGGCAGTTTTTGCGCCCGATGGTGGCCCCCAGTGTTCGGCAGCCTCCTCGGGATTGGTCTGGTGCTCAGCGTTATCCCCAGGTCAGGCCTGCCGGGAATTTTCGTGCCCCACCCGTACACAGGCGCCCGACCCGCCAGCCAAATGGCGCCGCGGCTGGTCCTGGGCGAGGTCCCCCCAGAGCCCCTAGGGGGCGGGGGGCGCGGAATTGACGCCTCAGGGCCGGGCGTCGGACATTTTTCCCATCAGCAGCTCGAGTGTTGGGCTGCTCGAGCTCGAGATCCGTGGGTGGTTGCCACATTGACCCACGGATACCGTCTGCAATTCCGACGCCGGCCGCACTTGTCGGGCCGGGTCAAGGTTACTTTGATCTCGGACCCGGCAAAAGCCTTTATCTTGGATCAGGAGCTCTCCGCCCTCCTGACCAAGGGTGCCATCGAGGCGGTAGATCCGCTGCTGCAACCCAGGGGTTATTACTCCCGTTATTTTCTCGTGCCCAAGAAGACGGGGGGTTTTCGACCAATTTTGGATCTGAGGGGCTTGAATCATTTCCTGAAGGTCATTCCCTTTCGCATGCTGACGACTGCGGAAGTCCTTCAGACTGTTGGGGCCGGGGAATGGTTCACGTCCGTAGATTTGAGGGACGCGTATTTTCACGTGCCCATTGCGCAGCCCCACCGGCGGTTCCTCCGGTTCGCCTATCGGGGCGTTCACTGGCAGTTCAGGGTTCTTCCCTTTGGCCTCTCTCTCTCTCCGAGGGTTTTCACTCGATGCGTGAAGGCGGCTCTTGCTCCGCTGCAGGCCAGTGGCATGAAGGTGTTGCCTTATCTGGACGATTGGCTGATCTGCGCTCCGTCCAGGGCACGGTCCTTGGAGGATACGGAGCGCCTTCTGACTCATGTCGCCCGCTTGGGTTTCAGGGTCAATTTCGAGAAGAACAGCCTGGTGCCTTCGCAGGCCGCTGTTTTTCTTGGCCTGAGTCTGAACACGGTGACTATGACGGCGAGTCCTTCAGTGCACCGCCTGGTCGACATCCACGGTGTGTCCACGGGCAGCACTCGGGCTGCTTTCGCTTCGCCCGTTGCAGAGGTGGCTGAACGGGTTTCGTTTGGATGCAGTTCGTCACCGCCACAGACGGTTGCAGGTGACGTGGGCATGTTTTCGTGCTTTGGCTCCATGGAGGGACCGGGGTCTCCTGTCGGGGTCCCCTTGGGGGTGGTGGTGTGCCGCAGGGAAGTGGTCACCACCGACGCCAGCCATACGGGATGGGGTGCTTTGTGGCAGCACAGGTTGGCCCGAGGGGTTTGGTCTCGGGCAGAGCGCTCAGACCACATAAATGTACTGGAGCTGCGGACCGTCCACCTTGCTCTCCATGAGTTTTTGCCTCACCTGCTGGGGAAACATGTCTTCATCCGTTCGGACAACACCTCGGTCGTGTATCACATCAACCATCAAGGGGGTGTCCGATCGGCTCGGCTCCTCGAGGTGTCTCAGGCGCTGCTGGTTTGGGCTGCGCCTCGCCTGTCTACACTGCGTGCAGCATATCTGCCAGGGGACTGCAATCGCGTGGCGGACTCCCTGTCTCGCGGGAGGCCTGCCCCGGGGGATTGGTGTCTCCATCCCAGTGTGGTCCAGAGGATATGGGGCCTTTTTGGTCAGGCACAGGTGGACCTATTCGCTTCGGTGGCCTCCACTCATTGCCCTCAGTTTTTTTCCCTGGACGGGGCTCCGGGCTCTCTCGGCCAGGATGCCCTGGCGCACAGTTGGCCTCAGGTCCTCTTGTACGCCTTCCCCCCCTTTTCCTCTGATCTGGCCCACCCTCCAGAGAGTCCTTCGGGCGGGGCACAGGTTGTTGCTGGTGGCTCCGTTTTGGCCTGCACAGCCCTGGTTTCCACTGCTACTCAGACTTTGTTGGGCTCCCCCCTGGCCTCTCCCTCCCAGGCGGGATCTGCTCTCACAGCTGGACGGTCAGGTGTGGCATCCCTGTCCTCACCGCCTCAAGTTATGGGTGTGGCCGTTGGCTGGCCCGAGCTGCGGGTGCTCGATGTCACTGGCCCTGTCAGGCGTACACTCCTGAATGCCAGGGCAGCCTCTACTCGGCGGATGTATGAGAATAGGTGGAAGTTGTTCTCCCGCTGGTGTTCTTCCCGCGGTCGGGATCCCGTGTCGTGCCCGGTGGCGGTTGTCCTGGAGTTCCTTCAGTCTCTCCTGGATGAAGGTCGTGCCCAATCTACTCTGAAGGTATATGTTGCTGCTATTTCATGTTATCATGGCCAGGTTGATAACTGTACTGTGGGGGGCCATAACCTGGTGTCTCTCTTTTTACGCGGAGCTCGTAGGCTGCACCCTCGCGTGCCCGCACAGTCTCCGGTTTGGGACCTGGCCTTGGTGTTGGAGTCTCTCTGCCGCCCTCCGTATGAGTCATTGGCCCGAACGGACCTTAAGTGGCTCTCCTATAAAACTGCTTTCCTGTTGGCTGTGGTCTCTGCAAAAAGGGTCGGTGAGTTGCATGCACTTTCTGTCAGTCCCTCATGCCTACACTGGGATCTTGAGAAGGCTGGCGTGGTCTTGTGGCCTAATCCCACTTTCCTCCCTAAGGTGCTTTCCCGTGACTATTGTAACCGGCCTTTGAGGTTGGCGCGGTTTGTGTCTCCCCTGGATGGGGGTGGGGACAGACTGCACCTGCTGTGTCCTGTGAGGGCATTGGAGGCCTACGTTGCTGCGACGGCGGGTGTGAGGCGCTCAGACCAGCTCTTTGTTGCTTATGGTGGTGCTAGACTGGGAAGTCCACTTTCGAAGCAACGCCTTTCCCACTGGGTGGTTGATGTTATCAGTCAGGCGTACGTTTCGGCCGGCCGCGACCCGCCAGCCGAGGTGAGGGCCCATTCTACCAGGGGTGTTTCTACCTCCTGGGCCGCTATGCGCGGGGTGCCGTTGGGGACTATTTGTGCTGCTGCGTCTTGGGCTACACCAAGCACGTTCACCAGATTCTACAACATCAATGTGGCCACTCCAGCTCCTCTTGGCGTGGTCCTTCAGGAATCCTCTGGCTCTCCTTCGTGAGGTGTGTGGTCAAGATCCTTCGTGACATAGCTGGTATAAGGTCATTCAGTGCTATGCACCGCCCTCTGGCGGTCAGAGGGGATGAAATAGAACGAGGGTTACGTATGTAACCACTGTGCTATGAATCCCGGATGACCGCCAGAGGCGCTCTGTCACTCAGGGTCCTTGTGTCCGCGAGAAGATTCTGCAGGAACAGAGTGCTGGATGACGCTGGACTTTATTACCTCCGGTGTGTCATCCAAGGGGTCACAGGTGTGACTCATTTGGTATTATTACTCGAACTGCGCATGCGCGAAGGGAACATTCAGTGCTATGCACCGCCCTCTGGCGGTCATCCGGGATTCATAGAACCGTGGTTACATACGTAACCCTCGATTTAACAGCTGGAGGCAGTGTCCATAAGGAGCAGACCTTTACTTTTGTGGGAAAAACACACTGAATGTGTCCATCACATGTTAAACCTCTGGAAACACAGGAACCATCACAGTCAGAGACAGAGGCATGAATGAAGACAATATCTATTAGTCCTAAGGTTAAGAACAGGTTTGAAAGAGTTGAAAGTTAAAAAAAAATGCAGTTTCTTGTAAGAACCATCAGAAACGTGAAAAGATTAGAAATACTTTTATAATCTGTGAATGCAGTTTTTTGTCTCATACAAGAAAGAAATAAATGAATGATTCCTGAAGTCTGGGATATGTTGAAAGTGCTGTTACCGATGGGCTGGTCGGCCTCCAGGTCCAGGGCAGGGGGGGTGTAGATGCGGTTGTCCCGGTACTGGACGTTGGGCGTTGCCACGGGGATGTCCATCAGCGACGGGAGCTTCTCATTGGTGAACGGTTGCCCCGGCGTCCTGGGGCTGGAGTTGGTGTCGTCCCAGTCTTTCAGGTACGAGTTCAAATCATCCACGTCCAACTCGTCGCTGCTGCTGCTGCGTCCTGAGGGAAGAACACTTTCATTTTAGTCAGATTCACCAAACCCTGGGAACCCAAACCCCGGTAACCCCGACCTTCACTGGTTTAAAGGGGACATATCATAAAAAATCCACTTTTTGTGCCTTAAATGCCTTATGTTGTGAAGTTGGAGCCTCTAGAAGTGCAAAAAAGTTGAAATCAGTCTCTTCATGGGTTGCAGAGAACACTTCATATTCTGTTTAGGTAACATATTTCAACCCGTTCTGATTTTGCCATTCTCTATTACGTGTTTAGAATTATTACGTCACAGTATTTGCAGCGAGACTGCCATATAAGGGCATGGGCGTCTAACAAAACACTTCGACCCAGCCCTCCTCTACTGTGCATCACTTCATTTGTAGTCCAAGCTCAAGAATGCCAGCGAACAGGGCTGGACTGGCCATCGGGCGTACCGGGCAATGCCCAAAGGGCCAATGCCCATATTTGGGCCGGTCTGTACACCTCATACAAAACACATGTTTATGAGAAGTGTAAACCAGTTAAGAATTGTTGGAGCGGGGCGCGCGTATCCGCGGGGCACCTGCTGTATGTACTCGAACGGGATTCCGCCACCTCAGCGGCCGCAGTGTTCCGGGGCATCTGCGGCCGCTTTGTAATGAGCAGCTTCCGCGTCCAGCGGCTGCGAGAGGCTGTGAGCGTCCAGCGGCTGCGAGAGGCTGTGAGCGTCCAGCGGCTGCGAGAGGCTGTGAGCGTCCAGCGGCTGCGAGAGGCTGTGAGCGTCCAGCGGCTGCGAGAGGCTGTGAGCGTCCAGCGGCTGTGAGAGGCTGTGAGCGTCCAGCCGCTCCACCGTGTTGTGGCTGAGCGCGCAGCCTCATCGTGGCCATGTACCCAACCCCATAAACGCGCACAGGACCATGCGTGTCTTTGAGTAATCTGTGCACCCAATAAATACACTGCTGCAGGAAACAGTCCGCGTCTCCCTCTCCTCTCGAAGCGCCATTAAACGCCCTAAATAAAGCTCTGATACCTACATTTTGCATTGCATTAAAAGTTCATGTTTGAGCCCAAAAGTAACATGTTGTGAACAAATTAAACAGATTTAGAGCAGGGGTTAACGCAAAAAAAAAAAGATTTGACTGAAAATTTTTGCATGGAAATTTATCACATGTAAATCACAGTAATATGCAGGACCAAGTTATATTTGTAATTACAATATATTATTGTATAATAGATTGTATATTGAATACAGCTCAAATGAATTCTTCAAAGATATACAGTGTATTTTGATATGAAATATAAGTGGATCAAGCAACGAGTCAACTTTTTGACAGAATATTAGTGAGAGTAGCTTTACTTGAGGCGATATGGAGCGTCAACACTTTGGCTCTGTCCTCGTCAAAATATTGCAAAAGGACGATAACATTCTGTCCACATTTGTTTGTGGACACGTCAATATTTAAGAAAAAGGTTTCCCTATCAAGTTTGAGTGCACAGTGCACTTCGATCAACTGCAAATGATTTAAATAAATGTACCAGCGATAGTGATATTCTGAACGTTATTTTCTGCGATAAAGCCACAGACACAGCCCGCCAGAGCAAGCCTAGTGTCAGTTGTTGCTGATGCACCAGGTAAAGATGAAGTGTGGGAAAGTGCACAAACAGCTGCCTTGTGCGCAGTTTTGAGCTGGTGGCGAATCAAAACTTTTTTCTCATTACTCCCATACATTCAATTTTTTATGTACGCACAAGCACCGGCCACTTTCATCTTTTCGCACCATGACTCATTGATTGGCTCTTTTACATCACGCTGAGTTTTGCAAGAAGATCGCAAACAAGTAAGTAAGTAAGTTTTTATTTATATACCGCCTTTTCACTGCAGATCTGAGTCTCAAAGCGGTTTACAATTGTTAATTTTTTGGGCATTTGTCTCTCACTCCACACAGAGATGGGAGCAGGGTCGCCAGTACAGGAGGCGCATGCCAGAACTATTGGACATGTTTTTAGTGGTAGGGGAAACCGGAGTACCCGGAGGAAACCTACGCAGACACGGGGAGAACATGCAAACTCCACTCAGAAAGGCCCTGGTCCGACCGGGATTCGAACCCAGGACCTTCTTGCTGAGAGGCGAGAGTGCTATCCACTCAGCCACCGTGCTGACAATATCAAAAGCTCACCAAGACATGTTTGTCCCCATTCCCAGTCGCAGCAAAGTCCGTTTTGTACATTCCGTTAAGTAAAATAGCATTGCGTTTGGTAAACGTTAATTACCTTTAGTCTATTACGCGCCCAGCTTACCAGTCCGGATCTGCTGCTGTTATCGCTCCGTTCGAGATTCAATTTTCCTCCTCTTCTCCTTTTCAAAAGCTCCGTGCAGTTTCCAGAAACTTTCACCTCCGTGTTACCAATGCTAACTTCATCGCGTCTTCATTTGCGCGTGAGCTCAGCTACGTCCCATTGCCTTGATTCATTTGCGGAGCGCTCATGTGGCCACGGCACGTTCAAGGCCCACTCGTGATTATATTACTTATTATTTCTATATACATATAAATACAATTATATTCAAATTATTATTATACATCGATTATATATATATATATATATATATATATATAAATAACAGATTCACACGTATATGTATTAGGCAGTTGCATTAAGGGTCTTGCCCAAGGTGTGTGTGTGTGTGTAAGTAACAGCTATGCCCTGCCAGTGATCAGATACCCTGCAGGAATAATCAGGTAGAGATTCAGACCACGGATGTTAAAACTCGAAAGCTCCTTACCATGCATGGCGGGTTCCATCCCAAATCCAGCACCCTGAGACTGTACGTAAGCCGTAAAGAAGGAGGCCGAGGACTAGTGAGTGTGAGAGCCACTGTCCAGGACCAAACATCCAAACTCCATAACTACATCATGGAGAAGGCCAAAACGGATGACGTACTCAGTGAATGTCTCAGGCAGTGGCGAGATGAGGAGGTGCTGGAGGAGAGCCCATCATGGGAGAACAAGCCCCTACACGGCATGTACCACCGGAGCATAACAGAAGTGACTGATCTCAAGAAGTCCTACCAATGGCTAGAAAGGGCTGGCCTACAGGACAGCACAGAGGCACTCACCATGGCTGCACAGGAACAGGCCCTGAGCACCAGAGCGATAGAGGCCCAGATATACCACACCAGACAAGACCCAAAGTGTTGGTTGTGCAAAGAGGCACCTGAGACGACCCAACACATAACTGCAGGGTGCAAGATGCTGCAGGGAAGGCCTACATGGAACGCCATAACCAAGTGGCTGGCATAGTGTACAGAAACATCTGTGCAGAGTATGGGCTGGAAACCCCAAGGTCTAAGTGGGAAACTCCTCCAAAGGTGGTGGAGAATGAGCAAAGATCCTGTGGGACTTCCAGATACAGACCGACCGAATGGTAATGAACCAACCTGACATCGTGGTGGTGGACAAAGGGCAGAGGACAGCCGTGGTGGTGGACAAAGGGCAGAGGACAGCCGTGGTGGTGGACAAAGGACAGAGGACAGCCGTGGTGGTGGACAAAGGGCAGAGGACAGCCGTGGTGGTGGACAAAGGGCAGAGGACAGCCGTGGTGGTGGACAAAGGGCAGAGGACAGCCGTGGTGGTGGACAAAGGGCAGAGGACAGCCGTGGTGGTGGACAAAGGACAGAGGACAGCCGTGGTGGTGGACAAAGGGCAGAGGACAGCCGTGGTGGTGGACAAAGGACAGAGGACAGCCGTGGTGGTGGACGTGGCAATTCCAAGCGATGGTAACATCCGGAAAAAAGAACATGAAAAGCTTGAGAAATACCAAGGTCTCAGAGAGGAGCTGGAGAGGGCCTGGAGGGTAAAGGTCACAGTAGTGAGAGGGCCTGGAGGGTAAAGGTCACAGTAGTGCCCGTGGTGATGGTGTGCACTCATGCCAGTGACCCCGAAGCTAGAAGAGGTTACAGCGGATCCCTGGAACAACCTCGGACATCTGGGTCCAGAAATGTGCAGTGCTAGGAACAGCAAAGATACTGCGCAGAACCCTCAAGCTCCCAGGCCTCTGGTAGAGGACCCGAGCTTAGAGAGGGATAACCTCTATAATATAATATATAAACCTAATATAATAATATTATATATTGTTGCACATGATTATATCTTCACCTTGTGCAGCTGCCTCCACTTTGCTCCGGTTCTCCGTAGGTTTCTCTTGTGGTTTTTCCGTGTCCTCGGCGACCATCTCCGCCATCAGGATGAGCTCGGCCTCAAACGGATCAGACGGAATCTTCTCTTTGATCTCCTGAATGGTTTCCACAATCTTCTCTGCGTTGTTGGTCGACACCGGCAGAAACATGGGCACAGGGAGCTGCAACAAGAGTATCTCAGTCTGATTAGAATTCACAATGATTCAAGTCTAGATTACACCACACAACAACAACAACCAAATAAGTACAAATCCTAAAAACACAGAGTGGATCCTCAGAGTCTGTCAGTCTGGGAACGCCTCAGGATCCCCTCAGACTCTGATGAAAGGAGAAGATGATAAACACATGAAGATCGGTTCTACTCAGCTTTTCTCAGACAAAACAAACTGCAGTGTTTTATTTCATGTTTCTGTAGAAAAGAACCCGATTGGACCAAAGTCTGGTCCTTCTCGTGCTGTGACCTCGAACAGACTGAAGCCTGTTGGACTGGGGAACTTTAGATGTACACAGTAGACATTTATGTGAAACTTTTATCTGAACACATTCCTCTGCATAAATCAATGTTAAATCTAGTTACAGCAATGTTACAGTATCTGTTAGTTTAACATTAGTTTACTGCAAGACTGATCTCTGCTACCACCAAGAAAATCACAGCAGGGAAGTGAAAGTAAAGACAGTAAGAGTCGAGTATAGACAGTATGAGTAGAGTATAGACAGTATGAGTAGAGTATAGACAGTATGAGTAGAGTATAGACAGTATGAGTAGAGTATAGACAGTAAGAGTAGAGTATAGACAGTAAGAGTAGAGTCGAGTATAGACAGAGTATAGACCGTATGAGTAGAGTATAGATAGTAAGAGTATAGACAGAGTATAGACAGTATGAGTAGAGTATAGACAGTATGAGTAGAGTATAGACAGTATGAGTAGAGTATAGACAGTATGAGTAGAGTATAGACAGTATGAGTAGAGTATAGACAGTATGAGTAGAGTCGAGTATAGACAGTATGAGTAGAGTCGAGTATAGACAGTATGAGTAGAGTATAGACAGTATGAGTAGAGTATAGACAGTATGAGTATAGACGGTATGAGTAGAGTATAGACAGTATGAGTATAGACAGTATGAGTATAGACAGTATGAGTAGAGTATAGACAGTATGAGTAGAGTATAGACAGTATGAGTAGAGTATAGACAGTATGAGTAGAGTATAGAGTAGAGTCGAGTATAGACAGTATGAGTAGAGTATAGACAGAGTATAGACAGTATGAGTAGAGTCGAGTATAGACAGTATGAGTAGAGTTTAGACAGTATGAGTATAGACAGTATGAGTAGAGTATAGACAGTATGAGTAGAGTATAGAGTAGAGTCGAGTATAGACAGTATGAGTAGAGTTTAGACAGTATGAGTAGAGTATAGACAGTATGAGTAGAGTATACTCTACTCATACTGTCTATACTCATACTGTCTATAGACAGTATGAGTAGAGTTTAGACAGTATGAGTAGAGTATAGACAGTATGAGTAGAGTATACTCTACTCATACTGTCTATACTCATACTGTCTATAGACAGTATGAGTAGAGTACGTACAGGGAAAGGCAGCCCCAGAGCCTGCGGCGTGCACTGGCTGTACATCCCCATGGGCACCGGGACGTAGACCGGGACTGGCACCGGCACGATCAGGATGTTGGGAGTTTTATCTGCAATAAACAAGACAAAATATGGTTTGTTTTCATTTCTCAAAGTTTGTATTTTACATTGAATAAGAATAAGATGTATTTGATCAGGGACAACACACAATAAACATTAAATTCTCAATGACATTTTTTTATTTTTATTTAACCTTTATTTAACCAGGAAAAATCCCATTGAGATTAAGAATCTCTTTTTCAAGGGAGTCCTGGCCAAGAGGCAGCAAAGTTACACATAAACACAACAGATAGATACAATTACATAAAAAAATGACAGATATACAGACTAAACACATCAAGTAAAACATTTACAGGTGATTGAGGCAGTCTCGAAAACTCGGAGTTTTGATTTAAAAGCATTCAAAGACAAAAGCTCGGTCAGTTTCCAGTCTCGCTGGAGCATGTTCCAAGCAGAAGGGGCTGCATGGACAAAAGCTCTTTTTCCAAACTCTGTGCGGACAAAAGGCACAGTCAGTAACAGCTGCTCATTGGACCTCAGAGCATAAGACTCTGTACTCCTCTGTGTGAGTAATGTACAGAGGTCAGAGGGCAGGAGCCCCAGAGGAGCCTTGTAAATAAAGGTGTACCAATGACACTGCCTCCTAGTGGACAGGGAGCGTACAGCTCAGTGATGTGTCAGAGCTCTACAGTTTGTGATGAACCTCAGAGAGGCATGATATATTGAGTCCAGCTTTTCAAGACACGAAGAGGTAGCATTCATATAAAAAAGGTCACCATAATCTAAGACGGATAAAAAAAAGACATGAGATTGTTTTGTGGGAACAGGTTTAGAACATATTTGGCTGCAGTGTTTTAGAAGCTGCTCCAGAGAAAAGGGCCATCCGCAGTTCTCCAGAAAAGGGTTTTTAAACCAAATTTATGATGGACATCCAAAAAGCAAAATAATGAAGGGTTTTACATAATCATACATCTCATTTGAAACAATTTCTCTCACTTCTCCAAAAACAAACCCTTTCTATAACTTCATCAATCGAGTCATTTCCAGTGTGTATTAAAACACGAATATACTGATTCCTCCAACACCAAAACAAGGTTATTTGCCGAGGACATGATTATGAGTGTTATGTCCCACTTTCTGACTGCTGAGAACAGACACAGGAATCTTAGAAAAAAGGTACAATATTGATTTGAATCAACGCCTGAAGGAGAGAAACCAACAGATGAAGAACCAGATAGATCTGAGAGAAAGCAGCTGTTTTTACGGAGCAGAGATGTTTTCAAGTCCCAGAAACAGGAAGTGTGATGCTCAAGATGTTCTATTAAAGTAGTAAAGATTCAGATTCATTTGCAGTAAAACCACATTGGAATACATCTGCAAAAGTCCCCAGTGTGCACCAGACAAAGACAGACAAACACGAAGCGTCTCATGGAGAATAACCATGAGCCTCAGTGCAGTTTTTCCTGACCTTCAGATTGGTTAGAATGAACTGTGTGTGTTTTTGTGATGCGTGTGTAATGTGTGTGTTATCATGTGTGTGTGTTGTACCTGTTTGCATCTCAGCGTCCACCGTCTGTGTCTTACAGGAGATTCCTTTGTTCTGAACGAGAGGTTTGCAGAGCAGAGCTTTGTTCTTCATGACTTTGGCAGATGGAGCAGGAGCAGGAGGGGCAGGAGCCTGAGAGAAAACACAACTTGTTTAGTTTAATATGAGGAGGTTTATGATGCAGGTAAAAGATGTGATAGTTATTGTCTGTAATCTATAGCTCCATTCACATAAACACAAACCTCCTTAGACAGGATTTTGGCTGCAGTTTGTTTCACAGGAAATGTTAAGTTAGTGCCCTGGGCCTGGGCCTGGATCTACAGCCCGTCTGTCCGTGTGGAGCGGATCCCTCTCAATGTGGGTCTCCGAAGTTTCTCACTTTTGTCCCTCTGGGTTTTAGGAGTCTGTTACAGTTAGTGTCCAACTAGAAGGACTGATGATCCAGGACACATTCTACTACGGCGTACCTACGGTGTTGTGTTGTGTTGTGCCCACAACAAAGCTTTACCTGTCTGGTGTTTATCTTTGCCGCCATGGCGCCTGCAGGGATTACAAACATGACATTACATTTAAACATTTCATAACAGACAAAGGAATATTCCATCATCAGGAGGAAGTTCATACTTTTGACTTCTGACGACGACAACGGGACTTTATAAAACATTTCTCTGGTCACGGTCTGAGTTTGTGGAGAGCTGGCGAGCGACATTACGTTAGCGATGACAGGAGTAGCAGCTGAAAGGGAGAATCTATGAAAACACATGTAAATAAATACAAACGTGTTCTTGGTTACATACGTTTGAGGTTTAGTGGCCCCTGCTCCTGTGTGGTCTTTATGCAGAACTTCAACATACAGGAGACTTGGCAGAAGTGTTTAGGGTCTCCCAAAAGAGGCAAACTCTGCTTCAGGATGCCTTTACGATCACAGAAGTCACATTTCGACACCTGAGAAAGAAAAGGAATCAGGGACACAGATATTTCCATCAATAATGTCAGATAGAGTTGATCAATAAGTTTGTGTAGAGTCAAGCGGCCAGTGTAGGATGAGTAGAAAAAGTCAACAATGAGGTCAAATCTTCAACATGAGTAAATACACGGGGACGAGGAAACGGCAGAATGGACCAGATCAAAATATATATATATATATATATATATATATATATATATTAGGGCTGTTAAAATTATCGCGTTAACGCACGTTAATTAAATTTTTTCATTCATCGCGTTAAAAAAATTAACGCATTTGACGCATGCGTCCCATATTAACACAGAATCCCGCGGACACATGCGTGTGTAAGATGGGGACAGAGCAGGTCTCTGGGAGTGACCGCGGGGCACTTGTTGTTTCCTGTATGAACTCTGCATGATGAGCTGCGGGCGCCACAGCGCTCTGGACCGTTCCCACTTCCAGCGGCTGTGATGACGGCGAACGGCGCTGCGTAACGGGATCATATCCAAGACCACGCACAGAACCATTACAGAACTATTCTCTAGTGTGCGTACGTGTCTTTGTGTAACCGATGCACACAATATGTACGCGCTGAAGCTGGACTGCGGAGCCTCAGTCTCCTCCGTGTCTTCTCCCGAAGCGCACTCGCTAAATTAAAGCTGAGGTACCTAATTTTCCTTTCGACCATCAGTTCATGTTAGTTGTGCCAAAAAAAGTAATGTTGTGAGCAAATCAAACAGATTTAATGACATTCTGCTTCAGACTGTTTTGAAATGTCCCTCATCTGTAACAAACAATGGTTTTGGTCTGAGTCTAAACAGAAAGACAGAATCAATCAATCAATCAATCAACGTTTATTTGTAGAGCGCCTTTCCTACACAAGGCAACGCAAAGCGCTTCACATCCCCTATCACATCATGCATAAATCAAACACATTAAGAGCACAAGATATATTAAAAACATTAAAAATAAAATCACAAAAATTAAAAACCTTTAAACATTAAAATCACAGATGGGACTAAAATCATAAATAGTCACAGTGCATTAAAAAGATTAAAGATAAAAACAAAGATGAAAAGATAAAATCATCCAGTTGTATATGCGCAGCTAAACAGAATTGTTTTGAGCCTAGATTTAAAAGATGCCAGAGTAGACGCCTGTCTCACATTCTCAGGAAGACGGTTCCAGACTCTAGCCGCATGAATCTGAAATGCAGTTTGCCCATGTCTAGTACCGACTCTGGGCACTAACAGGAGTCCAGTCCCTGTGCTCCTCAGAGTCCGGGTCGGTTCATATGGCACAAACATGTCATGGATGTACCTTGGCGCGAGACCATGGAGAGACTTGTACACAAGTAAAGCTGCTTTGAAGTCTATTCTCTGAGGAACAGGAAGCCAGTGCAGAGACCTGAGAACTGGACTAATGTGGTCGTACTTCCTAGTTCTGGTCAGGACTCGAGCTGCTGCATGTTGAATGTACTGCAGCTGTTTTACAGCCTGTTTGGAGAGACCTGTGAGCAGGCCATTGCAATAGTCTAACCGACTGGAGACAAAAGCGTGTATAAGAGTCTCCAAGTCTGCCTTAGACACTATGTTTTTAATTTTAGCAATGTTTTTTAGGTGGTAATAAGCTGCTGATGTTACAGATTTTATGTGGCTTTTGAAATTTAAGTCTGAGTCCATTATCACTCCTAGATTTCTGACCTGATTTGAGGGTTGTAGAGAGAGAGCCTGGAGGTGACAAATAACGCTCTCTCTTTGTTTCTGGGGTCCGAAAACAATTATTTCAGTTATGTCGGTGTTTAGTTGGAGAAAGTTATTTTGCATCCAATCACCGATTTGCTGGACACAGTGAAGGAGCGAGTCCACTGGTTTATGCTCTCCTGCTGTCAGGGACACATAGACCTGAGTATCGTCAGCGTAATTGTGATAAGAGACATTATTACTGTGAATCAACTGACCTAGAGGCAACATGTAAATATTAAACAGAATGTTTAATATTTGTTAATAATAATAACAATAATAAATATGTTAATAATGTTAATGCCATTTTATATGGATTTATTGTTATAACAAACAAATACAGTTCATATGTTCACTAAGCTGTCATTTATCTTTCCATTCAAACAACCATTTACAGAAAAATATGGCATCATTTTGCCAATAGTTTGAAATGCGATTAATTACGATTAATTAATTAAGCTGTAATTAACTGGATTAAAAAAATTGTTTGACAGCCCTAATATATATATAAGAAAATATATAATCTTTGATCCACACTGACACTTTATACACAAACGACAGCATGAACAAGAGGCCGGCTGTAACAAAACCGTCCAAAAAGAGATAATTAACTTCTTTCATAGGGGTTTTGTTTTGAGCTTTTAGCATTTTTACATCATTACTAAAATCTCATTTCCAGTGAATTATTTCTCAGCTAAAAATATATTTTTTCATGTGAGTGAAGGAGACACACGTGTGAGTGAAGGAGACACATACGTGTGAGTGAAGGAGACACATACGTGTGTGAAGGAGACATACGTGTGTGAAGGAGACACGTGTGTGAGTGAAGGAGACACGTGTGTGAGTGAAGGAGACACGTGTGTGAGTGAAGGAGACACGTGTGTGTGTGTGAAGGAGACACACGTGTGTGAAGCAGACACACGTGTATGAAGCAGACACACGTGTGTGAAGCAGACACACGTGTGTGAAGGAGACACACGTGTGTGTGTGAAGGAGACACACGTGTGTGAAGGAGACACGTGTGTGTGTGAAGGAGACACACGTGTGTGTGTGAAGGAGACACACGTGTGTGTGTGAAGCAGACACACGTGTGTGAAGCAGACACACGTGTGTGAAGCAGACACACGTGTGTGAAGCAGACACACGTGTGTGAAGGAGACACGTGAGACACGTGTGTGTGTGAAGGAGAGACACGTGTGTGAAGCAGACACACGTGTGTGAGTGAAGGAGACACGTGTGTGAGTGAAGGAGACACACGTGTGTGAAGGAGACACGTGTGTGAAGGAGACACGTGTGTGAAGGAGACACGTGTGTGAAGGAGACACGTGTGTGAAGGAGACACGTGTGTGAAGGAGACACGTGTGTGAAGGAGAGACACGTGTGAGACTCACGTGGCAGAAGAGCATGGTGTACTTGGTTCGACAGATATCGGAGCAGAAATCCTCAGAGGAAGTTCCATAATAGGCTCCAGTGCACTTCTTTGACAGAGAGTGACAGTAACTGCACGACTGACAGTAGTTTCCCCAACCTTTGGTCAGGTCGTGTCTGTACAGCAACTTACAGCCTGGAAACAAACAAAACATGAGACTCAAATATATCCACAATAAACTCAGAAAATGTTAAGTGGTCTGGTGATTTATGTGAGTCTATAGTGTAGTTGGGGTCTGTGGCAGTGGGGGCGGGTCCCGGCTCAAAAATGTCCAAAATGACGTGCGCTGACATGCTGCAATACCACCCCGGACCTGTGGGGGTGGACCCGGAATAGGAATTTTTCAATACTAATGTATAGCACATATGGAAGCTACATTCCACATGTATGAATTTTTTTTGACCAGTCTAGTTTAGTTGCTGTGGACTTTTGAACGCACTCGTTAAATGAATGGGGCCGGTGCAGCTGACGCACAAATGCGGTTTTTTAACAGTTTCCAGCCCCTGCAGCCATTTTGAAACTGCCCATAGACTGAGAAACTGATGTCACATTAGTTTCAACAGCGGATATAGGCCGACTACGTCCTCTCCGGTCCTCGTACAGTCCGGTCTGTGTCCGCTCTGGTCTGTACTGTCTGGTCTGTGTCCGCTCTGTGACTGTGTCGTACCGTCGCTGCAGAAGTGGCAGATCTTGGACACCATCCGTTTGACTTCTCTGGTGACTTTTTCCACTTTGCAGTAATCGCACGTGTTAAACAGAAAGTTGGTGGTTTTGAAATCCAGGAGGCAGTTCTGGCTACAGAAGAAAACCAACTTGCCCTAAGAGAAAAACGTCAGGTTTAGAAAAAAATCCGAGGCAAACACCAGAACAAACATCGTTCTCAGAAATAAGTCATGAAGAAAAATGTTAAGATTTGAATAAAGCGTAAAACATGAGTGAAAATGAAGTAGAAGAGGTTTGATTGTATAAAGCTAAAGATAGAGATTATTTATGTTCTTAAAGAATAGAGTTGTCCTTAATATTCATCTTATGCTCCTCACGTGTGATGCAACACTGACATTTCCTCACTGTGGGACAAATAAAGGATCTCTTCATCTTAATATCAAGCATTTCCTGTTTTTTAACTGTTTTAACCTGGATTAGAATCATACTAGTCACAGAACGGGCCATTGCAGGAGCACAGCAGAGTCCACCCACGTCCTCAGGTCTTCAGGTCAAAACTGGACTCACCTGAGGAAAGAGGTGGAGTCTGCTCCTGCTCGGTTGGAGAGAAGACCTGCAGCCGCACCTGCCCTTTGAGGACAGCGTTGACTAAACTGCTCTGATCTACTGTTGGTGAATTGACTGAATTCGGGTAAAAATGTATTGAGAATTAAATTTATTATTTGTAGGATGGGAGAGAACATTTGTTGGTTGCAGTTGGAGCTTTGTTATTGTTTTGAATAGTCCTTGAAATGATGCAAATAAAGGCATTTATAAAAAATAAAATAAAAAGATCGAATTGTGAATCTGGAGCTCGCACCTCCAGCTGCAGGACCTCCGGCTTCTGAGTGACTTTGGTGTCACACTGGCGGCAGCTCAGACCCTTTGTTGGCGTGTTTGTCACGGCGGCGACGGTGGCGACTGTGGAGGCGGCGGCGGGGGTGGCGGCGGCGGGGGCGACGGCAGTTGCGGGGGCAGGAGACAGTTGGATCTGGAGGTTCTGAGGCGAGCCTGGCACCGGCAACTTCGTGAAGACGTTTGGCAGCTTCTTAAACTTGTCCTATCAACACAGAAAATACACAAATATAAACAAAAAGACAAGAGAACAGTTTATAGAGATAAATGTGTGTCCCACGGTGAGAAGCAGTGCGTCCATGGAGTAATAGAGTAATAGAGTAAGAGTACAGCAGGAGTGGATTTGAACATAAGCTGGAGCCAGTTTCCTTATATGGGCATGTGTCCAGATGGGGCTAGCTGCGTTGCTATGACGGTTGCTATGACGGTTGCTATGGCCAGCTGCAGTAGTCTGGGTTATGGACAAACATGTTATTGTACCTGGAATGACAGGACACAAGGTAGAGAGCAGAAGTTTCTGATGGACGTGTCGGACATGGCCAAATGATACAAAGGTACAGAGACCTTGGTGCAGGCGTCACAGGCCAACCTCGCCCCTGGGAAAGAAGAGACACGTCAACATCTGCACACACCTTTCTTTCACTTCAAAGGAGATGAATAATCCACTCTTTGTTTCTCATCAAAAACAGACAAGTTATTTTGAGAGCCTTTTCGCCCCTTCAATCAAACATGCAGCTCCGCCCCTTCAAACATGTAGCGCCGCCCCTTCAATCAAACATGTAGCTCCGCCCCTTCAAACATGTAGCGCCGCCCCTTCAATCAAACATGCAGCTCCGCCCCTTCAAACATGTAGCGCCGCCCCTTCAAACAAACATGTAATCTCACATATTACAAAAATGTGAGACTTCTCTGACAATGTTCAAATCCAGGTTAAAACAATTCTGTTTCTGAAGGATTTTTATCTATTTAACGTTCTGTGATTATTTATGATTTAACACATAGTATCGTTTCTATCTTGTTCTGAAATCACTGAGTTGCCTTTTGTATGAACTGTGCTATACAAATAATACTGCCTTTCCTAGAATTACTCAAACATGCACAAATCACACCAATATAGAAAAGGGTATAAAGGAGTTCCCCAAATATTAGGAAAGAACCGCCCTCTACCCTTTTTGAACCAAACTCTCTGGTCTTATTGGACGAACATGTATCACCAGAATGATTGACAGATGGACCAATAGTCTTGATGATCCACCCGGAAGTGGACCGTATACCTTTAACTTTGGGTGTATACATGACAAGAATAACAGAAGAAGTACCGGAGGTGCTGACGGTCTGGACCTTGTGGGCCATGATGCAGCTGGTGCTACAGAACAGATGGACCGAGTCGTCAGAGTTGGTGCTGTCCACAGCCTCCGCCAGAGTCCGAGAGGCGCGACACATGGTACAGGGCACGACCAGCGAGCTCTTCTGTGAACACAAGGGTCACAGGTCATGGGTCACAGGTCAAGGGTCACGGGGCATCAGGCTAAGTACAAGTTATTTGATGGATAAATGTTAACACCATTAAAATACCATAACTCTGTCTTTAATGTTTCATGCTTTAAATACTTCATCACACACAAAGCCACAGTCTGACATTCAGAAAAAATAATAATTAATAATATTAAAATTAATAACTGTTTGAATTCAAAATATGAAAACTCCGAGACACACCGTTGTTTCATTAAGATGCAGATTTCAATAATTGAGGTCAGCCAAAATGTATGTGTGTAAAATGTACACACATACACATAAAACACACACACACACACACACACACACACACACACACACACACACACACACACACATAAACAAACACAAACACACATAAACAAACACACACACACACAAAAACACACACACACACACACATAAACAAACACACACAAACAAACACACACACATAAACACACACACACATTAGTCCAGTCCTCAGGTCTCTGCACTGGCTTCCTGTGGCTCAGAGAATAGACTTTAAAACAGCTTTACTTGTTACATATAAAAATATATTAGTGACATGTTAGTCCCATATGAACCAGCCCGGACTCTGAGGAGCACAGGGACTGGACTCCTGCTGGGACTCTGAGGAGCACAGGGACTGGACTCCTGCTGGGACTCTGAGGAGCACAGGGACTGGACTCCTGCTGGGACTCTGAGGAGCACAGGGACTGGACTCCTGCTGGGACTCTGAGGAGCACAGGGACTGGACTCCTGCTGGGACTCTGAGGAGCACAGGGACTGGACTCCTGCTGGGACTCTGAGGAGCACAGGGACTGGACTCCTGCTGGGACCCTTTTCTACTTCCGCCTCTGTCGAGCACAGACGTGTCTCAGACGCTCCTGCTTCTGAACGGCTTGCTATCTCCTGTTTTTGTCTTTTTCCGGGAGTTTTGCCACAGACAACTTTAACAAGAATGGAAATGATTAACTGGTCCCTCAACGCAATTGATTCTATCTTTTCAACACGTAAGCGTGGGTCTGGAGAGCCCGTGTGTCCGGACGGGACTTCACCTGCGGGGTATACTCTTGACAGCTGGAACAAGTTTCAGCCCCTCTGTCTGTCGACCCTGTCCATTGAAGATTCGGAAGACGTATATATCTTTGGCATTTTGGTGGTGGGAATCCTCCTGTTTGGGTTTGGAGCGATCCTCTTCTACCACAAATTCGGAGGCATGGCAGTTCGCAAGATTCACGAGCTGCTGGCCGACAAAATTGATGGGATGTACAAGGAGCTTAGCCGCGTCGTGGTTGAGAGTGCCGTGTCTGGACAAAGGAGAGTGGTTTTGGTGGAACAGTCGATAAAAGACCTCGCAGCTCGTTCACTCGAAGGGAATAAAACTTTGGAATTGAGATTGAATGACATCGTGTGTCAGGCTTGAACTCTCTGACCCGGCTTGGATTTGCCCCTGTGTACGGAGGTCTGAGGGCGCCGCAATTCGGATTAATTGGATTTAATAGAATATCTGCCTGCTTTTGACTGCTACATTGCATTTAATATTGTCCCCCTGAGGCGATGTGTGTTTCTCCTCCTGTGTCTTCTCTCCACTCTTATCTCACATTCCTCGGGCCAAGGCCATAATAACAAAGGTCCCATCTACAACAATCTCACACTTCAGTCTCCAGCTCGGACCCTCACCCCCGCCTCCCTCTATCCATCTTGCTCCCTCCCTCCCCTCCACTCCTCACTGTGTTTCCGACTCACCCCCTCCCTGACCCCGCCCCCCTCTGACAGCCACATTGGGCCGGCTGTCGGAGGTGCTCATCCCGAGAAAAAAATCTGTGGTTTATACAAAGCACAATGTGTCTATCCAACTGTCTGTGAAACTGTATGTTATTGCTCTCTGCTGTTTATTCTACTGTTTTTCGCATGGCGCCGTAAAGATGGCGCCGTGGCAAGAGCTCTGGTGTGTGTCGTCTTCTCTGTCTGGTGCACACCGGGGTAGTCTTGCACAGTTTTTCCAATGTGGTTTTACTGCAAATGGCAAATAAATGAATCTGATCTGAATCTGATCTGATCTGGGACTCCGAGGAGCACAGGGACTGGACTCCTGTTAGTGCCCAGAGTCGGTACTAGACATGGGGAAACTGCATTTCAGATTCATGCTGCTAGAGTCTGGAACCGTCTTCCTGAGAATGTGAGACAGGCGTCTACTCTGGCAGTTTTTAAATCTAGGCTGAAAACAGTTCTGCTTAGCTGTGCAGACAAGTGAATGATTATATCTTTTTATCTTTAATCTTTTTAATGCACTGTGACTATTAATGATTTTAATCCCATCTGTGATTTTAATGTTTTAAGGTTTTTAACTTGCGTGATTTTATTTTGAATGTTTTTTATATATCTTAATGTGTTTGATTTATGCATGATGTGATATGGTCAGCACTAGATCATATACGGAATTGGGACGGAAGCGGAAGTAAATGTAAAAACTACCTATTTATGCCTAAACTTAACCAGCCCTTCCCATAAAATAACCCCAACCCACCTTAACCATCTTACTCAGACCCACCTTAACCCTAACCTTAACCATCTTACTCAGACCACCTTAACCCTAACCTTAACCATCTTACTCAGACCACCTTAACCCTAACCTTAACCATCTTACTCAGACCCACCTTAACCCTAACCTTAACCATCTTACTCAGACCACCTTAACCCTAACCTTAACCATCTTACTCAGACCACCTTAACCCTAACCTTAACCATCTTACTCAGACCACCTTAACCCTAACCTTAACCATCTTACTCAGACCACCTTAACCCTAACCTTAACCATCTTACTCAGACCACCTTAACCCTAACCTTAACCATCTTACTCAGACCCCCTTAACCCTAACCTTAACCATCTTACTCAGACCACCTTAACCCTAACCTTAACCATCTTACTCAGACCACCTTAACCCTAACCTTAACCATCTTACTCAGACCGCCTTAACCCTAACCTTAACCATCTTACTCAGACCGCCTTAACCCTAACCTTAACCATCTTACTCAGACCCACCTTAACCCTAACCTTAACCATCTTACTCAGACCACCTTAACCCTAACCTTAACCATCTTACTCAGACCACCTTAACCCTAACCATAACCATCTTACTCAGACCACCTTAACCCTAACCTTAACCATCTTACTCAGACCACCTTAACCCTAACCTTAACCATCTTACTCAGACCACCTTAACCCTAACCTTAACCATTTAAGGACTCATTTGTCTAAAACTAATTCTAAAGTATGAGTGTTACTTCCGGTTTTGTCCCGATTCCGTTTATGATCTAGTGGCGACCGATGTGATATGGGATGTGAGGCGCTTTGCGTTGCCTTGTGTAGGAAAGGCGCCCTACAAATAAACGTTGATTGATTGATAAATACACAGACACAGATAAACACAGACACAGACACACAGACACACAGACACACACACACAAACACACACCTCCTTGTGTCTGGCGAGGCAGCTTTGGCTACAGAAGCTCCGGTTGCCGTCGCTGAGGATCAGCAGCAGTGGTTTGTTGCTGATGAAGGAGCCGCACTGGACACATCCCGACATCGACAGTTTGTTCGACGTCCGGAACTTATGGAAACACTCGTCGCTGCAGAGTCGGTGTGTGGCGCCTCTAAGTGTCACCTCGTGTTTGGACTGGAACAAGAGGAAGACTCAGATACACAACTGATACACACAACACACACACCAGACACACAACAGGGAAGGCACGACACAAAGCTCTGAGATGTTAAATATTCACTTATTGGTCTCACAGTGGGGAAATTTCAGTGTTGCATCGCACAGACAGGATAGTAGTAAGAGACACAGGGAGCACACAATATACAAATAAGTAGTGGCTATGTTTTTTAACTGTAAATGTTGTAAATACCAGTCTTTCAAAAAATGTATATATGTACTGTATGTAGTAGTGCGGAGTTATATACTGTACATATAGGACAGAGTTATATACTGTACATATAGGACAGGAGTTATATACTGTACATATAGGACAGGAGTTATATACTGTACATATAGAGCAGGAGTTATATACTGTACATATAGGACAGGAGTTATATACTGTACATATAGGACAGAGTTATATACTGTACATATAGGACAGGGTTAAATACTGTACATATAGGACAGGAGTTATATACTGTACATATAGGACAGGAGTTATATACTGTACATATAGGACAGAGTTATATACTGTACATATAGAGCAGGAGTTATATACTGTACATATAGGACAGAGTTATATACTGTACATATAGGACAGTGTTATATACTGTACATATAGGACAGAGTTATATACTGTACATATAGGACAGAGTTATATACTGTACATATAGGACAGTGTTATATACTGTACATATAGAGCAGGAGTTATATACTGTACATATAGGACAGAGTTATATACTGTACATATAGGACAGAGTTATATACTGTACATATAGGACAGGAGTTATATACTGTACATATAGGACAGAGTTATATACTGTACATATAGGACAGGAGTTATATACTGTACATATAGGACAGAGTTATATACTGTACATATAGGACAGGAGTTATATACTGTACATATAGGACAGAGTTATATACTGTACATATAGGACAGGAGTTATATACTGTACATATAGGACAGGAGTTATATACTGTACATATAGGACAGAGTTATATACTGTACATATAGGACAGGATAATAAGTAGATCAGTAAAGTGACATTGTTCATAATATAATAAAATATATATTAATGTTGATTATAATATATATATATATTATATATGTTGATGATAGACTCACCGGGGAGAAGCTGCTGCAGATGCTGCAGAGCACATCTGGGATCGACTTGGACGGTCCTGGTCCTGGTCCTGGAGCAGGATTCTTCTTGAAGCTGAAGAGACAGGACTGACTGCAGAAGTTCCTCATGATCCCAGAAGAATCCGGATAATTGATGATGTCTGGGATCCGCAGGATCACCCTGGAAAGTCAAATACAAGTCATTTTCAGACCTTTTTAAGACCATTCATAAAATACATTAAAAACTACACCCTTTAAAATAAAAAGTTACTTCTCATTGTGAACAATGTTTTTGGTTGTTCTTGAAGCTTCATTATTTCATCAGGTGTAAAGAATATTAAATCTGTTTGTCAAACCAATAAAGGTTGGATGTTTCTTCATATTTATGTTGTTAGAGCTGTATATATAACTGTGACAAAGCTGAAGTTGGCTGAATGACAAACAACCATCTCACAAACTACATGAGCAACATCAACAGTTTTGTGAAAAAAATCAAAAACAAATGTATACAAATAAAAGCTGAAATCCAGAGACACATCAGGCCTGTATCGACTGAGCTAACAGTGTCACCCAGCCAACTTCAGCTCAAAGTGAATGAGAAAGTCTCATTCGACATGTAACTGTTTTATAATCTGTAATGTTATTCTTAAATATATAATTGTAACTGTTGCTACCTCTGGTCCATTCCTGGTTAAATAAAAGATTAAATAAAAAGTGAAAAGGCAGAGGGCCCAATAGGATCCCTGCGAGGGCCGCATGTGACCCGCGGGCCATGGTTTGCACATGTCTGCACACGAGGCACTGACTTTGAGCACTGGAAGCAGCTGCGGACGTCTGCTTTCTTGAGGTTGGCGGTGAGGCAGTTGGTGGAGCAGTAGACGTTGGGGCATCCTTTCCTCTGAAACGCCGTCTGACCTTTGACCAGAGACTTTTTACACCTGGAACACGCCATGTTTCCCTGGACGGCCTGAGGCGGCTTCTCCGGAGGCACCGAGAAGACTGCCCCGATCTGCAGGTTATTCTGAAACACAGAACAACATTCTATAAATAACACATAGATTAGAAACACTCAAACACAAGACGTTCTGGGGATTCAGGAGGAAAAGTCCCAGAACCTGCTTTACAGTTTATACTACATTTGAAACAATATTCATCAAAGAAATGGGTACAAATGTAATCCGGCCGCTCATCCTGCCATTCCGTCTGTATCTCTGCTCCTTTATGGCAGAGGAAATATTGTCACATCAAAACAGCCACATATAAAGCTGGCGATTGGTGGATGTTTCCTCCCTTTAGAGCAGAAATGACTTATTAGATTTCATTAAGTGGCAGTTGGGGGCGTGTCCGAGTGATGGCTTAAACACACATTACTCAACAATCACTTTGTAGAAATTACAAGGTAAACATGTGTTATTTGGCTCAGATGTATTTTCAAAGTAAAAGGTCAACAATGCCTCAAATATTACACCTGAGCATCCGTTTGGACCTGACCCAGTGTCAGCTGTGGCTAAAGAATCTATTCACAGGTACAAGTCACGTTGAACCTATGAATAAAAGAATCTCTGGAATAAAAGATGAAAGTGTTGGACCAAAGACTTCAGAGGGATATATTAGAATAAGGAGACCACCTCTGGTTCCTCTTCGTCCTTCACAGCAGCAGATGCGATCAGTGCTCGGTCGTACTCTTCGTCCTGAGGCTCATCTTTCACTTGGACCAAAGCTGGAGACGAACTGTTGGACTCCAGAGACTCCGTTGTTTTCACCTGAGAAAATAATTATTCACACCAGGTTAAAAACATGCATCACTCATAATCCTCTTGTCTAAGAAAAGATAAACTGGTAACATTTGTAATGTGTAGCAGTGCTGATTCTTTCACCAACCTACAATATAAATGGTGCATTCTTTAACAGTCCTGGTGGAACATTAGACTTTAAGCTTGTAATAGTAACTCGGCTAAGTTACAAGTAATATCTGCGGAGGAGAAATATTAGGGATGTAAAAAACTATGAATTTTCATGACCGACCACCGAGCCTCATTAACCGGTTTCAACCGGTTAACCGCGTAGTTTAAAATAGTCCACGTTCTTTGAAATAACAGCCATTTCGAGCCGCGTACTTTTCATAAGTGCAGCTCTGCGTTCTACTGGATCAGAGTTGAGACAGCGGCGCCCAAACCCGCAACAGCTCCGGCACCTTTGCGCACAGAGAACTGCTTTTTTAATCTTCCCATTCTGCTGTGCTGCGGGTTAATACCAAAACTTTCTAGCAGCAAACGACGGCTCGTTCACATGGTCAGAGCAGCGAGTGACGAGCCGCGTCTCACAGGTCTTCACAAAAGTTTAAATACAAGTGATGTGTGTGGGGCTGATCCCGAGGACCATAAACACAAACATGTTCCATGTGGTTTGACTGGAGCCGCGTATTTGTGCGAATCCTTTGGGCTCCGTGACACAGAGGAGCGCGACAGACCGGTATGTGTGTGTGTATGTATGTGTGTGTGTATGTATGTGTGTGTGTATGTATGTGTGTGTGTATGTATGTGTGTGTGTATAACTTTGACGGTAACAGAGGGGAGAGATGATGCGTGTGGATGTTACGTATGGAGAGGGGGAAAGTGTGTGTGTGTGCATATGTGGCTCGTGCGGCGTGAGAGTCGTCCCGGAGTTTATAATACATTGGCGCACACAGCTAGATACAGACCCGCTCGTCACATCGTGCAAATAGGGCTTAAAATAGCGTTATTAAGAGACCTCCCCTCTCCCCTTTTTCTCTTTTTTAACCGACAGCTTTGACCGGTTAACGCTGTGACGGTCAACCACCGGTTAACCGGTCGCCGATTTACATCCCTAAGAAATATAAATCCTTTTTGTTCATTACACTAATAATGAGACTTTGGTGGAACATGTGTCGAGACACGTATGAAAGGGGCCAGTAAAGGCAGCAGAGGGAGGCTGTCATTTTTCCAAATCTGAAAATTACCAACTGCCGTGAGATTGTAGAGAACCGTTTCATCCAGCACCAGGACAGATGAGGAATGCACCTTTAAATAACACTTTGAAAATACAGAAACTTTTTATCAAACAAATGAAGAGACGACTTACTTTGGTGCCGTTGACTAAAGTGGCAGGAGAAGAACTCCCTGAAAAATGTAAAATAAAAATGTCACTTATCCTCATGTGTAGAACAACATTGAGGTTTACAGATGTTTTACCTGAAGCCGCTGCTGTCGTGTCTGTTTCTTCTTCTTCTTTGATTTGCGCCTCTTGTTCCTCTTGGTCCACGGTCCCAATGTCCATGAGTTCATCCAGGGCATACCCCGAGGAGGCCCCCAGGTTCCCACTTCCCTCCTCTCTGCCTGGAACCAAGTCCTTTTTCTCCAGAACAGGTGAGTTTTGATCCTCTAACTTTATGTCTTCAGTCTTTACAGCTTCGGTCACATGACTGACCGTCAGAGGATCCACCGCAGGCTCTGTAGGCTCCATAGGGTCCACTCCAGAGTTCACCAATACCTGCGAGAAAACCAAAGCATGAGAGGGCAGCAGAGGGTTAAGAGAAAGGTTTATTATACAGTGGCTTCTCCCACTTAAAAAGATGAGGGAGGTCTAATTTTAATCATAAACCTCAACTATGAGACAGAATGAGAAAAAATTCTGAACATTTACATTTTAAAGAATTTATTTGCAAATGATGGTAGAAAATAAGTATTTGGTCAATAACAAAAGTGATGAGAATATTCTCTTTGTTGGCAATGACAGAGCTCAAACGTTTTCTGTAAGTGTTTAAGGTTTTCACACTGTTGCTGGTATTTTGGCACATTCCTCCATGCAGATCTCTTCTAGAGCAGTGATGTTTTATGACTTGATATAAATTATGTAACAATATATTTTTACAGGATAAATAACCACCCAAAAACTACTGCAAATACAAACAATGTCCATTTCCAAAGACTGTTTTTTATTGAACCTCAAAAGAGTCAGTTCAAGCTGGAACAAAGGGCTTCTGTCACATTTGTTTTAATTTCCTGTATTTGAAGAAAGTGCTGAGGGAGGATCCAAGGATGAGCAAAAGGAGGGGGGGGCGCGGCCACAGAGAAGGAAAACAAGCGGCGAAAGTGAAAGAGCCAGTATCTCGATAATGTGAAAAAGCTTATCGTCAAAGTTACTTTTGCGATATTATCGCCCCCTCACTCACCGCTCTTTTGACCATTTTGACCCCAGGGGATGAGATCTTGCGTGGAGCCCCAGATCGAGGGAGATTCTCAGTGGTCTTGTATGCCTTCCATTTTCTGATAATTGCTCCCACAGTTGATTTCTTCACTCCAAGCTGCTTAACTATTGCGGATTCAGTCTTTCCAGCCTGGTGCAGGTCTACAATCTTGTTTCTAGTGTCCTTTGACAGCTCTTTGGTCTTGGCCATAGTGGAGTTTGGAGTCTGACTGTTTGAGGCTGTGGACAGGTGTCTTTTATACAGATAACGAGTTCAAACAGGTGCCATTAATACAGGTAACGAGTGGAGGACAGACTCTTAAAGAGGGACTAAACACATGTGCCCAGCCTGAGTCCGCCCACAACATCTGAATATTCTCTCTAAAAAGGGCGTTGCCCGAGGACCAGGGAAGAAGGGGGGCTTAGAGCAGACAGCTCGCTTGTCAATCACAGTCAACACAAAAAAAACGTTGTCATTGCTGCTTAAAGCAAGCTCATTCCCTTGTTCACACTAAGATCATTAGTGTGAAGATCGAAAAAGAGATGATTCATCTCAAGGGGCCATCCACAATAAATAAATAAATAAATAAATCATTGTAGCTCGACCTGAACCTAAGCCACAGACACATCTCAGCAGTAGCAACAAATTTTATTTTAAACCACTAGATGTCCCCAGAACACTCCAACTCGCTACAGGTGTGTGAGAGACTTGGCTGCTTTTATACCACAGGCGCAGAGTGATGTCACACATCACTCCAGGGCCAATGAGAGGCCAGGACCAAATTCAAATGTAGAGGGCGCAACACAAACAGTTTTAGGCTAAAGAGGGAGATTTTATCAAATTTGCACTAAAATGTCAAAAGAATGACCAGGACGTGAACACTAAGAAACATATTGATGCAGTCGAGTTTAAAATAGTTGATTTGGTGTTTCCTTTAAAGAAGGAGTCACAGTCTGTAAGAGCCAGAAATCTAGCTTGTTTGTAGGTGACCAAATACTTATTTTCCACCATCATTTGCAAAAATGTTTTGCATGGGATTTTTGTTCTCATTCTGTCTCATAGTTTAGGTTTATCTATGAAAAGTGGGACAACTTGCACAATTGGTGCTGACTAGACATTTTCCTCACTGTAGATGACTCAAGTACATTAAAAAGAGTACAGATAAAATCCCTCAGTTGTATTCACAGCTAAACAGAACTGTTTTAACCTGGATTTGAACATTGTCAGAGTAGAGGCCAGTCTCACAATTTCAGGAAGACTGTTCCGGATTTTAGCTGCATAAATCTGAAATTCTGCCTTTCCATGTTTAGACCTGACTCTGAGACCAGCAGGAGACCAGTCCCTGTGCTCCTCAGAGTCCCAGCAGGAGGCCAGTCCCTGTGCTCCTCAGAGTCCCAGCAGGAGTCCAGTCCCTGTGCTCCTCAGAGTCCCAGCAGGAGGCCAGTCCCTGTGCTCCTCAGAGTTGGTTCATATGTCACTAACATGTCACAGACGCACTTCGAGGCCATGAGAGACTTTTAACAAACAGCTGTTTTAAAGTCTATTCTCTGGGCCACAGGACAGAGACCTGGGAACAGGACTAATGTGATGGTACTTCCTGGTTCTCGTCAGGACTCGAGCTGCAGCGTATTTCTGCTGACGGAGAGCCCGACGGAGAGCCCGACGGAGAGCCTGACGGAGAGCCCGACGGAGAGCCTGACGGAGAGCCCGACGGAGAGCCTGAAGGAGAGCCTGACGGAAAGCCTGACGGAGAGCCCGACGGAGAGCCTGACGGAGAGCCTGACGGAGAGCCAGAAGGAGAGCCTCACGGAGAGCCTGAGGGAGAGCCTCACGGAGAGCCTGATGGAGAGCCTGAAGGAGAGCCTGACGGAGAGCCTGACGGAGAGCCTGATTCCGCCTTTGTTCAAGTTTCCACAACTAATTGGAGCTCAACACATTGTCTGACAAAGTAAGAGTCTGCCATAACTTAGCGTTAGCCGTGGCTACTTGGATAGCGGTTGAGAAGCCGTCCTCACAGTAGCATCACATCAAGACAGAGGACAATCCGTTCTACTATAAAGGTAAAGCTGGAGTACTTAACTTAAAAACAAATAAATGCATGAAGCAGTTTGTTCCATCACTCGTTTTCATATCCTCAGATTTAAGTGGAGTGGCAGCTCTCAGTATGTAAATAAAAATAAGATAAAGATAGCATGCTCTCTGATTTGTTCCAAAAATGCTACTTAAATAAAAGTTAAGTACTCCAGGTGTAAGTTCCTGCAGCTCTCCTTCGCACCTGTCGCTCATTCAGACCGAGTCCACCTCCAGTGCAAACACAATAATCTCTCAAACGTCTCCTAATCCTGAGTGAGTCGGATCACAGAAAGATGAGGTTAACCACCAAAGCAAAGATGATTTCTGTAGTTGGGGAAAATGTTTATTGTTTTAATCATTTTCCTGCAGAGTCCATTAAACAGAAACATCTCAAGCAGGAAGGGAAACTAAGACCAAGACGTTACCGTTAAACTTTATAAAGTCACTTTTTGGAAAGAATTACTGTTTTGTGATTTGCACTACATTTTTACAGCTCAATAATTACCTCTACACAAGAGGCGAAGCGATTACAGGCATTTGTTTGTAAGTGTCTCCATTGTGAGATCAATAAAGTTGATCTTATCTGAGCCTAAATGATGGGATTTGTTTGAAGGCTCTGGACGTATCTGTCGCTTAAAAATAACAAGCGTTCCAATCGGATCATTAGTACGACTGTGGCTTCTTTATCATTATTTTGAAATCTTTATGTTGTAACTAACAATTGTGTAAATATTCTATTGTCTTTGTTGTTCAAACGATTTGTTGTGTAGAAAATGTGTGAGACTTCATGTAAATCTGAGCTGATACAATAAAACTTGAAGTCACTGAAGGAGACACACATGATTCTTTTATCATCACTTAGTAACCAGTCAGTTTGAGTCTTAAACCACACTTTACATTAGTCTGACGGATCTGTATACAGCATAACAAAAACAATATTCAATTCAACTTTATTTATAGAGCAATAGTCCATTATTGAAGATAGAATAGTTACGATGAATTAAGTTACAGCCCTAAAAACATCTGCAGACCTCTACACACGGCTGTTGGTCCATAAAGTGTTTACAAGACTCTACTATCACCAATGTGTAACAGGGAGTCAAAACAAAATGGAAAAATACATATGTTAAAAGTCAACAAAAAACACTTAATAGTGCATTTTTATGAATATGAATAGTTTAGTTTAAACCGTATAGCAGAATAAACATCAGTAATAACAACAAGATGTAATTATGTCAAACTAGGTAATTAATGTCAAATAAGCGGTACAGTAATGCAGTATTGTTTAATGTCGCCACCGCTATAACCCAGCGCCATAGCAACAGACATCTTCCAATGAACAAATCAATGTCAAATATGGCGATCGATCCCAGCAGAACTTCGATACGTTTTCCGGACTGGATTTGAGCAAGTACTAGTATTGTTATAATGGCCATGGCTACAGGTCCGGAACCGGACCTGTAGGTAAAATAACTATATCTCCTGCCTTTTTGTTCCAGGCCATCCGCGCCGAGTAGTAAACACTGCGTATTACGTAATTTCACTGTTCGGTGACACCCTAACCGTAAACCCAAACCTAATCCTAACGCCCCGGCATGTTGGTTCCATGACCCACGTTGGTACTGGAACCAACATGCCGGAGCTCTAACAAACTACCTAGGGGTCTGGTTACAGGACCTATAGCCACTTCGTGTTAGAAAATTTGCCTTCGAAACACTCGACCCATAAAGCTGATAAATAGATTTTATAGTAACTCACCTCTTGCAATGACCGCCTCTGCTCGCGCAAATGAAGGCGACTGGCTGATTTCATTTTTTTCACCGGGCTCCTACCTCCGGGATTGATGTTGACTGTCGCCATCTCTGAATTATAACATTTGCTGAAGTCAAAGAGCGTAGGGACTGCTGTTGCTTTCAGCGAATTCTTTGGCTTCGATCCCATCAATTCCGAACGTAAATCTCTTTGAAAACAGTCTTTCTTGAAATGTTCACTGCACACCTTCGAGTGTTTATTTATAGGTGGATTCTTCAGCTTCATCGCATTCAGCCATTTACGAAGGCGCTCCTTATTTTTCAGTGGAAGTCCGTGGTAGCTTACAGTCTTCTTTCGGTACCCTTCATTGCTGCATCCCGGGGCCATACAAAATACACCCATTTTAAGGTTTATTTAGCGGGAGCTGCGACCCCTACAAGTACGTCATCATTTTTCTGGCCAATCAGAGGCGTTGATATTAAAAAGTTATTTTATTGATTTATTACTTATCTATAACACAAAAACACATTTCAAAAGGTAGGAAATACGTGTTATTTAATGTGTTTTATCAGATAAAAAAAAAATAGTTTTTAATAACGTTAATGCCCTTTTAAACCATATAGTTTTGTGTCTACGCAACATCAACACAAAGCAAGTCCAGATGTTGGTGAAGCTTGAGGAGCATTGAACACGGCTCTGGGATCATTGTGCGTGTGATGGCGCATACACAACACCACCAGGAGGCTTACAGGGTGCTAACATTACCTTAGTGTTGTCCTCGCCTGTGGTCCCATCCATGCCGTGCTGATGTGGTGTAAACACTAGCCGCGGATGCTAAGCTAACCTCAGAAGCTAACAGTAGCACCGCTAACACATGCACGAGGCTTATGCTGCTTTATGCTAGCGAATTAAAACTGCAATTGAAGGGGGGGTGGTGGCTGCACGGACTGAAGCTTGCACCCATAAATGAGCTTGTAGCACCTCTGTAAAGGGAGCCCACGGCGGGGTCTGTGGAGAAGGTTTACCGCGAAAGGGAACGGGGCGGATGTGGCGTCACGTCGTCTGAAAGTTTCCTCCACACTTCACAGCTCCGGGTCTTTGTTTCACCAGAAAATATTACTTCACCAAACCTTCATCCGAGTCGACAGTCCGTCAGCTGTCTAACCGTGTTCATTTAAACAGTTTCTGCAAAAAAAATGAAAGTTGTTCTTCTTCGTGGTGTGTGCATAAGCAGTGTTTGTGGAAGGCTGAGCTCCTGTGCGCCCCCTCTGGCCATCTCGTCCACTGCAACCATTGATAATGTTTTATTATGTGTGTATTATAGCCCTAACCCTATGTTTTATGACTAGCGTTCACTTCTAAGACACTGCCATTGACAGTAAATGTACAGTATTTATCATATTAGAGCCTATTTTTATTTATTCAGGTGTATTCTCTGCTGCTAAAGTACAATATTAAGATGTGTATGTGTGAAACTTCCTGACTGCTCACTACAGTGTACACTCCAGAGGTAGTAATCTTTGATTATCTTATCTTAAATAATATATCTCATTTGATGTGTGATAACAACACTGACATTCCCCACTGAGCCAGGAATAAAGGTTTTCTAATCTTACAATGTTGTTCTGTGTTTTATACTTTTTCACCTTACCTTAGACTAGTTGATATGTACCCGTTAGAAGCTATTAAACTCTTCCACGTGTCCCCTATTTAAATACAGTTACGTGACGTGTTACTCTACAAAGTATAGTTACACAGAAATGCAACATGTCCATTTTCTCAGCGGATAAAAAGAGGTACTATATTGTGAGGAGCACTATCCAAACCTTAAGGCAGAGAAGGTTTGTGTATTGGTATAACGGTATAACGGTATAACGGTATAACGGTATAACGGTATAACGGTATAACGGTATAACGGTATAACGGTATAACGGTATAACGGTATAACGGTAAAGCGTTGGCTCAGACGTCATGTAAATCAATCTGTCATTTCTTTTAGCACGTCTCAGAAGAGCAGTAATTTCACAGTGAAGTTAAAGTATGTGCTAAACGGATTTACTCCACTCAAGTAACGTTAGGATCAACTTATTGCCACTTCCAAGCCACAAAACAACACTCACAGCGTTTGATGATCTTTTTTGTTGTGTGCGTGATCTCAGAATCGTTGGTGTGGCAGATTTCTTTAGGCGTAAACCAGACGAGGTGTAGTCCTCATCAGTGAAATGTTCGGAGCAAACACGCCAATTCTTCAAAGCTTCACGGTTTGTTGGATCCATCTTCAAAGCATCGAACCACTTTCTCCGTCGTTTGGGGTGAGTTGGAAATCTGTGAAACATTACTACACTATATACTTTCTGCTTGTTATCACAACCCGGCACGGCACATATGAAAGGCATTGTTCTGCCTCAACTGTGCTCAAACTAGCTAATCCTCAAACTAGCTAATCCTCAAACTAGCTAATCCTCAAACTAGCTAATCCTCAAACTAGCTAATCCTCAAACTAGCTAATCCTCAAACTAGCTAATCCTCAAACTAGCTAATCCTCAAACTAGCTAATCCTCAAACTAGCTAATCCTCAAACTAGCTAATCCTCAAACTAGCTAATCCTCAAACTAGCTAATCCTCAAACTAGCTAATCCTCAAACTAGCTATCTAATCCTCAAACTAGCTAATCCTCAAACTAGCTATCTAATCCTCAAACTAGCTAATCCTCAAACTAGCTATCTAATCCTCAAACTAGCTATCTAATCCTCAAACTAGCTATCTAATCCTCAAACTAGCTATCTAATCCTCAAACTAGCTATCTAATCCTCAAACTAGCTATCTAATCCTCAAACTAGCTATCTAATCCTCAAACTAGCTATCTAATAACTCTCTGCTACTATATGTACAGTACATAACTCTGCACTACTCGCTACATGTATATATATATTTTGACTGGTATTGAAGCATTTCCAGCCTCTACAGATAGTTATGTTAGCTAAGAAACATAGCTACTACTTATTCTGTATATATTGTGGGCTCCCTGTGTCTCTTACTACTGTCCTGTCTGTGCGCTGCAACACCGACATTTCCCCACTGTGGGACCAATAAAGGAACTCTTCTTTCAATTGTGCTTACGCAGGTCCACCGCTAACGCCCATAGACTGTATACATGAACTAACGCCACGCCGCGCAAGTATACACTAGGCTTTACTGCTGTATACACTAGGCTTTACTGCAGTATACACTAGGCTTTACTGCAGTATACACTAGGCTTTACTGCAGTATACACTAGGCTTTACTGCTGTATACACTAGGCTTTACTGCAGTATACACTAGGCTTTACTGCAGTATACACTAGGCTTTACTGCAGTATACACTAGGCTTTACTGCAGTATACACTAGGCTTTACTGCTGTATACACTAGGCTTTACTGCAGTATACACTAGGCTTTACTGCTGTATACACTAGGCTTTACTGCTGTATACACTAGGCTTTACTGCAGTATACACTAGGCTTTACTGCTGTATACACTAGGCTTTACTGCTGTATACACTAGGCTTTACTGCAGTATACACTAGGCTTTACTGCTGTATACACTAGGCTTTACTGCTGTATACACTAGGCTTTACTGCAGTATACACTAGGCTTTACTGCTGTATACACTAGGCTTTACTGCTGTATACACTAGGCTTTACTGCAGTATACACTAGGCTTTACTGCAGTATACACTAGGCTTTACTGCAGTATACACTAGGCTTTACTGCAGTATACACTAGGCTTTACTGCAGTATACACTAGGCTTTACTGCTGTATACACTAGGCTTTACTGCTGTATACACTAGGCTTTACTGCAGTATACACTAGGCTTTACTGCAGTATACACTAGGCTTTACTGCTGTATACACTAGGCTTTACTGCTGTATACACTAGGCTTTACTGCTGTATACACTAGGCTTTACTGCAGTATACACTAGGCTTTACTGCAGTATACACTAGGCTTTACTGCAGTATACACTAGGCTTTACTGCTGTATACACTAGGCTTTACTGCTGTATACACTAGGCTTTACTGCTGTATACACTAGGCTTTACTGCAGTATACACTAGGCTTTACTGCAGTATACACTAGGCTTTACTGCAGTATACACTAGGCTTTACTGCAGTATACACTAGGCTTTACTGCTGTATACACTAGGCTTTACTGCTGTATACACTAGGCTTTACTGCAGTATACACTAGGCTTTACTGCTGTATACACTAGGCTTTACTGCTGTATACACTAGGCTTTACTGCAGTATACACTAGGCTTTACTGCTGTATACACTAGGCTTTACTGCTGTATACACTAGGCTTTACTGCAGTATACACTAGGCTTTACTGCAGTATACACTAGGCTTTACTGCAGTATACACTAGGCTTTACTGCAGTATACACTAGGCTTTACTGCAGTATACACTAGGCTTTACTGCTGTATACACTAGGCTTTACTGCTGTATACACTAGGCTTTACTGCAGTATACACTAGGCTTTACTGCAGTATACACTAGGCTTTACTGCAGTATACACTAGGCTTTACTGCAGTATACACTAGGCTTTACTGCAGTATACACTAGGCTTTACTGCAGTATACACTAGGCTTTACTGCAGTATACACTAGGCTTTACTGCTGTATACACTAGATGCTTTACTGCTTACTGCAGTATACACTAGGCTTTACTGCAGTATACACTAGGCTTTACTGCAGTCAGTATACACTAGGCTTTACTGCTGTATACACTAGGCTTTACTGCAGTATACACTAGGCTTTACTGCAGTATACACTAGGCTTTACTGCAGTATACACTAGGCTTTACTGCTGTATACACTAGGCTTTACTGCAGTATACACTAGGCTTTACTGCAGTATACACTAGGCTTTACTGCTGTATACACTAGGCTTTACTGCAGTATACACTAGGCTTTACTGCTGTATACACTAGGCTTTACTGCAGTATACACTAGGCTTTACTGCTGTATACACTAGGCTTTACTGCTGTATACACTAGGCTTTACTGCAGTATACACTAGGCTTTACTGCAGTATACACTAGGCTTTACTGCAGTATACACTAGGCTTTACTGCAGTATACACTAGGCTTTACTGCAGTATACACTAGGCTTTACTGCAGTATACACTAGGCTTTACTGCAGTATACACTAGGCTTTACTGCTGTATACACTAGGCTTTACTGCAGTATACACTAGGCTTTACTGCTGTATACACTAGGCTTTACTGCAGTATACACTAGGCTTTACTGCAGTATACACTAGGCTTTACTGCAGTATACACTAGGCTTTACTGCTGTATACACTAGGCTTTACTGCAGTATACACTAGGCTTTACTGCAGTATACACTAGGCTTTACTGCAGTATACACTAGGCTTTACTGCAGTACAACAAGTCACGCTGCTTCTGTTGACGGAGGTGAGCGGGAGAGAAGTCTTTAGAGTTAGTGCGCGGACGTAGCGCTCCTCGTATTATTACGCCTCACAATATAGTTCCCCTTTTTATCCTCTGAGAAAATGGACATGTTACATTTCTGTGTAACTATACTTTGTAGAGTAACACGTCACGTAACTGTGTTTAAAGGGAACACGTGGAAGAGTTTGGGAGCTTCTAACAGGAGCTGATTTGGAACTATACAGTCTGTGGAAGAGGCTGTGTTTGTGCTGCGTTTGCATGACAGAGCACACGGACACAGACCACACAGGTACATATCAACTAGTCTAAGGTAAGAACATGTGTCAGTGTGTAAACACGGGGCCTATTCCTAGAACAGGACAAAAAACATAATGAGCGAGAGTGTTGCAGTCTGCGCAGGATGATGCTGTGATCAAATAAATATAAGGTTGAAGATAGATGTAAAAATAGATTTATTATTTATTATTGATACAGAAGAGTCAACATTATTATTATTATTATTATCAAATAAAACATAAATGTATTTACAAAGAAAATCTCAGCTGAAGTATGTCTAATACCATTGAATTGATTGATTAGAATATTTAAATTATATTTTCTAATTTAGTTCACTAATGTTTAGATAAAGTTTCAAATGTAATGTACAAATGTAAAAAATGTAAGAACCAAAACAAGATTCTTATCCAAAACCAAAATGTCCCTAGATGTGATTTGTTGTGCGTCCCCAAAGCTGAGACTGGTCCAGGGTCTGACTTTAGCATCAGTCAGACCCAAGGCAGCTGAGGTAGAGTGTGTGGCGCCCCCTGCTGCAGCCTGAGAGAACTCATCTTAAGGTCCAGCTCGTCCATGAAGCCCTCGTCCACCGACTCGCTGTCCTCGACCTCGGCCTCAGAGGGCAGAAACACGTGGATGTGGGCTCTGGAGGGTCGCGGGGCAGGAGCGGGGCGGGGGCTGGACACCGGGACGCAGGTCTTTCCCACCACAGACAGAGGCTCAGGCCGAGGGGACACCTGCCCGGAGAGACACATACTTTGACATTATGATCAATGACAGAGCTCTGGACTGTCTGCTCTGGTGAACACTGGCGGTTTCACTGCAAATGGATAATAACCTGAATCTAAATCTGAAATCACTTTAGTGTAGGTTCGGGGGCAATGGATCTGGGGTTTAGGAGGTTTTTCTAATTAGACAAAAAGTGTAAAGAATCTAGAACTGCTCAATTATCACAAGTTCCAGGGCTAAACTTCAGCCTCTGATGTGACGTGTCTGATCTCAGCTGCATGTGGTCATCGGACAGATCTGACGGACCACACCTCCTGTCGCGTTGTGGTCTCTGGAGAAGTGAGCCCGAGTGTGAGTCAAGGCAGATGCCCCCTCGTCTCTGTTGATGGTCGTACACCCAGCTTCCTGATTTAAATCGTCACACCATTGTTTCTGACGAAGGCAGAAGTCGCCGAAACATGAACTAGCTTCTTTACACTTATGTCTCAGTAGAAGAATGTTCTTAGCCATAAAGTCTGTCTTATCTTAAACATGTATCTGGTTAAAGCTGGGGTACCTATGTTTCATGTGGTTCTTACCTGCACAGCTGTGTGTGAGTGTCTCCTCTGGGCGCGGGGCCTCACACTGGGCTGGAGGCAGCGGGAGAAGTGCAGATACAGGGGTCTGGAGGGGTCCGGGGGCCGTGCAGGAGGGTTGGGGGTGACGAGGGCGTTAGAGGAGGAGGAGCTGGTGGAACGTTTATGGAGCAGACTGGGACCATGAGACAGAACCTCTAATGACACACTGTCTTTGTGAGGGAACAGAGAGGGCTCGCTGAGGCTGCGGACACAAAGGACATGATAAATACATTCCGTTTATATTTAAGGTTTCTTTATTTTGACAAAGTCGGATTAGCAAAGATTGGAACAGAGTTAACTCCTGCACTAACCCACAAGAACAGGACGAAGGACAATAATACGAAGTGTTTGTCAAAAGCTCTGGAGATGATAAGAGCTGTGTCCAAATCCCTTCTCACCCCCAGGGGGCGCTCTAACTAAAAAACAACAATACAAAGACCTTTTACTGAAGTCCTATGGTTCAGTCCATCACAGCAGATTCATTTAACGCTGGTTATGGTGATAGTTTTATATCGAGAATAAAACCTAAACCAGGACCAGAGGAGACAGGTTCTTGGACACATCCTTTGGGTCTCTGAGGTGTTGATCGTTATTAAAGTCTGCCTCCTGGTGAGTGTTGATGGTTATTAAAGTCTGCCATCAAATAGTGATGTGTGAGCGTCGTCTCTGGTTTCAGCCTCTGTACCATGTGTACCTTGTGTAACTGTGTAACATGTGTGGCTGTGTAACTGTGTACCATGTGTGGCTGTGTAACTGTGTACATGTGTACCATGTGTAACTGTGTACCATGTGCACCATGTGTACCATGTACAGCTGTATCACTCTCAGACCTGAGCTCAAAGCTGCTGCATGATCCTATGAAACTAAAACTGGGACAGGAAACCATCGCTGTAACTCCAGACCATGAAGAGTCCGTCTCTGGATCAGCCTCAGTGACGTGTCCCGGGACAACAATGGCCAGTCCAGATGGTTTTGGACCTGAACCCAGTCCAGATGGTTTTGGACCTGAACCCAGTCCAGATGGTTTTGGACCTGAACCCAGTCCAGATGGTTTTGGACCTGAACCCAGTCCAGATGGTTTTGGACCTGAACCCAGTCCAGATGGTTTTGGACCTGAACCCAGTCCAGATGGTTTTGGACCTGAACCAGTCCAGATGGTTTTGGACCTGAACCCAGTCCAGATGGTTTTGGGGCTGGACCACAGAGTGAAGGGGCCAACAAGTGCTAAGCATCATGGGAACTCCTTCCAGACTGTTGGAGACCATTTCAGGTCCTGTTGAAGCTCATCCAGAGAATGCCAAGAGTGAAGCAGTATCAGAGCAAAAGGAGCTACTTTGAAGAACCAGAATATAACACATATTTACACTTGGTTCATACTTTAGCCTGGTCGTACCACACCATAGTACAAATTACAGTGAAATGATGATTGAGCGGAGTGTACGGATCGCTAAGGCTAATACTTTACTACGTACATAATTCACATGAGTTCATTCATAGGTTTGATGCCTTCAGAGTCAATCTACAATCTTCATAATCATGAAAATAAACTCTTCGAATGAGAAGGTGTCCAAACTTTTGGTCTGTTCTGTCTATATATATATATATATATATATATATAAATAAAATATATATAAATATATATATATATATATATAAATATATATATATATATATATATATATATATATATATATATATATATATATATATATATATATATTAGGGCTGTCAAACGATTAATTTTTTTTAGTTGATTAATCGCATAGTAATGATGAGTTAACTCACGATTAATCGCATTTTTAACATTCTATTTCAAATCCACTCCAATTGAAGTTGAATGAGATTTTCAAATGTAATGACACATTATTATTCATACCAAATGTACTTCAATCTGTTTGACTTGCTCACAACCTTCTACTTTTGGGTAAAACCAACAAGAGCTGTTAATGAAAGGAAAAATGTAGGTACCCCAGCTTTAATTTTGCGAGTTTGGTTGCATTTCAGCGTGTCTCCTCCTCTCCTCCATCATCAGAGAACATCAGAGAATGTGCGTGTATATATATGCGTGTATTATATGACCACGTTACCGCTGTCACCATCACACACGCACGTGTCCGTGGCATTCTGAGTGATATTATTAGAAATGGGCGGGTCATTCGGACATGCGATTGACTGCCAGCCTATTTCAGAACAGGTACCCACAGAATATTGTGTACAATGACTATCTGAAATCCAATCCAGATTCTGAAAGAATGGACTGTCTACTTTCATCAGCAAAAATAATTTTGTTTCTAGCTTGTTTCGTTCCCCTGTAATCCCCAGTCGAGTAGAGGTAATTTTTATTGAAATCACCAGAAAGCTGAGGAAAAAAGAGGCACTTGTGCATCTAGCCGTTTTCAAACCATTCCTAGAGCAATGCTGCCATCTGCTGGCTCGATAAAATATTGCCTCAAGCCTTACATATTTGATACAACAGACATCTGGGAACGTGAAAATAGCGGGAAACGCAATGGCAGTTAATGCGTTAATTATTTTTAACGCGTTAATGAAAACGGTAATTAACGTGAATTAACGCGATAATTTTGACAGCCCTAATATATATATAATAAAATAAAATATATATATATATATATATATATATATATAAATTTAATCTAGCTTCGGGGCAGTGACCCTGAAGCTAGAAGAGTGGTTACAGCGGATCCCCGGAACAACCTCGGACATCTCGGTCCAGAAATGTGCAGTGCTAGGAACAGCAAAGATACTGCACAGAACCCTCAAGCTCCCAGGCCTCTGATAGAGGACCCGAGCTTAGAGAGGGATAACCGCCCGCGGAGGGCCAAAGGTGAGTGGACAATTTTTATTTTTATATATATATACATACATACACACACTTACACACCAGGGCCACTCTTCCATTTGGAGCCAACAGAAACATTAATTCGAGCCTGTAGCTTAGATAATGAAGGTGAATTCTAAAGATATAAATCTGAAAACAGTAACGTCTCATGGTCATTCTGTCGTTTAGTGATTAATTAAGATCGTTCTGCACTCGTTAAGAAAGTTGAATTTGTAACTGTCGAACATAAAAAGGTCTTCTTTCCAGGGACTGGAACAGACAACACTGAACTACTGACGCCGTCTTCCATATCAGAAAGATAAGGATGGACCAACAGGACACAGACATAAACAACAGACATGAACAAGAGACACAGACAGGACATAAACAGGACACAGACACAGATAAAAACAGGACACAGACACAAGCAGGACACAGACATAAACAGGACAGACATAAACAACAGACAGAATTGGGTTTCTAAGTCAGTCCCTCTTCTGAAGGTAAGCAGACTTCTACAGACTGGTCTAGCCTCTTCCAGTCGGTCCCCACAGACTGGCCTCACCTGAGCCGTGCCAGGCCGCTCCTCCTCCGTGGGACTTTGGCGGTGAGCGCTGGGAGTCTGACCCGAGTTCCGACAGATGTGGGCGGGGGAGGTCCGGGGAATGCGTCGCTGTTTAGAAAATAAGTCTGAACCGAAACCAGGTTGTTTTTGTGCCTCCGGAGCCAGGGCCTTCCTCTCGTCTCCGCTCCGGGACCTCGCACCGCTGTTGGGGGCCCCCGTGCCGCTTGGGCGCTCATTTATCCAAAGAACGTCAAAGTTAAAACGTTCACTTGGAGTTAAATGTTAGAATGTCCAACTTATAGCCCGGGATGGCATGTTTCTCACAGGACAGAGCCCTTTTAAGGACATGGGTCTGTTGTGGGCCACATGGGAACATGTCAAACTGGAGCCGCATCAATGTTGCATGAACATGAAAGATGCAGCAGCTCTGACCCACGGTCACGTTACACTCTGGATATATCTCTGTTCAACATTTGGACCAATTGTTTTTGTCCAAATCAATCCATGGCCACGGACATTAGTCTCTCCCTATGGTCCAATACCATGTGTGCTCTCCCTATGGACCGATACCATGTGTGCTCTCCCTATGGACCGATACCATGTGTGCTCTCCCTATGGACCGATACCATGTGTTCTCTTCCTATGGTCCAATACCATCAAATTCTCTGATCTGTGTTGGTGATTTAAATGTTTTATTTAAGTCTCAGATGATGCTGTTGTGATTTAGGGCTATATACATTGTATCGTGTGTGTGTTGTGCGTGTGTGTGTGTGTTGTGTGTTGTAGCAGGTGAATGATGAACAAAGGAAAGTCAAAGTGTCTACATCTGTTCAAAGAGCCTCATAAAGAGCAAGGACAAAGACAGTAATAGAACCTTACACTTCACCAGTGAGGGAGGGGCCCATGGCACATACCAGCTGCCTCGCTTCTGTCAGTGTGCCTCAGGGCAGCTGTGGCTACAGTTAATCACCACAGAGTGAGTTAAGGCCATGTGTCCGAGTTACTTTCATGAAGCACAATAATCAAGATGTACACATGAAGTTGGAAGAAATGCACAAAAAGGATTTACATGTAATGAAAGTACTTTTAGTACTTTTGGTCTTTTAGGGAACTCTGGATTTGACTCACGCTTCAGTGTCAGGCGCAGCTGCGCAGAGGACCCGCCTGCGGCTGCGCAGAGGACCCGTCTGCGGCTGCTGCTTAATACCTTGAAGTGATTACTTCGATGTATCATAGTAATAAAATCAAAGCCACTTGGCTTTTCTGATCTGCATTTACAGAACTGACAATGCATTTTGCTGCAACATAATTATGTCAAACTGGTATAACTTTCAATTGTTTATTTAGTTTATTTCAGTTGATCCTTGAGAGAATGTGCGTCTGCAGCGTCTCCAGTCTGCCCTCTACTGCTCATCTCGAGGAAATGCTGCCTCAGATCTGCAAAAACAAAACGGAATCAAAGGCAGGTCTCAGTTTTAAAGGTTAAAAGAAAATAAACCATTAACTCATTATATTTCATCCCTCCTGACCACCAGAGGGCGGTGCATAGCACTGAATGTTCCCTTCACGCATGCGCAAGTTGGAGTAGTAATACCAAATGAGTCACACCTGTGACCCCCTGGATGACGCCCCGGAGGACAAAGTCCAGCGTCATCCAACACTGTTCCTGCAGAATCTTCTCGCGTGCGGTTCGCCCTCCATGGGGCGCGACGGTGACTTTGTCCTTGAGGTATTTATTGGTGTTTTCGGACTATAAACGTGTTTATTATATGACTTGGACCGTACGCGCACTCTGATTGGCTGATTACCGGTCTGATATTTTCCCATCTCCGCAGCGCGTATCACAATTGATTTCTTTCCTGAGTTTCCTCGGTAAAAAAGAAATAATGGGCGACAACTGGGAGCATTCTCAGTGAATTCTATTATCTGACGAGTTTGAGGAGCCAGAGGAAGCCATAACGAAGAAAAAAATAACTACCTAACAAACAAGATGAGATCGACAACTTCGTTGCAGACCAGAAAGCTAAAAACAGGATTAGGAAAACCAAGTCGGAGATCGATATTTGCATAAATTAACAATAGTCATAAGAAAACATTTATCAACCTCGCCCTGTACATTAAGGCTCGGTCTGTACATTAAGGCTCGGTCTGAGCATTAAGGCTCGGTCTGTGCATTAAGGCTCGGTCTGTACATTAAGGCTCGGTCTGTACATTAAGGCTCGGTCTGTACATTAAGGCTCGGTCTGTACATTAAGGCTCGGTCTGAGCATTAAGGCTCGGTCTGTGCATTAAGGCTCGGTCTGTACATTAAGGCTCGGTCTGTGCATTAAGGCTCTGTCTGTGCATTAAGGCTCGGTCTGTGCATTAAGGCTCTGTCTGTGCATTAAGGCTCTGTCTGTACATTAAGGCTCGGTCTGTACATTAAGGCTCGGTCTGTGCATTAAGGCTCGGTCTGTACATTAAGGCTCGGTCTGTGCATTAAGCCTCGGTCTGTGTATTAAGGCTCGGTCTGTACATTAAGCCTCGGTCTGTGCATTAAGGCTCGGTCTGTACATTAAGGCTCGGTCTGTGCATTAAGGCTCGGTCTGTGCATTAAGGCTCGGTCTGTGCATTAAGGCTCGGTCTGTGCATTAAGGCTCTGTCTGTACATTAAGGCTCGGTCTGTGCATTAAGGCTCGGTCTGTACATTAAGGCTCGGTCTGTGCATTAAGGCTCGGTCTGTGCATTAAGGCTCGGTCTGTGCATTAAGGCTCGGTCTGTGCATTAAGGCTCGGTCTGTACATTAAGGCTCGGTCTGTGCATTAAGGCTCGGTCTGTACATTAAGGCTCGGTCTGTGCATTAAGGCTCGGTCTGTGCATTAAGGCTCGGTCTGTACATTAAGGCTCGGTCTGTGCATTAAGGCTCGGTCTGTGCATTAAGGCTCGGTCTGTACATTAAGGCTCGGTCTGTGCATTAAGGCTCGGTCTGTACATCAAGGCTCGGTCTGTGCATTAAGGCTCGGTCTGTGCATTAAGGCTCGGTCTGTACATTAAGGCTCGGTCTGTGCATTAAGGCTCGGTCTGTGCATTAAGGCTCGGTCTGTGCATCAAGGCTCGGTCTGTACATTAAGGCCGCGGTCTGATATTTCTCCATACAGAGCTCGCCTTCGGCTAATAAGCCGTTAGTATCGTTTGGTGTGAAGGCTGCAGTTGTGCGCCCGCTCCTCCATCAGTACTTTCGTTTGGTTAGCTATTGCTACGTGCGTTTTGTGGGGTGAAGGCTGTTCGTACGCCCGCTCCTCCATCAGTCCAAGCAACGCCTTTCCCACTGGGTGGTTGACATTATCAGTCGTGTGTATGTTTCGGCCGGCCGGCAAGGGCCCATTCTACCAGGGGTGTCTAAATCCTGGGCCGCTATGCGCGGGGTGCCTTTGGGGACCATTTGTGCTGCTGCGTCTTGGGCTACACAGAGCATGTTCACCAGGTTCTACAGCATCAATGTGGCCACTCCGGCTTCTCTTGGCGTGGTCCTTCAGGAATCCTCTGGCTCTCCTCCATGAGGTGTGTGGTCAAGGTCCTTCGTGACAAAGCTGGTATTAGGACATTCAGTGCTATGCAGCGCCCACTGGCGGTCAGGAGGGATGAAACAGAACAAAGGTTACATATATAACCACGGTTCTATGAATCCCGGGTGACCGCCAGAGGCGCTCTGTCACTCAGGATCCTTGCGTTCCGCGAGAAGATTGATGACGCTGGACTTTATTACCTCCGGGGCGTCATCCGGGGGTCAAAGGTGTGACTCATTTGGTATTACTACTCAAACTGCGCATGCATGAAGGGAAAATTCAGTGCTATGCACCGCCGTCTGGCGGTCATCCGGGATTCAGAGAACTGTGGTTACATACGTAACCTTCTACATACGTTTCTGATGATTTTTATTGATTTTTCAATAATATTGTGTACTATGACCATCTGAAATCCAAAAAGAATTGTTTGTAGCTTGTTTCGTTCCCCTGTAATCCCCAGTCAACTAGAGGGAAGTTTTACTGAAATCACTAGAAAGTTGAGAAATAAGAGGCACAACATGTGCATCTAACTGTTTTCAAACCATCCAGAGAGCGCTGCTGCCACCTGCTGGCTCGATTAAATATGGTCTAAAGCTAATCCCCATACATATTAGATACTATAGACATCTGGGAACAGGAAAATAGCGGAAAACGCAATTGACGTATTAATACGCGTTTGTTTAAAAAGTAAATCTAACCTTTGAAGACTTCCTCTCGATCTCTTGTGCGATTATCGACTTCAGCTTCAGGCCCCGGGAAAGTCCCGTTTTAGCTGAAATAAATAAAGCGGTCAGAAATCCAAGTATAGTCTTCACTGCAGATCATTTCCATGTTTGTATAACACTCACCGTCTCAGAGTCCGGCCTTAGCCTCCGGCCTCAGCCTCCTCCCACAGGATCCTGAAACAGAAACACAGGATGAGGGCGGAGCCGTGGAGCAGCTGCAGATTCTGATGTTTCAGTTTGTGTCCTTTCTACGTGCGGTGTTTTTAACTTTGTGAAATGAAACATGTTACTCCCTCAACACTCGCAGACAACTTTAACCTCAGACACAGGAGCAGCATAGGGTCGTTCTGGCACCACACTCGGATCTGGGGTCAACGGTCAGATCTGACCCTAACCCAGTGCAGGTTACACTCACAGCTCCTCTTCACAAACGTCTAAAGTCACCAACGACAATTCATCCTCAAAGGTTAAGACCAACAAACTTCACTCTGACTTGAACAAGATGGAAGTTTCTGAAAAAGGCAAAGTTACATGTGACATCACTCACATGTGACATCACATGCTGTAGTGTGTTCTGGGCTATAGACAAAAAGTTGAGAGTAAAATGTAGTTGAAAAGAGAAGAACTGTCAACATCGCAAACTCAAAACAAACTCTTCGTCCAAATCAACTTGAAACAAAAAGACGACGCAGAAGAATCAGATAAAAATATATCATTTGTAAATCAGTGATTTCTTTGCTTGGATCCAAAAGTTAAAAATGGACAAAAAAAAGGTCTCATCCACGAGTGGTTTTATTATAACTATTATAAATATACTCCTTCCTCACATTCCCAGGAGCAGACTGGGTCCACTCTGGATTCTGCCTCAGGGCAGCTGTGGCTAATGCAGCAGTGGTCACTTTGGACTAAAGAAAGATCCATTAAATGTTAATGCCTAGCGTACATCAGAATGGCAACTGATTAAATCCGTGACCTATGAGTCGCTGCCCCGCACACTCCTGTATCAGACCAGTCTGGGGAATAACAGCAACTGGCCTCAACTACAGTGTGTTTTCTGACATAAACTGTAGAGGGCGCAATACACACACGTTGTCGGAGAGGCGCATGGAGCGCGCACATCGGGTCATATCTCCGAAACTGAGGACAACTAGTTGCCGAAAAGTAGAACACGGGCAACTGACTGAAACTGGAGACCGACTGTTTATCTCCAGTTGTAAGAGCGCTCACATCGACCGATTTCAACTGATCATCTCCATCTCCTCTCAGTCGCCAAAAGCCGCCTTCAACTAGTCGTCTCCAGTTTCTCTGTCGATGTACGCTAGGCTTTAGAGTTCACTTCTGACCTTTAAAGGGGTCGTCAGAATGACCCTGTGCCTACGGCGCCCTGACCCTGTGCCTACGGCGCCCTCACCCTGTGCCTACGGCGCCCTCACCCTGTGCCTACGGCGCCCTCACCCTGTGCCTACAGCGCCCTCACCCTGTGCCTGAGGCGCCCTGACCCTGTGTCCGAGGGACCCCGAGGCGCCCCGACCCTGTGTCTACGGCGCCCTGACCCTGTGCCTGAGGCGCCCTGACCCTGTGCCTGAGGCGCCCCGACCCTGTGTCTACGGCGCCCTGACCCTGTGCCTGAGGCGCCCCGACCCTGTGTCTACGGCGCCCTGACCCTGTGCCTGAGGCGCCCCGACCCTGTGTCTACGGCGCCCTGACCCTGTGCCTGAGGCGCCCCGACCCTGTGTCTACGGCGCCCTGACCCTGTGCCTGAGGCGCCCTGACCCTGTGTCTAACCAGAGATGCTGAGTCAAAAACACAGGTTCAGGTCAAACAGCTGTATTCTGTTATCGATTGTTCCTTGAGGTGAAGTGGGACCATGTACTTTTCAATTTGAAATATTTTCCAAAGTTACCAATAAACAAAAACATTCTGAGGCAGGTCTCAGTCAGTGGGGGCGGGTCCCAGCTCAGTCTATGGTCTCTAAAATCTACATCACACGAACAACACTATATTATTATATCATTATTATAACAAAACAGTGTAAACAGGACCATAGGAGCATATGGACCAATACAGTACAGCGCGTATGTGCTGTAGCGCCTCCTGTGGACATTAGCAGTAAGATGTAACTTTTCATGTTTCCCTGAAACTAGTTCTTTATGGAAACACTTTGTTCCAAGACTCAGCTCTGACAGAAGAGTTTTTACATAAACTGTGGAAGAAGAGGTTCACCGAGTTCAAGCCACAGACTAAATATTACAGGTCAAAGCCACAGACTTTCACTTGTCATTCTGCAGAAACACAGATCAGTCACGAACAGCTTCAGTTACAAACCACAGAACGACTGGAAAAACAAAACAGTTCAATTTTTCTGAGAGAGATCCAGTTTATGGAGTCATTCAGATAATACCAACTACAACCATCAGTCCGCCACTAGGGGGCGCAGCAACATCTGCACATGATCACAGTCCGCCACTAGGGGGCGCAGCAACATCTGCACATGATCACAGTCCGCCACTAGGGGGCGCAGCAACATCTGCACATGATCACAGTCCGCCACTAGGGGGCGCAGCAACATCTGCACATGATCACAGTCCGCCACTAGGGGGCGCAGCAACATCTGCACGTGATCACAGTCCGCCACTAGGGGGCGCAGCAACATCTGCACATGATCACAGTCCGCCACTAGGGGACGCAGCAACATCTGCACATGATCACAGTCCGCCACTAGGGGACGCAGCAACATCTGCACATGATCACAGTCCGCCTCTAGGGGGCGCAGCAACATCTGCACATGATCACAGTCCGCCTCTAGGGGGCGCAGCAACATCTGCACATGATCACAGTCCGCCACTAGGGGGCGCAGCAACATCTGCACATGATCACAGTCCGCCACTAGGGGACGCAGCAACATCTGCACATGATCACAGTCCGCCACTAGGGGACGCAGCAACATCTGCACATGATCACAGTCCGCCACTAGGGGACGCAGCAACATCTGCACATGATCACAGTCCGCCACTAGGGGACGCAGCAACATCTGCACATGATCACAGTCCGCCACTAGGGGCGCAGCAACATCTGCACATGATCACAAGTCCGCCACTAGGGGGCGCAGCAACATCTGCACATGATCACAGTCCGCCCACTAGGGGGCGCAGCAACATCTGCACATGATCACAGTCCGCCTCTAGGGGGCGCAGCAACATCTGCACATGATCACAGTCCGCCTCTAGGGGGCGCAGCAACATCTGCACATGATCACAGTCCGCCTCTAGGGGGCGCAGCAACATCTGCACATGATCACAGTCCGCCTCTAGGGGGCGCAGCAACATCTGCACATGATCACAGTCCGCCACTAGGGGACGCAGCAACATCTGCACATGATCACAGTCCGCCACTAGGGGACGCAGCAACATCTGCACATGATCACAGTCCGCCTCTAGGGGCGCAGCAACATCTGCACATGATCACAATCCGCCACTAGGGGGCGCAGCAACATCTGCACATGATCACAGTCCGCCACTAGGGGGCGCAGCAACATCTGCACATGATCACAGTCCGCCTCTAGGGGGCGCAGCAACATCTGCACATGATCACAGTCCGCCTCTAGGGGGCGCAGCAACATCTGCACATGATCACAGTCCGCCTCTAGGGGGCGCAGCAACATCTGCACATGATCACAGTCCGCCTCTAGGGGGCGCAGCAACATCTGCACATGATCACAGTCCGCCTCTAGGGGGCGCAGCAACATCTGCACATGATCACAGTCCGCCTCTAGGGGTCGCAGCTGCAGGTGATGCCAGACGCCCTGTTGCCTCAGACCTTATTTGTGTGTGGAGAGTAGACTTACCTCATTCTCAGTGAAATACCTTTGGGGTAAACATGTCCAGGCTTTACTCTGACTTCTGCCTCTACTGCAGACTGGGGCAGCTACGGCTTCTTACACACAAACACAACCCAACACACACACACACAAACTCACATACTCACACCACGCAAACACACACAGCTCAAAGTGCTCTGGTTTGGGGTAAAGTCTGTAGCTCTAAAAACCAACCTTTGATAAAAGATGTAATAACGAATAATAATTATATTATAATCCTAATTATAAAAGATAATCTAAATGTGTCAAACTCCTGTGATTTGTGCCTCGACAATAATCTATAATCTATAATCATGAATCTATAAACTACAATCATATAATCTATAATCAATCATATAATCTAGAATAATCTACAATCATAATCTATAATAAAACAATCTAGAATCTACAATCATATAATCTAATCATCTATAAACCTATTATAATCTACAATAATCTAATCTGTAATCTTCCATCAGATGCTGCTGAGACAGTGTTGGTCAGAGCCACAGAACATGGTTCAAGAATAAAGTCTTTATAATAAAGTATTTTTCTAACTACTATGTACTTTTACTAATTTTGTCACAGCTAAACTTCATACTTGTTAAATCTAGTGTCTGATAAAGTCAGTACTATTATATTATCTTTATTGCCAGACTGTTCCAGACTGACATGTACCGATTACTGATGCAAACCACCGGCTGGGGGGATACATTTCACAGGAATCTCCAAATAAGAAGCTGTGAATCCTCTGAAAACTAAAAGGATGTGCACTGTAATCTGGAGACATATGTAGATGTCATTTTAAATGAAAATATGAGTCCCTTTAAAGGACTTTCACAGACGACAATGTGACAAAAGCATAAAAGTGAAAAACTAGAGGGCGCTGTAACTTACCCCCTGATTTAAACCTTTGTAACCGTGGCTCCTGATTGGACGAGAGCTCGTGTTTACGCAGAGCTCACTTTGCACATTAACATGCATTTAAGACAGGAGAGGATTTCAGCATTATTACTGACATTAACTATATCTACATTTTAACTTATTGGCCTTAATCTGACAACGGCATAACAGTGATAAATGTGTATAATCTGCAGCCCTAAAGAGGGGGGTCTCTGCACACCCTGAAAAAGGTGAAAAATGACTTTTACAACAGAACCTGTAAAAGATCTTTGCTCCTCCATAAAGTATTTAATGGTAGTTTCTGCACTGGTTTACAGACAGGACAGAACTAAAATATCATGCTTCATAGTTTATCATAAATGATGTATGTCCAAGGACCAAGAATAAGTTTCATGAACAAGGAGCGCTTCAGCCGCTGTCTTTGTAAAAACAAACATCTTCAGTAAATGATGAAGACTCATAACTAAGGCCTTAAAACCTGCAGAAGGTTCCTCCACTTGGACAGCAGGGGGCAGTGCAACGCGGCCAAAATAAATGGTAATTTATAGTCGAACAATGGAAGATGGTTGTGTTTCCATTGTTCCATTAAAACTCCCTCTCACTACATTTTAATCCAACTGTATGGACCCAGCGGTCCTCAGGTCAAAATGGCCGCCAGAGATTAAAAGCAGCAGAAAACCCTGAAGTCTAAATAACCCAGGGCTGGTCGTTATAGAGGTTTATGGTATGTTTATGGTAAGTTTTAATCAGTGACTGGTTTGAGCCGAGGACCAGGGGTTAAAACAGTTTCTATGGATAGAACTCAGATCTGTTGAATTAAGGAGTTAATCTGACATAAAAAGTAAAACATGTCAATTTCAAATGGTTTCAAAGTTACGCCCAACGTCATTTAAAAGTCACATATTTGAGCCATAAGAATCGCAGAGGAACAGAATCAAAAGAACTAAACGTTTACCACCGATAGATTATGTAGATTTACAGAGTTCCTCCATCACGTTTTAAGATGTTCAAACCTGTTAAAGAAAAACAAAAGTACACACAACCAACAAACATTTCAACAATTCAGAGCCGCACGTTTATTTTCAGAAAACAAAGGCGAGAGCTTTTCACATCTAGCTTCAATAGTTGTGGGTCTTTGGTTAAAGTCCCAGGAGTCTGCAGTGAAAATACTTAAAGGGACTGAACTGTTTCCAGTCACATACAAAAGGGAACAGTACCCTCTCTTTAAGGGAATATTAGGATCCAAACCCATGTTACCAGAAGCAAAAACATGTTGCTTTGGTCTAAACTGAGCTGTGCTGCCTATTCTGCTTTAACTGAATAATTAGCATTAAAATATATCATTGTCCATAGTCTTTCTAAAATAATCAGTCCCGTTTGAATGAAGTGTGAGAATTTATGTGTTAGTCTTGTGTCTGGGGACCGAGTTAAAGTGTCTTTAAATTATGCTTGATTGTCCAATATTATCAAAGTCTATGATGATCATGTGATGCTCAGGGGACAATCCTATTGGACAAAAAACATTCATAATTAGTCACGATTACAGATTTTTCTGGACTATTAATTGTCTCAAATTATTGCGATAAGCGATAATATTGTCGTTCTGAGATCATTTTCATCCAATACGATGATAATGATGCAGGTACACCTTTTCAAAGAGAAACACTTATTTTTTAAAGACCACCGTCGGAAGTGGCGGAAGTAAAAAGCCGTTAGCATCATGCTTTTTGTGTAAAGTTCTTGCCAATACTGCAGATCTGCAGTGTCTCTGTGTCTGAGATCTTCCAGAGACTTTATATAACAGCAGTATGTGTTCACTGAGGTGCGTCATAAGGTTATTTTATTATTAAACAGTACTTCGGCATCGGCGAACACGCGAACGCTAGCTGCGCTAGTTTAGTCACTACTAGAGCCTGAATGAGAACAACCGTGTCCCCCGTTGTCAATCCTGGTTTAGGTCCTGTTGAGATTGTATATTTGAGTTATTTCAGTCTGCTCGCGTCACGCGTGACCACTTTGCGGCTCTCTGACCCGAGAGAGAGAGACTGGAAAACAAACAAGCTGCAAATGGAATTAATCGCGGCCAGGAAAACTATATAGCTAATTTTAATTATCATGCGATTGATTTATTGAATATCGCGACAGGCCTATTCATAACATCAATAAAGTACGATTTGACTCAATCCGTCACTGGGACAAACTAAGAAACTCAGATTGAGGCTAAATTTGAAGTGAGTGCGAAGTGCTAACCACTCAGTCACAGAGGACCCTAACGCAGCCGTTGTTACCAATCAACATTTACAGAAACTGCTGTCGGTCCTTTGTTTTCAGACTAAGACGGGACCACAGGAGGCGCTATAGATCAGTCACAATTTAGGTTTTTAAAGTGGTTCTCACCCCCGCTCCTCGGAGCTTACGTCACTCACATTTCCTGTTCAAATCTTCCTCTAAATGGGCGTAGCCTGGAGGACTGAAGGGGGCGTGAACGAGACTGGGCCGTTTACATTGCTCTGGGCGGGGGGCTGCAGACGTCAGGTCTTGCTGCAGACGTCAGGTCTTGCTGCCGCGCCAGTGTTGGTGCCAGATTCAAAATTCAAATGTAGTAATACAGGTCGCCAGCAGATGGCGCCTCACAGAAGGTTTTAGGCAGAAAGTTTAACTTTCAACTAATTTGCACCAAAGTGACAAGATTATGACCAGGATATGTAGACAACACTATTGGACACTCATTTATACCGTTTATCAGCAAAAAAAAGTGGATTTGAGGCTGAGTTGTCCTTTAAATTATACAAAAATCATGACTTCAGCCGTTTATATTCGACAAGAGTAACTTAAAATGGTAAAAGCTGCAGATAAAACATTTACCAAATTTTTGGTTGTGCATTAATCGTTGCACTCGCAGTTGAATCCAAAAGACGGCAGAATATTTACAGGACAGTCATAGAAACAGATTTATTCCCAGCAACCCCTGGATCCAGGATGTCAGCCGTTCAAGACAGTGGGCTGTAGGCTCCGAGTGTTAAATGACCCCCAAGAAATTATTTTAGTCAGGTCCCACTTATGCATGCACAGTTGTGCTCCCTCCCCCATAATCCTTTGCATCATTAGTTTAATAAGTAGAAAAAAATTTAAATAAAGAAAAAAGTGTCACTGCAAAAATCAAACCTTTGTGAAAACTAGTGTCCGTGTCAGCCGAGCGGTCCGTGGGAAACTTCTTCAGACCCCAACTGCAGTACCACAAGTGGCCTCTGAGCGCGTCCTGGAGATGGGCTCACGCTAGTGATTTCTAATCAGATTGGACCATCTCCCTGCCTCTTGTTCTGCTGCATTCATCTTTCAGATTGGGAAGGAATTATCTGTATTAAACAGATTCACATTTCTGGTCCAAAAGCCAAAACATGAGCTGAAATTCTGGGACTTAAAAGAACAAGCTCAAAGTGCGGTTGGCACGAGTCAAGTACTGGAGGTAACTTGGTGGAAAAGGTGGAAACGATCCCAGTCCAGTGTTTAAAAGTACTGAAACCACCTGAGCCCCAGTATTGGAAATGCATATATAAGATAAAGGAATTATTAAAAACACAGACTCAAGGGTCGACGACACCTGTTAAAAGAAAGTTGATCAAGTATGCAGCATAAATCTACATTTACTCCCATTTGACAGTTCAGTCTGTTCAAAACCATGCAACACAAGAGGAAACAGATCCAAGAGGAAAACGGTAAACAGAACTATGGTTAAAATGTAAACAAGGACTTGACACTTAAAGGCATACTATGAGAACAGTTCAATCTATAATAGAATAGAACAATAGTATGTCTTTAGAAAATATCTAGTGCTAATCGCCAGTTTACTTGCACATGCTTTGCACTTTGGGGAGAGAAGCGTGGGTCTGATGAGGACAAAATACAGCAGCCGGAGTTGTTAAACCACTAAAACAATAGAAGAGTTCACCATCTGCTGGCCGTTTACAGAACTGCACATTATCGACCAAAGCCTGATGTATGTAATAACATCATTAATTAATCTTTAAAATCTTTGGTTTTAATCTAAGCTTGGATTAAGATCTTATATGATTGTGTGCATTCAATCGATGGCCGTCCCAACCCAGAAAACGTCATGCTATTGTGCACATAGCAAAAGCAGTGGTTCTAATCTGAAGCAAAATGTTCTGCTGAAAGTCCTCCGCAGCCTGGGAAAGATAACTGTGGCATTTGGGATGTATGAACAGAGTGCTAGTGAATGCTGTATTGGTCTTTGGTGCTGATCAGTTTAACATTAAGAAACCAGCCTAAAAAGAAAAAGGCCTGCAGTGTTCTGAGCTGTTGGCCCCGGTGCATCTTAATGAGCTCCACAACAAAGCTCTCAGTAAAGAGTCTTCTCCCGACAGGAGGAGCGAGGGAAACCCCGACTGAGCGCTCGGCTGCAGGACGAGAGGCAGCGACGTCACTGATCAATGGTTCATCAGATGTGGAACATGGTTAAAGTTACACTCCAGTTTAAAACTAATACAGCTTTGTTTCAAAGACTGGAAATACAGAAATTGTTGCTGCCAGAATCTCATAGTTGGTGTTTCAGACGAGGCACCAGTGTTGCTCCATAGTATGCCTTTAATAGTAAATACAAATGCACAAGGATCTTCCACTTACTGTATGCTTTGACCTACCACATGTAATCTGTCCTTTGGTGCCAATGTAGTGCTTTGATGTAGACCTCAGGGTTCTGCTGTGGTGCATGTCCTCCTCTTGTACGTAATGAAGTCACTAACACTCCTAGTCTTAAGTCAATTGCACCAATTCTTGGCCATAAAAGATCCAATGGTATGAGGAGATGAACACTTTTTTTAAATGAATAAAATCAAAAGCTTAGTTAACTGTCTTCAATGGGTCATTAATCTGTTCCCAAACCTTTCAGAAAAAGGAACAACAAAGTATTGGGCTAATAAAATTGGAGTCAAGTGATTTCTGTTCAGGGACGTGGATAATCCCATTTACAGAACTAATGTTCTTCATCCTTCAAAGACAAGATATTTTTTGATACACATTAATTAACAGTGTCCAACAGAAAGGATTGGTGATGATCAGGACACTTTAGCATTCTACAACATGTATGGACATTTTCTTCTGTGTGTGCTTTATATTCTTCATGTGTTTTAACTGTTGATTCTCTGACCTGTGTTGGTGATTTCAATGGTTTTGTTAAGTCTCTGAGATGACTTCTGTTGTGACCTAGGGCTATACAAGAATACACTGTATTGTAATTGTGCAAATAGACAATGCACAGCTAGAATTAGCGCTAAAGAGATTTGTGCAACATGGAACTACCAACGTCAAGAGGTCCGTCTGCTTTATGATGGAGCGTGATAAAAACAGGTCACCACTGAAAAAACAAATAAAACTGGCAAAGTTGAAGAGAAAAAAAAAATCATGTTTGCAAAAATAAGTCTTGATGTGAATCCAAATCCTTGGACGACGTCTTTGCTCTGAAGGTTCTTCAACAGTCGTCTGAACAACAGTGAGCGTCTCGGACCACGGCCCTTTCCTGTAAACAGCTCATCCGGATTATTGTGCACGAGCCACAATTTACACCAATTTGGATTTCCTTTTCTGGTCCATTTTTTTCTTAAAGTAGTTTTATAATTTATGCCAAATATATCTCATCTATAAAATGATTTTGTTGCCAAGATTAGAACTAATCATTTTCTGATGAGAGCCATTTAAAATCATAGGAAATCTGTCATTTTTGATTAAAGATTAACATTTACATGTTTTAGTGAGTTTAAGACAGAAAACCCCATGTCAGATTACAAACACGGTTATATTAAATCACCTGTAAATGTTTATCTAATATTTTGACCATGATGCTACAGGAAAACCTTGTACTTTATTTATTTATTTATTTTTTTAAATAGTGGAGTTTCCTCCAATGAGTAGAATATAATGCTTCCATCTATGGATACAGTTACTTCATAATTATTACTTTATATAAAATAGTGAAGCAGTTTCCAGAATTTACTGAGGTTTAGTGAAAGTCACTGCATAATTCAGAATTATAATGTAACAAATTACCATCTCAGAATATCCATAAGTCACTGTTTATATGGAATTAGCCATTAATGAAGTCATTACTCCCCACGCCTACGGCCCCGCCTACGGCACCGCCCACGCAACGCCTACGGGCCGTACGTCTACAGTAGGGCTTTGATTTTTGCACAAAAATCATATTCTAAGTTTGTTTATTGATTTAAAACATTCAAATATATTTGAATACTTAATTTTAATTAATCTGCAGCTCCTCACAGCAGCAGAACACTCCATTGATTTGAATGTAATTTCAAAACTTTCTACTTTTTCTTGACAACAGAACTCTCAAAACAACAATGACCCTTTGTAATTCACGTGTGTAAAATACTAACATTACTCGGCAAGTACAACGAGCTTTCAGCGCCTGTCACTGCTTCTGTGCAGAGAAGCTAACGGAGCTAGCCACGCTCAATAAACAACCAACAACTTTAAATGTTAATCAGAGAATACATCACGCATAGGTTTTCAGAATTAACGTTTAAGAAAACTACGGTTTTAATGTTACAAAAAGCATTTGCGGTAAACCCCAAAGTAATCATTAACATGAAACAAACATTTTAGGACACATTTGAAGAGGATCTGATGGATATAGGTTGGGTATATAAATGATTATGGATATAGGTTGGGTATATAAATGATTATGGATATAGGTTGGGTATATAAATGATTATGGATATAGGTTGGGTATATAAATGATTATGGATATAGGTTGGGTATATAAATGATTATGGATATAGGTTGGGTATATAAATGGGTAACCGCTGATGTTCAGAATTCTTTGTTCAGTTTTCATGTAGTTCCAGAGTTATTGAACTAGCTAGCTTAGCTGATAGCTGCCTAGCACGTCACGTGAAACCTTTGGGAGCCAACTATTTTATTTGCAGACATTAAATAATTAATAAATTAAATAATATTTGTTCAGATATCAGATATAAATATACAAAATTTATAAATTTTAAAGTCTTGAGCGGTTCAAGCCCCGCTCAAGACTTTCACCATCGACTCCCACTGACTACTGTCGTTGTGTCCTTGGGCAAGACACTTAACCTCTGGGAACACCAGCCACAGTGGGGCGGCTGCGACTGTAAAGTGCCAAACTGCCGTTGTGTCCTTAGGCAAGACACTTCACCCCCATTGCCTAGAATGAGTCTGGTGTGTGTGTGAATGGTTGGTGGTGGTCGGAGGGGCCGATGGCACAGACTGGTTGCCTCGCTTCTGTCAGTGTGCCCCAGGGCAGCTGTGGCTACAGTAGTAGTTTATCACCACCGTGTATGGAGTGAATAAACGACACTTGTGAAGCGTCTTTGAGTGTCCAAAAAAGCGCTATATAAAACCGATGCATTAGTATTATTATTATTATTATATATTTTTTTCATATTCGAATATTGATTTTTTAAGTCAAACCCCTAGTTTACGGCCCTACAGCTGGTATCACCTCTGGTATCGCTCTCGTAATGAAGAGTAGTTGAGTTGATACCAGTATTGAAGAATCCCCAATGCTAATGCTAATGCTAATGAAATCATGGAGATGTGGTAGAATGCCCCTTGAGCCCCAACAGGAGTTTATGAAGTCCAACTTTACGGCGTAGCTAGAGACTAAACCGCTGTAAGTCTGCTCTGCCCTCAGGGAATACTCCCGTCACTGATTCAATATTTAACCCATTTCTTACGCTTTAAAAAGCAAAATATAAGATTTTCCTCATTAGATCCAATGTCCTTTATTATATGACATGCGTTGACTCAAAAGCAATGGCACAAATACAGCCATAGAATGTCTAAACATCACGACTCACAGAGCACAATACATTTGGGGAAATTATACATGGTCTTTGAGGACTACTGATCACACACGGTGATTGAACTACTGACATTACAAAATAAAAATAAACTGACGAGTCATAAAAGGAGTAAATAGTCAAGCTAAAATGCAGCAACACTTGAACTTAAATACAAAAATGATTCTTGAGAGTCTATACAAAGAGTGCTGCTCAGAGTGGTTTAAAATCGGGGTTTCTTAGCGGGACCATCGAACTCTTCGCGGACCCTGCCGAAGTTAGAGTTCCCTTGCCCCATCCCCCGCTGCCCGCCCTGAGGGAAGCGCTCACTACGCTGTGAGGCCAAAACAGGAAAGTTCATGTTCCGTGAGGGTTTTAGCATCGGCGAAGGAGATTATTAGATTTCATAATAATCAGCAGGAGACACGTCCAAGGAAACGTTCCAAAATGAAGATCCACAGGCGCCACAGGCAACATACGGGAAAAGAAGAGGGTAATGCTATTGTTAGTCAACCTCCAGAGCAGAAGGATCGCCCCAGGAGTCACGGTCTCTCTACAGACTATGGTCCAAGTCCTGCTGGTGCGACTAAGACCAACAGTCAACTATGGAGCAGTGCTGAAAATACTCCTTTACATTTAAGGCAAGACACTCCAGGTTCAAACATTTATGTTACTGTCGCAAAAGGAACATTTGTCTAACTTCATTAGCGACTTATGACTAAATAAACTTCAGTGCGCCGATTAAAAATATTACATAAGTTACATCAAATCAACTGTAAATTTGGGTTCAGAACTAAAATGTGGTTTTGATAGATTTTATATATATATAAAATAAATAAGCATATCGTTTTATCACAGTTCCAAGTTCTGTGGCATTAGACAAGTTTGTGAACGACTTTAGATTCTGCCGTAACCTTTTGGTTGAACTAGGTCTGTCTACAGCTTATCCAGAGTTACCATGGGCCTCTAGACTGCATCCCTGTCTTTTCCTGGAGAGCTGTGTTCCAGGTGAATGAGCAGTGAATACTGAATACTTTTACATCTGACATCTTTAACTTGTGTTTAATTGATGCACAATATCAGGGATGTCGTAAGAAAGGATTGGAGACTTTCAAGGATTAGAAAATGCGGTTATTTAAAAAAACGGCCTTTATTTGGCAGAAAGAGGCGTCTGCAGTGTCTCACCTTAAATGGTGTAAATAAGGCTGGAGCTAATGGAGATGTCTCAAACACAAAGGGCATATTCTTATGCCTTCCTCAGTGTGTAGTTAAATATAACACAAGCAGCTGCTGCGATGAAACATGTGGAAACACAATGAAGGAAGCACCTGAAACTGGAAATATGAGATTACCCCACAACCATCTTCAACATCCTTAACGGTGCTTTATGGGTTTTTAGGACTTAAAATATGGTCAGATTGAAAATCATAAAAAATATTCATCAACAGTTTGATTCTGATCCTTGAATCAACAGAATGGTAAAGTCCTCAGACTACAGGTACTGTGGTTAAAGCTATACATACATTTCATTTATATCCAGAAATTAATTCTGACGAGCGGTTTTATTGGAAAAATACAGAAATCTAATTAATAATATTTAAGTAATTAAAGTAATTTTGGGCTAACGTCCTAGAGCGATGTGCATAAATCTAGTTGTAGAATAACGCAAATGTAAATACAAAAATAACTACTGTGTTGCACACTGTGGTCCTTATTCCAATGTGGTTTTACTGTAAATGGCAAATAAAATGTATCTGAACAAAATGTGTCACTCCTGCTCCACCTCCTGCTCCACTTTAATACTATGGTTGCTCCTTTTAGAATGAAGTGTGTGTTTTGTCTGTGTGGATGTTGCATCAGCACAAGTCCATAAAACACCGTTAAGGCTGAAGATATTCAGACGAACGTCTTTATCTCTATTGATTCTCAGTAAATCTTCTCACCCCTAAAATCTGAGGTTGTGTCAAAAGAGAACCTAAAGGATTACAACATTGCAAATGGACAAACATTTTAAATGATTTGCTTTATATTAGCAACAGTCACAAAAACCAAATCTGAAACATCTTCAGACGACCAAACCCAAACATGGAATTGTAAGTTATAGCCCTTCATTGTCTGGGCTTTTATAAGAAAATGCTTCAAGCACAGCTGATGCCAGCAGAGGAAGGAGCGTTTGAGGAATAATGGGAACCGTTACATTTCAAAGCTGTAGCTAGGACCCATAAGGTCCCATTCTAAGTCATAGGGATGCACGATAAACAGCCTTTAAGGATCTCAAAGCAGTTAAAACATTGATGACTTGATATATTTGATTTGCTCGAGTGTCATGGGGAAGATAAGACGCTCCTTTAAAATGAAATACAATTCCATCAATGAGTTATTGCTTCGAAATCAGAAAGGTTAATTAAAAACAATGTAGTTTGTTTTTGAGAAAAACTGACTGGATTATGCCACTTCTCCCTGAGCTTGATGCTTCCAAACTACAAAATCATCTTTGCACCGAGTACATGAGCCTAAGGAGCTGGATTAAACAATACCAAGTAGAACTCTTGGACATGGAGGTTCTGAACATTAGGACACTCAGGGCTAATATGGCTCGATGAAAAAGGTTCTCTTCCACACACTTGTGGAACAGCTCTGGCTGCTCAGGGGGCGGAGCTACAGCAGAGGGAAAACCAGCTAAGACTGGGAAACGCAACACCTCTGCCAGCCTTATCCCGCCCACATGAACATTTGAAAATTCTATAAAAAAAGGGCATTGCCCGAGGACCAGGGAGGAAGGGGGGCTTAGAGTTGGGCGTGGTCTGGGCTGTGATTGACAGCCCTCTTGTCAATCACAGCCCACATAAAAAAAAAAAAAAATACAGCTGCCATTGCTGGTTTAAAGCAATACAATTCTCACTCCACCCTTGTTTACACACTAAGATAATTGTATTGCTAGACACAGAATTATCTTAGCAGTAGCGGCTCTCAACTTATGTGATTTAATTTTAACCAATGATGTCGCCATAATACTCCAACTGGCTACAGGCGTGTGTGAGACTAGGCTGCTTTTATACCACAGGCGCAGAGTGACGTCACACAGCACAAAGTGATGTCACACAGCACTCCAGAGCCAATGGAGAGCCAGGAACCAAATTCAAATGTAGTGCCAAGTTTAGGCTCAAACGTGAGATTTCTAATTTAATTTGCACCAAAATGTCCAAAAATGGATCAGGACATGAGCGCTCCTAGAAACATTTATGCAGTTTATAAGTTAAAGTTCATTTGGTGCTTAGTTAATATGGTAGCAAACGTGTTTTATGAACCATTACCGCTAGCCGTTATCGTGCACCCCAATTAGCTAAATGTAATCACCAGACTAATCAACATCAGTTTGATATGTTGAGCAAACCCCATCAGTCAGTCCTGAACTGGAAATGGGCAAAAGCCCTGAACATCAACCTGCACTAATGCTGAGATACCGAAATACATGTCCTTACAGAATATATGCCAGACGTTATAGACACATAATACAAAAGGTTATTGATAGAAAATGTGTCTAAAGTTCAGCGAGACCACACGCAGTCAAAAACACCTCCGAACAGTGCCTGTCCCGCTCACCTCAGACAGGGCTTGCAAGTGAAGCTACTACAAGATAAATACATGAGCAGCATTACACTGAGACAAAAGCTTTAGTACAGGCTGATGGTCTTTGGCTTCATCAAAAAAACTATAAGAACATGACTGGGGTTGCATCTGACGTGTCCTTTTATCGACCAGCTCTTATAAACTACACATGGGAATCATACACAGCACACTGGGCCTTTACAAACTAAAAAACTTCCCCAAAGGGGAATACATTACCATGTCGTTGTTCATCAGACCAGGGGAGGAGCCCATTCCCTGCTGTCCCTCAAAGCCCATTCCTCCCATGCCAAACTTCTGGCTCGGAGTGCCATAGGACATGTCTGCGCAGAAGAGGTCTGTTACTACCATCAAACAAACTATGGATCCAATCATTTTTTAAATATTTGGACAACAGCATTAGGGAATTCAATAAAACTAATTAGATGACACGTGGATATCAACTCACCTCCCATGGCACCACCGGAACTCAATCGCATTTCTCTCTCCCTCTGTCATAAAACATTGACAGAACATTAAAACTCAGTAATTCTATACCAACCATGTCCTGAAAAAACTCACATCCATGAAGTTTCCCATCCTGAAGCCGTCATCGCGCTGACGACGCAGCTGCTCCTCCACCTCCCTCTTACGGATCATCTCCTCCTCGCGCCTGCGACGCTCCTCCTCTTGTCTGTTAAGACAAAAGCATTAAAACAATCTGCCCACATGAGACAGAGACAAAAGATCAAGATGGAAAACTACCTGAGCTGCATCTCTTTTCGCTTCTGCATTTCCTGACTATGCATCTCCTCCATGCGTCTCAGCTCTTCCTGTCTCCTCAGTAAATCTAAGAAACAATGACATTTCAATAAAACAACTCACTTTAAAAAGTAAAAACCGTCCCTCGGGACAACAGGACTGTACCTTGTCTGAGGAGATTGGCCTGATGCTCATGGTAGGCGTCCTCCATCTCGCTCTCCAGTTTCTCACGAGCTTCTTGCATGTTCTTCTCAACTTGCTGCCTCTGCTGCTTCTCCATCTCATCCAGAGACTTCCAACGCTTGGAATATTCAAACTCAAAGGAGCCAGGGTGGGCAAAACGCGGTGGCTGTTCCCTTTCCCTAAAAAATGTTTTTTAAAAAAATTGTTTTATTCCTTAATACAAATGTCTTGTGTGCACTGCACTAGTTTTTACAAAAACAAGACATGATCTATGAAATTAAAATTACACTTGGTATCTTGGATTCTTCATCGCCAACTTCTCAGGAAGTCCATCTTCATCGTCGACCTGCTCCATTGGCTCAACAATAACCGGGCGTGGAGATCTACACAAAGTTAAATGTAAACGCCCCAGAAAATGATACAATAAAACAACTGGCATCATAATACGTACGAGGTCAACAGGAAGACTCCCTCGGCACATCTGTCAAGGGCTTTTCTGGCAGCCGGCTTTGAGGTGAATTCAACAATCCCCTTCCCAGTAGAGCGGCCACGGTCATCAACAATAACAACGGCGCGCTCGACCAGTCCAAACAGGGAAAATGCTTCCTCCAAGAGCTCGTTGGAGACAAAAGGTGACAGGTTTTTCACAGACAGAGCGGCAGAGTGCGTGGCAAACCTGACACGTAGAGGCCTTCCTCTCATGGGTATGTCATCTAGCTCTGCCTTAGCAATTTCTGCAAGAGCTCTAGACTCCTACAAAAAGAGACAAAGCGGTTTATGACAGCACGAAACAGGACAAAAGCACATAATGCTAGCACTTACCAGGCGGATAAAACCGAATCCTTTGGCTTTGTTGATGAAGACTTCACTGGGCTCTCCATATTTGGCGAACATGCCATTAAAAGCCTCCTCTGTAATGTCATTGGGTAAATTTCCAACAAACAAACGGCACCTCTGAGTATATGACTTCTCCCCAGGTTTCAGGAGCATGGACAGTTTGAACTCCATCTGTAAATACAAGAGGTACAGCAAGCATTCAGTGCAAGGCTGTTTAACACATACTGACCATTATCTATTAGTGTTTTTAAAATGTTATGACCAACAGCTACAAAACAAATGAAAATACGTAACTCAGAGGTTTAGACATTGAAAACCAAGGTACATTCCAAAGACAGTTCTCTGTAGTTTACACCCATCCCCCACGGAACTGACCTACATTTGCCGAGACCTCCAATACATTACGTAAATCTTTGTCATCGAATGTCAACAAAAAAATTCAAATGACTTCGTGTAAGCTTTGTATGAAGCAATAGCTACATAAATAAATTATTTTAAGATCCATAACGTTAGACTCTTCATAAGATGGCGGAGGGTGCGCTTGATGTGTTCACCATGACACACGGACTGCGCTAGCTTCAATGCTAGCTGCTAACGTGGCTAACAATGAGGCGACAAAAACAACACACCTTGGGCCTTTCTGTGTCGGAGGCCTGCTCGGTCTCCGCTGGTCCTGGTTCTTCAGTCTCTCTGGCTTTTGGAGCAGGAGGTCTTTGTTGAAACCCAGATCTCTGGTTGTGCTGATGGCCGCCCCTCTGGCCCGGTCTCTGGCCCTGCATGTACGGCCCTGGTCTGGGGCCCATCTGGTTTGACTGAGGCCTCGGCCCTGCCATCCCCGGCCTAGGGCCCTGCTGCAGCTGCTGCTGGGGGCCCTGCTGCAGCTGCTGCTGGGGGGGCTTCGGGGGTTGCTGAGGAGAGGGTCGTGGGGTCTGCTGCGGAGCCTGCTGCGGAGCCTGCTGCGGAGCCTGCTGTTGTGACCCGGGTCTCTGGCCTTGCTGCTGGGGAGACGGTCTGGGGCCCTGCTGCTGTGGAGGACCAGGTCTCTGGCCCTGCTGCTGGGGAGACGGTCTAGGAGGAGGCTGATGATGAGTGGGTCTCGGGGGCTGTTGCTGTTGAGGGGTAGGTTTGGGGGCCTGCTGCTGCTGGGGAGATGGTTTGGGGGTCTGCTGCTGAGGGCCAGGTTTGGGGGTCTGCTGCAGCTGCTGAGGGCCAGGTTTGGGGGTCTGCTGCAGCTGCTGAGGGCCAGGTTTGGGGGTCTGCTGCAGCTGCTGAGGGCCAGGTTTGGGGGTCTGCTGCAGCTGCTGAGGGCCAGGTTTGGGGGCCTGCTGCTGCTGAGGAGATGGTTTGGGGGTCTGCTGCTGCAGCTGCTGAGGGCCAGGTTTGGGGGCCTGCTGCTGCTGAGGAGATGGTTTGGGGGCCTGCTGCTGCTGAGGAGATGGTTTGGGGGCCTGCTGCTGCTGAGGAGATGGTTTGGGGGCCTGCTGCTGCTGAGGAGATGGTTTGGGGGCCTGTTGAGGAAGTCCTGGTTTAGGGCTCTGTGGGGGGGCTTGTTTGGGCTGCTGTCCGTTCAGATTGCTCTGCTCGGGTGTCTTGGTGGGCAGGGGTGTGGTGCCGCTGGGCTTCGGAGGGGGTGGTGGGATCTTCGGGGTCGAGGGCAGAGCTGGCGTCACCTTCTGCTCGAGTTTTTCATCCTTAACAGGGACCTTCATGGTGAGCGCGGGGCCGGGGGTAGGAGGTCCCTGGGGCTTGTGCTGGCTCTGGTTCACAGGCTTGTTGAAATTGTTGTTGTTGTTGTTGTTTCGTCGATTTTGGTTTTGATTCTGAAATGGATGGGCCCTAAACTGTTGGTTCCCCATGTAGCCTCCGCGCATGGGTCCCCCAGGTCCGCCGCCTCGTCTGGGGTTAAAGTTGTGCATCCCCATTCCTCCACGATTGTTGTAAAATCCAGACATCGCTTCTTCTAAGGAGTATGTCGATTTAAAAAAGAAGGCTACAGCAGAGATGCAAACCGTCGCGATCCTGCGTTGCTCCTTCTGCTGCTGTGTCCTTAAAATGGCGTCGGACAAAAGGCGTAGATCTGTGTTTGAGAGACCCAGAGACGCAGCTGATTGGCTCTGACTCACAGAGACGCAGCTGATTGGCTCTGACTCACAGAGACGCAGCTGATTGGCTCTGACTCACAGAGACACAGCTGATTGGCTCTGGTTTACAGAGACACAGCTGATTGGCTCTGGTTTACAGAGACACAGCTGATTGGCTCTGACTCGCAGCGACGCAGCTGATTGGCTCTGGTTTACAGAGACACAGCTGATTGGCTCTGACTCGCAGCGACGCAGCTGATTGGCTCTGATATTGGTTTAGCTTAGAAATTAGCCGCAGTTTACCTTTCGAGATTCTTTTACATTTAATTTGTAAAATAAAAATATTTGTGAGTAAAATGTAAATACAAAAAAATATCAAAAATATGTATATATTTTATTAAATTGTATGAAGTAAACGCTTGTTTTTTTCACGAGCCCCTCTCAACCATTCAACACGTAACTACACAGAATACAATACAATTCACCAACATACATAATACACGTATGATACTGAGCAGTAAGACCCTATGACAGGGTGTGGGACTCAGAAAAACGTGTGTTAACTTATCTTTGAAGCAACCAACCATTATCCATCCATCCATTTTCTTCCCGTTAATCCATTTCTGGGTCGGTTGGCAGTCAGAGCTGTGTTTATGTGTCTGCCGCTTACCTCAATGAAAATGAAGTTGATGTTGATTTATTTATATTTTGCCTCAAAAGTCTGGTTTACGCGCCAGAAAGTTATTATAAATAATATCCATTGAAAAAGATACATTTGCTCATGAAGCAATGGAAAATACAGTCCTTCTGTGTTTGAGCTCAGGTCTGTTACATTACGATTGTCAGCAGTGTTCATTGTACAGTCTGACATCAGCAGTAATGCCAGTAGTTTAAAATGACTAAATCAAAAGATAACATCAACAAACTCATGTTTTTGGAGATTTATTTTCAATACAGGTGTTTCCAAAACAACAAACAGAGACTCGACTCTGGGTAAATGCTCTTTATACAAACGCAGAGAATGAGATGAGAAACAGTGGAACAACAACAGAATTCATATTTTAAAAACATTTTAAGTCAATGTCAAAGCCCAGGAGAAAACAACAGTGAGACTAAAATGGTACAAGGAGAAGGTAGCTGCTGTTTCCATGAGTGAAGACATAAAATATCAGACATTCATTTGTTAACAATCAAAACGAGTTATTTTCTCTTAAATTAAAAACCCACAGAATCCGTTTGAGAAATGACACAAAGTGAGGAAAGAAAACTTCATACATTTAACAAGAAAACATTAAACACCTGTTTTAGTTTTTCAGCACACAACTTGAGATACTCCCAAGGTTTAAGTTGTTTAAGATTAAGTTTTAAAAATGTTACCTTCAGTCATAATGAACAGCTCTGCACACGAGCCGTTTATGTTTACATCCGTGGTTATTAGTGCGGCGTCGACGAGGAAACTGACCCCGTTTAGGAGGGACCAGAGGAGGGACCAGAGGAGGGACCAGAGGAGGGACCAGAGGAGGGAATGTAGCTTAATATTACTCAAAGAGGAATAAAAATAATCCAACAGACCATGCAACATTAAAAAGGTGAACTGTTCAGAAGAGATAATGATCTTTTCAAATGTGATGAATCGTTACATTTCTCCTTCGTGAGATCAATAAAGTTTATCTTATCAACAGACCCTAAAGTCGTCGACATGACACAAAGATGATCAATGAGACCCGATAATGCACGACACACTCCGGTCAAGAACCAGAACCAGTTACTGCAGATAAAATGACATTTATGATAAAATGACCATTAGATAACTCAGAATGTGTGCGGGACAGAAGAAGGATTTATACCGAAGGCAGGAGAGTATTTAACACGAAACACCGAAAGATCCAACAAACGTGAGGGACAGTGACGGCATTATACACTTTCACATGTTCGGGCGGGGTTTGCAAATGCACAGAGCTGGGTTTCATAATAGTACCAAGAGTTAGGGTGACATCAATCTCACTCCCGGGTTCAAAGCTGCAGCTACAGATCCACTCTTTTTGTTTTTGACTTTATGTTGCTTTTGTTCAAATTAGGGGGAAAAAAGATATAAATAGGAGTTGGTCAGGGAGCTAAAGTTCTGCTAATGTAGACTGCTCTTTTGTTTCATTAAGCTAATGCCTAGCGTACATCGGAATGGCAACTGATTATATCTGTGGCCTATGAGTCGCTGCCCCGCACACTCCTGTATCAGACCAGTCTGGGGAATAACAGCAACTGGCCTCAACTACAGTGTGTTTTCTGACTTAAACTGTAGAGGGCGCAATACACGCATGTTTGTTGGAGCACATCGGGTCATATCTCCGAAACTGAGGACAACTAGTTGCCGAAAAGTAGAACACGGGCAACTGACTGAAACTGGAGACCGACTGTTTATCTCCAGTTGTAAGAGCGCTCACATCGACCGATTTCAACTGATCATCTCCATCTCCTCTCAGTCGCCTTCAACTAGTCGTCTCCAGTTACTCTGTCCATGTACGCTGTTTTGATTCATGAAGCTAAAGTTCTGCTAATGCTACGCTAACTTCTATTTTGTGTAACTTAAAAGACAGATTCGTGAATAGTTATAACAGACATAATTAAGCTAATGTCTTGTTTATAACAACGTAGCTGAAGCTTGGACCTGGAAGTGCCGTGTTTTACGTCGTTAAACAGCTGCATAGGAGTTTTTTGGTCGTTACAAGGAACAAGACAATTAGTTGCAAATGAAAAAGGGAATGTGCAGGATGTCTCTCTGAAGTGTTGAAAATGAAATCCGTGTGGGGACAGCGAGGGTTAAAATGGCTGTTTCCGCGGCGTGGGCGTGGCGTGGCGTGGGCGTGGTCAGTGTCTGGGGTTTGCTCACAGTTAAATCAGATTCGAGGCAAATACTTCTCAATAAATTCCTTTACGACCTCCATCTCCTGAAACACGGAAACCAAACAAAGTTCAAATCATTTCAATTCATGTTTTTGTAAAGTTCTTTTTCAAAACAGTCGTCTGTCGATTCCTCAACAACAGAAATCAGAAAATCAAACACAGCTTAGTAAAGTTAGTCTTATACGTACGGTTGTTTTGTTTTTACTGTTTCCACCTGTGTCTATTATCATTCTCCCTCACCTCTCTCTTTATCACGCCTCTCTGCTCTCACCTCTCTGCCCTCACCTCTCTCTTTATCACGCCTCTCTACCCTCACCTCTCTCTTTATCACACCTCTCTACCCTCACCTCTCTCTTTATCACGCCTCTCTACCCTCACCTCTCTACCCTCACCTCTCTACCCTCACCTCTCTACCCTCACCTCTCTGCCCTCACCTCTCTACCCTCACCTCTCTGCCCTCACCTCTCTGCCCTCACCTCTCTACCCTCACCTCTCTACCCTCACCTCTCTGCCCTCACCTCTCTGCCCTCACCTCTCTCTTTATCACACCTCTCTACCCTCACCTCTCTACCCTCACCTCTCTGCTCTCACCTCTCTCTTTATCACGCCTCTCTACCCTCACCTCTCTACACTCACCTCTCTACCCTCACCTCTCTACCCTCACCTCTCTACCCTCACCTCTCTCCCCTCACCTCTCTGCTCTCACCTCTCTGCCCTCACCTCTCTGCCCTCACCTCTCTGCCCTCACCTCTCTGCCCTCTCTGCTCTCACCTCTCTGCCCTCACCTCTCTGCCCTCACCTCTCTGCCCTCACCTCTCTACCCTCACCTCTCTACCCTCACCTCTCTACCCTCACCTCTCTGCTCTCACCTCTCTGCCCTCACCTCTCTGCCCTCACCTCTCTGCCCTCACCTCTCTGCCCTCTCTGCTCTCACCTCTCTACCCTCACCTCTCTGCTCTCACCTCTCTACCCTCACCTCTCTGCCCTCACCTCTCTGCTCTCACCTCTCTACCCTCACCTCTCTACCCTCACCTCTCTACCCTCACCTCTCTCTTTATCACGCCTCTCTACCCTCACCTCTCTGCCCTCACCTCTCTGCTCTCACCTCTCTACCCTCACCTCTCTGCTTCACCTCTCTACCCTCACCTCTCTACCCTCACCTCTCTACCCTCACCTCTCTGCCCTCACCTCTCTGCCCTCACCTCTCTGCCCTCACCTCTCTGCCCTCACCTCTCTACCCTCACCTCTCTACCCTCACCTCTCTACCCTCTCTGCTCTCACCTCTCTGCCCTCACCTCTCTACCCTCACCTCTCTGCCCTCACCTCTCTGCCCTCACCTCTCTACCCTCACCTCTCTACCCTCACCTCTCTACCCTCACCTCTCTACCCTCACCTCTCTACCCTCACCTCTCTGCCCTCACCTCTCTGCCCTCACCTCTCTGCCCTCACCTCTCTGCCCTCACCTCTCTGCCCTCACCTCTCTACCCTCACCTCTCTACCCTCACCTCTCTGCCCTCACCTCTCTGCTCTCACCTCTCTGCCCTCACCTCTCTGCCCTCACCTCTCTCTTTATCACGCCTCTCTACCCTCACCTCTCTGCCCTCACCTCTCTGCCCTCTCTGCTCTCACCTCTCTGCCCTCACCTCTCTGCCCTCACCTCTCTGCCCTCTCTGCTCTCACCTCTCTACCCTCACCTCTCTGCTCTCACCTCTCTACCCTCACCTCTCTACCCTCACCTCTCTCTTTATCACGCCTCTCTACCCTCACCTCTCTACCCTCACCTCTCTGCTCTCACCTCTCTGCTCTCACCTCTCTGCCCTCACCTCTCTGCCCTCACCTCTCTGCTCTCACCTCTCTGCCCTCACCTCTCTACCCTCACCTCTCTACCCTCACCTCTCTGCCCTCACCTCTCTGCCCTCACCTCTCTACCCTCACCTCTCTGCTCTCACCTCTCTGCTCTCACCTCTCTACCCTCACCTCTCTACCCTCACCTCTCTGCTCTCACCTCTCTGCTCTCACCTCTCTGCCCTCACCTCTCTGCCCTCACCTCTCTACCCTCACCTCTCTACCCTCACCTCTCTGCCCTCACCTCTCTACCCTCACCTCTCTACCCTCACCTCTCTGCCCTCACCTCTCTGCCCTCACCTCTCTGCTCTCACCTCTCTACCCTCACCTCTCTGCCCTCACCTCTCTGCCCTCACCTCTCTACCCTCACCTCCTCTCTGCCCTCACCTCTCTGCCCTCACCTCTCTGCCCTCACCTCTCTCTTTATCACGCCTCTCTACCCTCACCTCTCTACCCTCACCTCTCTCTTTATCACGCCTCTCTACCCTCACCTCTCTGCCCTCACCTCTCTGCCCTCACCTCTCTGCCCTCACCTCTCTGCCCTCACCTCTCTGCCCTCACCTCTCTGCCCTCACCTCTCTGCTCTCTCACCTCTCTACCCTCACTCACCTCTCTGCTCTCACCTCTCTGCCCTCACCTCTCTGCTCTCACCTCTCTGCCCTCACCTCTCTGCTCTCACCTCTCTACCCTCACCTCTCTACCCTCACCTCTCTGCTCTCACCTCTCTGCTCTCACCTCTCTGCCCTCACCTCTCTGCCCTCACCTCTCTACCCTCACCTCTCTACCCTCACCTCTCTGCCCTCACCTCTCTACCCTCACCTCTCTACCCTCACCTCTCTGCCCTCACCTCTCTGCCCTCACCTCTCTGCTCTCACCTCTCTACCCTCACCTCTCTGCCCTCACCTCTCTGCCCTCACCTCTCTACCCTCACCTCTCTGCCCTCACCTCTCTGCCCTCACCTCTCTGCCCTCACCTCTCTCTTTATCACGCCTCTCTACCCTCACCTCTCTACCCTCACCTCTCTCTTTATCACGCCTCTCTACCCTCACCTCTCTGCCCTCACCTCTCTGCCCTCACCTCTCTGCCCTCACCTCTCTGCCCTCACCTCTCTGCCCTCACCTCTCTGCCCTCACCTCTCTGCTCTCACCTCTCTACCCTCACCTCACCTCTCTGCTCTCACCTCTCTGCTCTCACCTCTCTGCCCTCACCTCTCTGCTCTCACCTCTCTGCCCTCACCTCTCTGCTCTCACCTCTCTGCCCTCACCTCTCTGCCCTCACCTCTCTACCCTCACCTCTCTGCCCTCACCTCTCTGCCCTCACCTCTCTGCCCTCACCTCTCTGCTCTCACCTCTCTGCTCTCACCTCTCTGCCCTCACCTCTCTGCCCTCACCTCTCTACCCTCACCTCTCTGCCCTCACCTCTCTGCCCTCACCTCTCTGCTCTCACCTCTCTGCTCTCACCTCTCTGCCCTCACCTCTCTGCCCTCACCTCTCTGCCCTCACCTCTCTGCCCTCACCTCTCTGCCCTCACCTCTCTGCCCTCACCTCTCTGCCCTCACCTCTCTACCCTCACCTCTCTGCCCTCACCTCTCTACCCTCACCTCTCTGCCCTCACCTCTCTACCCTCACCTCTCTGCTCTCACCTCTCTGACTTCCTGTTGATCACGTGGCAATAAAAATTATTATTATTTCAGTGTTTTTGGTTCATTCATGATAAAAACTAAACTATACTTCACTGGAGAAAAACAGCAACAAATTATTATTGGTCAGCTGTACCTAGGGTCAGGAGCTGTACCTGTGGTCAGGAGCTGTACCTGTGGTCAGGAGCTGTACCTGTGGTCAGGAGCTGTACCTAGGGTCAGGAGCTGTACCTGGGGTCAGGAGCTATACCTGGGGTCAGGAGCTGTACCTAGAGTCAGGAGCTGTACCTGTGGTCAGGAGCTGTACCTGTGGTCAGGAGCTGTACCTAGGGTCAGGAGCTGTACCTGGGGTCAGGAGCTGTACCTAGAGTCAGGAGCTATACCTGTGGTCAGGAGCTGTACCTGTGGTCAGGAGCTGTACCTAGGGTCAGGAGTTGTACCTGTGGTCAGGAGCTGTACCTAGGGTCAGGAGCTGTACCTAGGGTCAGGAGCTGTACCTAGGGTCAGGAGCTGTACCTGGAGCTGTACCTAGGGCCAGGAGATGTACCTGTGGTCAGGAAGTGTACCTGTGGTCAGGAGCTGTACCTAGGGTCAGGAGCTGTACCTAGGGTCAGGAGCTGTACCTGTGGTCAGGAGCTGTACCTGTGGTCAGGAGCTGTACCTAGGGTCAGGAGCTGTACCTGGGGTCAGGAGCTATACCTGGGGTCAGGAGCTGTACCTAGAGTCAGGAGCTGTACCTGTGGTCAGGAGCTGTACCTGTGGTCAGGAGCTGTACCTAGGGTCAGGAGCTGTACCTGGGGTCAGGAGCTGTACCTAGAGTCAGGAGCTATACCTGTGGTCAGGAGCTGTACCTGTGGTCAGGAGCTGTACCTAGGGTCAGGAGTTGTACCTGTGGTCAGGAGCTGTACCTAGGGTCAGGAGCTGTACCTAGGGTCAGGAGCTGTACCTAGGGTCAGGAGCTGTACCTGGAGCTGTACCTAGGGCCAGGAGATGTACCTGTGGTCAGGAAGTGTACCTGTGGTCAGGAGCTGTACCTAGGGTCAGGAGCTGTACCTGTGGTCAGGAGCTGTACCTGGGGTCAGGAGCTGTACGTGGAGCTGTACCTAGGGTCAGGAGCTGTACCTGTGGTCAGGAGCTGTACCTGGGGTCAGGAGCTGTACGTGGAGCTGTACCTAGGGTCAGGAGCTGTACCTAGGGTCAGGAGCTGTACCTGAGGTCAGGAGCTGTACCTAGGGTCAGGAGCTGTACCTGTGGTCAGGAGCTGTACCTGTGGTCAGGAGCTGTACCTAGGGTCAGGAGCTGTACCTGGGGTCAGGAGCTGTACCTAGAGTCAGGAGCTGTACCTGTGGTCAGGAGCTGTACCTGTGGTCAGGAGCTGTACCTAGGGTCAGGAGCTGTACCTGGGGTCAGGAGCTGTACCTAGAGTCAGGAGCTATACCTGTGGTCAGGAGCTGTACCTAGGGTCAGGAGCTGTACCTGTGGTCAGGAGCTGTACCTAGGGTCAGGAGTTGTACCTGTGGTCAGGAGCTGTACCTAGGGTCAGGAGCTGTACCTAGGGTCAGGAGCTGTACCTGGAGCTGTACCTAGGGCCAGGAGATGTACCTGTGGTCAGGAAGTGTACCTGTGGTCAGGAGCTGTACCTAGGGTCAGGAGCTGTACCTGTGGTCAGGAGCTGTACGTGGAGCTGTACCTAGGGTCAGGAGCTGTACCTAGGGTCAGGAGCTGTACCTGTGGTCAGGAGCTGTACGTGGAGCTGTACCTAGGGTCAGGAGTTGTACCTGTGGTCAGGAGCTGTACCTAGGGTCAGGAGTTGTACCTGTGGTCAGGAGCTGTACCTGTGGTCAGGAAGTGTACCTAGGGTCAGGAGTTGTACCTGTGGTCAGGAGCTGTACCTGTGGTCAGGAAGTGTACCTAGGGTCAGGAGCTGTACCTGTGGTCAGGAAGTGTACCTGGGGTCAGGAGCTGTACCTAGGGTCAGGAGTTGTACCTGGGGTCAGGAGCTGTACCTAGAGTCAGGAGCTATACCTGTGGTCAGGAGCTGTACCTAGGGTCAGGAGCTGTACCTAGGGTCAGGAGCTGTACCTAGGGTCAGGAGTTGTACCTGGGGTCAGGAGCTGTACCTAGAGTCAGGAGCTATACCTGTGGTCAGGAGCTATACCTGTGGTCAGGAGCTGTACCTAGAGTCAGGAGCTGTACCTAGGGTCAGGAGCTGTACCTAGGGTCAGGAGCTGTACCTGTGGACAGGAAGTGTACCTAGGGTCAGGAGTTGTACCTGTGGTCAGGAAGTTTACCTAGGGTCAGGAGCTGTACCTAGAGTCAGGAGCTATACCTGTGGTCAGGAGCTGTACCTAGGGTCAGGAGCTGTACCTGTGGTCAGGAGCTGTACCTAGGGTCAGGAGCTGTACCTGGGGTCAGGAGCTGTACCTAGAGTCAGGAGCTATACCTGTGGTCAGGAGCTGTACCTAGGGTCAGGAGCTCTACCTGTGGTCAGGAGCTGTACCTAGGGTCAGGAGCTGTACCTGTGGACAGGAAGTGTACCTAGGGTCAGGAGCTGTACCTGTGGTCAGGAAGTGTACCTGGGGTCAAGAGCTGTACCTAGAGTCAGGTCAGGAGCTGTACCTAGGGTCAGGAGCTGTACCTAGGGTCAGGAGCTGTACCTCGGGTCAGGAGCTGTACCTAGGGTCAGGAGCTGTACCTTGGGTCAGGAGCTGTACCTGTGGTCAGGAGCTGTACCTGGGGTCAGGAGCAGTACCTGTGGTCAGGAGCTGTACCTTGGGTCAGGAACCATACCTGTGGTCAGGAGCCGTACCTGGGGTCAGGAGCAGTACCTGGGGTCAGGAGCTGTACCTGGGGTCAGGAGCTGTACCTGGGGTCCGAAGCTTTACCTAGGGTCAGGAGCCGTACCTGTGGTTAGGAGCCGTACCTGTGGTCAGGAGCTGTACCTAGGGTCAGGAGCTGTACCTAGGGTCAGGAGCTGTACCTGTGGTCAGGAGCTGTACCTGTGGTCAGGAAGTGTACCTTGGGTCAGGAACCATACCTGTGGTCAGGAGCTGTACCTGTGGTCAGGAGCCGTACCTAGGGTCAGGAGCCGTACCTGTGGTCAGGAGCCGTACCTAGGGTCAGGAGCTGTACCTGTGGTCAGGAGCTGTACCTGTGGTCAGGAGCTGTACCTAGGGTCAGGAGCTGTACCTAGGGTCAGGAGCTGTACCTGTGGTCAGGAGCTGTACCTGTGGTCAGGAAGTGTACCTTGGGTCAGGAACCATACCTGGGGTCAGGAGCAGTACCTGTGGTCAGGAAGTGTACCTTGGGTCAGGAGCTGTACGTGGAGCTGTACCTAGGGTCAGGAGCTGTACCTAGGGTCAGGAGCTGTACCTGTGGTCAGGAGCTGTACCTAGGGTCAGGAGCTGTACCTGTGGTCAGGAGCTGTACCTGTGGTCAGGAGCTGTACCTAGGGTCAGGAGCTGTACCTGGGGTCAGGAGCTATACCTGGGGTCAGGAGCTGTACCTAGAGTCAGGAGCTGTACCTGTGGTCAGGAGCTGTACCTAGGGTCAGGAGCTGTACCTGGGGTCAGGAGCTGTACCTAGAGTCAGGAGCTATACCTGTGGTCAGGAGCTGTACCTAGGGTCAGGAGCTGTACCTGTGGTCAGGAGCTGTACCTAGGGTCAGGAGTTGTACCTGTGGTCAGGAGCTGTACCTAGGGTCAGGAGCTGTACCTAGGGTCAGGAGCTGTACCTGGAGCTGTACCTAGGGCCAGGAGATGTACCTGTGGTCAGGAAGTGTACCTGTGGTCAGGAGCTGTACCTAGGGTCAGGAGCTGTACCTGTGGTCAGGAGCTGTACGTGGAGCTGTACCTAGGGTCAGGAGCTGTACCTAGGGTCAGGAGCTGTACCTGTGGTCAGGAGCTGTACCTGTGGTCAGGAGCTGTACGTGGAGCTGTACCTAGGGTCAGGAGCTGTACCTAGGGTCAGGAGCTGTACCTGTGGTCAGGAGCTGTACGTGGAGCTGTACCTAGGGTCAGGAGCTGTACCTAGGGTCGGGAGTTGTACCTGGGGTCAGGAGCTGTACCTAGAGTCAGGAGCTATACCTGTGGTCAGGAGCTGTACCTAGGGTCAGGAGCTGTACCTGTGGACAGGAAGTGTACCTAGGGTCAGGAGTTGTACCTGTGGTCAGGAAGTTTACCTGGGGTCAGGAGCTGTACCTAGAGTCAGGAGCTGTACCTAGGGTCAGGAGCTGTACCTGAGGTCAGGAGCTGTACCTGGGGTCAGGAGCTGTACCTGAGGTCAGGAGCTGTACCTGGGGTCAGGAGCTGTACCTGGGGTCAGGAGCTGTACCTAGGGTCAGGAGCTGTACCTAGGGTCAGGAGCTGTACCTGAGGTCAGGAGCTGTACCTGGGGTCAGGAGCTGTACCTGAGGTCAGGAGCTGTACCTGTGGTCAGGAGCTGTACCTGGGGTCAGGAGCTGTACCTGTGGTCAGGAGCTGTACCTGTGGACAGGAGCTGTGGGAGAGGCCGGTGAAGCTGCTGAACGTGACGAGCTGAGGGTTGACGAGGGTCTTGAGCAGGTCGGAGGTCACGCGGCCGAACTCTAAGGGGACCATGGGGTCAGACGTCCCGTGACACTGAAGGACGGGGATGTTCCTGGAGCCGCAGGACGCCTGAAACAAAAGTCTGATTATTATAATCATTATATTGAGACGAGGCTTATCTTTATTAAACTATATTTTATCCACCCACATTTATTTGATGAAAAGATTTTCAAATGTTTTTGGCAATTTGTATTTTTGTTCTAGATAAAATAAAGTATACTTTCTTAAATAACCTAAACTACACAGCCCCAGAGTGGGGACACCTGCGACTAGAGGCGCTCTCAGGCGCTTAAGCTCAAGAAGATCCCAAACAAATAGGATCTGGCAACTGCTGCACGTCCCTCTTTACTGCGCAACACCAAAAATGAAAGATTTTTAACCGAGGAAAAGTTCCCTATGCAGCGGCAGGCCAGCAGAACTCAGCGCCACCAAACCCCACCAACTTGTGCTGACAGGTCAGGGCGGTGTACAGAGGACAGGGCCCCCCCCCTGAAGAATACATACTCAAGGTCAGAGGAGGAGCACAGGGACAGGCCCCCCCACCCCTGGAAGAAAACAACACAAAGTCAGGAGAGGAGCACAGGGAACAGGCCCCCCCCCCCCGTGGGACCACCCCCCACAGAAATGAGGAGCAGTTACCTGAGAGAGAGCCTCCGATGAATGATGCCCCGATGAGGAAGGGCTCGATACGAGCCTTTGGTTTCAATTATGGCGAGCTCAACACCCGACACAGAACACAATTACACTTTGATGTCATATGTGAAGATGTCTTCGTCCTGTGATGTTTGATGTCATATAATCAGGAGAAGTCATGAAGATGCTGTCTGTCCTTATGTCATGTGAGTCATAGCATGTTGCTGATATTTTTTTTTTTTTGCATTTTATGTCCTGTGATGTAATGACTGTGATGATGTCCATTATTCCATGTGCTGTCACAGATTGCGTGTGTCATTATGTCATGTGAAGTCATGAAGTGATGATGTCTGATGCTCACTGCTTCCGCTGCTCTTTAGATCGCCTTACTATCTGCCGAACCAGACCAGAGCCCTTTGAGGTCAAACTGAAAACCATGTTACATCGAGGTGTCACAGGGACAGGAGGGGTACCAGGGACGGAGTCCAAGGGAAGGGGGCTCCCAGGGCAGAGCTCGCGGGACGAGGGGAATGGACAGAGGGTACCGGGACGGCGCTCCCAGGGACAGATGCAGACCACGTTTTTTAGTTCTGCGCCACATGTTGTTTTTATTTTACCACTGAGATTAATGAGCCGCGCGGAGTTCTGGCAACCTGATCACGGACTTACATGACACTTTCTGATTGGCGAAACGGCGGAGGGTAGGACATCAAAATCAAAACAATAACAACTTTTACGGGTCGTAAGACTAATTTTGATGATCAAATATCTCGGCTGAACTACTGTTATCAGTTAAAGATGAATTCGAAAAGAGTATGATTTAATAACGCCTTTTGAAATATTCGGGTCATTTAATGATGACTTGACATGCAAATATTACATATTGCTCCTTTAACTCTCTTTAACATATCCGTCATTTAAATGTTGATTAATGCCTATTTCCAATATTCCTTTTTCTTGTCCAATATGCAGGACAGAGGCTAACCATGTACAATGCAGTGCATGAGGACACTCCCCCAGAGCCCGCTCCTCACCGGGGGACAACTCTCTTACAGGTGTGAGATTTCATAACACTTTTAAGCAACTTTTGTTAAAGTTAAACTCATCATTCTATCAATGTGCAGAAGCCAGTACTTTTCCCTTGTGTCTATCTGAAGGCCAAGCTACATGGCACTGTGGCAGCTGCTGATTGGAGGTCTCCATGCCTCCGCTCTGTATAATACACTTGCATTCTGTTGTATCTGTTGTTCGTGCTGTCTCTACCATTGACAATAAAACATGTCTTCTGTCTGAATTAAAGACGCGATCCCAGACTATGTCATCTTCTTCACAGGGTTTATTATTATTATGACCTAAAACTAAAGGAGGCTTTCCTTTCCTTGTTTTTATGTTTATTTGTTATGTTTTCCGCTGTGGTTCAGGACAGCGCTGTTCAGGCAAGGTGTTTGGGTGTGAAACGAGAATATTCTTACCATAAAAATGATACATATTAACCCCAACATAAAAATCCTCTCCTTGAATGTAAATGGAATTAAGAGTTTTATATGTGCCTCACTGTTTGTGTGCTTTGTTGTGTCGGAGCCCCCGGTGTCTCCTGTTTTATTCCAATGAAGTTTTTTTCTGCAAATGGCAAATAAATTGATTCTGATTCTGTCTGGTCCAGAGAGAAGTGTGACTGGAGACAGCTCGGTCAGTCTGTCCCGGGGCAGCTGTGGCTACAGTAGATTGTCACTGTGTATCGAGTGAATGAGTCTTGTTCATTATGATTCTAAACTTACGGGATGTTGAACAGGAGCTCTTCATCTGCATCACTCTCCACAAACTAAAACATAATTCATCATTAGTATGGATCATGTGACACTTACTGTCAGACTGTAGACTGAGGCTGTACTGTCAGACTGTAGACTGAGGCTGTACTGTCAGACTGTAGACTGAGGCTGTACTGTCAGACTGTAGACTGAGGCTGTACTGTCAGACTGTAGACTGAGGCTGTACTGTCAGACTGTAGACTGAGGCTGTACTGTCAGACTGTAGACTGAGGCTGTACTGTCAGACTGTAGACTGAGGCTGTACTGTCAGACTGTAGACTGAGGCTGTACTGTCAGACTGTAGACTGAGGCTGTACTGTCAGACTGTAGACTGAGGCTGTACTGTCAGACTGTAGACTGAGACTGTACTGTCAGACTGTAGACTGAGGCTGTACTGTCAGACTGTAGACTGAGACTGTACTGTCAGACTGTAGACTGAGGCTGTACTGTCAGACTGTAGACTGAGGCTGTACTGTCAGACTGTAGACTGAGGTCAGTGCTCAGCAGGTCAGAAGGAGTCTTACCTTCTCTCGGTCTCGGCGCTGGTCCCAGGGCTTGAACACGTGCTTCCCGGTACCGTCTATGGTCTCGTTCAGACACTGGAGCTTGTTCAGGTCGATCCTCCGGTACAGACCGTACTCCACGCCTCTCTCCGCGGGATCATGCTCTGCCGCACACCCGCAGCCTCCTCCGTGTCCGTGTCCGTGTCCAGACATAGCGGGGTCAGGGGTCAGGGTTAGAGCTGGAGACAAGCGCGTGTAGCTGAAGCCTGTTTCACTTTACGGCGTGAAACTGAACACTTCCGGCATCAAATGTCGCACGCGGGTTGGTGACTTCCGGGTTTGGAGCCTTCAAAATAAGATCCTAAACGTAGTTTGTTTAACCCTTCAATGTTCACTCCTTGAAGAAAGCACTTTCCTTTTGTGATTTTCTAAGACGTAAGACACTAATGACAAGTAATTTAAATGTGTTTTTATTGGTGAAATTATACCAATAATAATTATTTTTACCAATAAAAAAAAAGCAGTTGGATGTAAAAGTGCCTAATACCCAGTGATAAAGATGCAACAAAGGGGTAGATTTCAGTTCCATGTTTCAAGTGCAAAGTGTGACTCATTAAAGGGTTAAAGAATAGTATGATTTATTTAATAACTTTGTCATTTCATGTTTTCAAATATAACACAACAGTTTGAAGGAGTCCATCTTCAATAGTTTAGTTTGTACATGTTTAAATAAAGGGGCCGGAAACACTAGTCGTCTTTCTCCTCGTTTTCATTTGTGTGACAGGACAATTATTTGGTTTATTGATCTCTTCCTGTAAAACTAAAAGTACATGACCAACAGTGAAAATACAGACGCTGGAAAACAAGGAGATTGTGAAATCTCAGACGACAGACGCCGATTAAAGATCAGATCAGTTTGGTACTTCTGATTAAAGATTCAGGTCTTTAGGTCCTGACGTTTTCACAGAGTCTGGTCCAGAGACAACTGTGGTTTAACCATAGACCCTCTGTCAGTCTGAATTATCATTGTTCATTTTCAACCTCTATATTAGTCCATTTCTGGGTCGGGGGGTCCACACAGTCCCTCTGATCCTCTGTGGGGGGGTCCACAGTCCCTCTGATAGTCTGTGGGGGGGGGGTCCAGAGGAGGCTGCTCCATCAGCAGTGACCCAGCCTTGACTCTTTAGTGGGGGCTTCAGGGTCTTGCCCAAGGACACAACAACGACAGCAGACATGAGTGGGAGCAGTTGGAGTAGCTCTCGTCGGGGATCGAACCCACGACCTTCAGGCCCAAAGACCAGTGCTCTGAGTCTCTAACTTTTTCAGCGGTGGCCGCAGCACCGACAGGCGACTCTCACAGAACCTCAGGAAACAAACCTTGTTTCTTTAAAAAGGAGACGACACATTTCAGGGCAAAAGTCAATTTTAATAAAAATTACAATTTAAGATTCATTAAAATCTAATAAATTCCAGTTATGATGTAGTTTCACTTTGGGCCCAGTGCTGCGGCCTACAGTCCAGAGTTTGGTCTTTTGGAAAGACTTAGAGACACTTCAGGGAGTGACGGGACTGCAGGAGCTCGTGTATATAAATTAAACAATAAATTAGTTTTTTCCTTCCTTAAAGCTGTTGTTTTGATGAAAAGCTCAAAACAAAACAGCTTTGACAAAGGAGCGTGTGCCGATAGTGTTCCTTATGCATGAAATGGTCCAATTAAAACCAACAATGTTAAAAAATGCCATAAAATGATTCCTCGAGAAAGGGGAGGTTTTGGGCTCGTTTTACCCAAAAATTAAATAAATGTTTTTCTAATAAGACTCATTTAAAACCGTCTGAAGTCGTCGATCCCTCTTTACATAATCTCTACCATTTAAAAACAACGACTCCACGAGTTCTCCACGTTTTGTGCAAAAGTCACTAATGCAAAAACTTAAAACATTTAAGTTGATAAACTACAGTTTGTTCAAACTATCGTCGGGAAAAGCGGTTCTTGAAGGCTTTGATAGTTTTCGCCATCATAGGAGCGATTTCTGCAACAAAGGAACAAATGAACAGTTAGAAAATACATTCTGCAACAAAGTGATTCGTTTGATTCATTAAAACATAAAAACAAACCGTTAAGTTTAACCTGGGTCTGTTTTTATCCCTCAGCGCTTTGTCAGTGATTGAGAGTCAGTGTTTTATGGTAACACTTCCTTTTGGCAGAGGTCTGTGCTCTACAGGTGCATTTCTAACATGTGATAAAAACATTTAGATGAATTATAACCTGTTCCATGTTGGATCTTCTCAGTTACAAAAATACAATCTTTGTATCTTTCCAAAACCAGATTTTTGTGGCTGAATGAACCATTGTTATAGTTTTTAACCATCAAGTCCTAAAGAGTTGCTGTTTTTAACTGAGGTAGAATTCTAGAAAAGAAACATTTATCCAAACTCTTTTCTGAGCTCCATGAACAACATCCTTTAAACCAGGGGTTCCCAAAGTGGGGGTCGGGACCCCCACTTTGGGAACAACATCCTTTATACGATAAAGACCATGAGTCCAGACATACTTTTGACCAGTGGTTTGTCGCGGGCCGCAGAGGCGCTGCTGGAGAAAGGGTTCCGGGGGCCGCTGGACGGGGGGCTGGAGGAGGACGAGGGTCCGGGGGAGTCGGGCCGAGTCACGGTGAACGCCGGACGGATCCTGGAGCAGAAAGTCTGTTTTAGCTCGTTTAAACCACCAGGAGTGTTTCTTTTAAAAGGCCCTTTTCAGATTTTTAAGGACGATGCTAACCAGCTAGCTCAATGAAGCCTAAAAGGGAAGTGCTCATGGACAACGTTTTGATCCACCTCAACTCAGAAAAACCGTTTGTGTCACATTCACCATTTTTTATGGTTTACGCTGTGTTTGTAGATACAGATAATGTCCCATAACAACTAACCCTGGACTTCTACCCGACGTCTGTCTGCGTCACACTGGTCCTCACTGTGTCTAACCAGTGAAGATTGTGCGTCACTGGTCCTCACTGTGTGCGTCTGTAACCAGTGAAGATTGTGTGACACTGGTCCTCACTGTGTGTGTCTGTAACCAGTGAAGATTGTGTGACACTGGTCCTCACTGTGTCTGTAATCAGTGAGGATTGTGTGACACTGGTCCTCACTGTGTGTAACCAGTGAAGATTGTGTGACACTGGTCCTCACTGTGTCTGTAACCAGTGAAGATTGTGTTACACTGGTCCTCACTGTGTCTGTAACCAGTGAAGATTGTGTGTCACAGGTCCTCACTGTCTGTAACCAGTGAAGATTGTGTGTCACTGGTCCTCACTGTCTGTAACCAGTTAAGATTGTGTTACACTGGTCCTCACTGTCTGTAACCAGTTAAGATTGTGTTACACTGGTCCTCACTGTGTCTGTAACCAGTGAAGATTGTGTGTCACTCGTCCTCACTGTCTCTGTAACCAGTGAAGATTGTGTGTCACTGGTCCTCACTGTGTCTGTAAACAGTGAAGATTGTGTGTCACTGGTCCTCACTGTGTCTAACCAGTGAAGATTGTGTGTCACTGGTCCTCACTGTGTCTGTAACCAGTGAAGATTGTGTTGCACTGGTCCTCACTGTGTCTGTAACCAGTGAAGATTGTGTGTCACTGGTCCTCACTGTGTCTAACCAGTGAAGGTTGTGTGTCACTGGTCCTGACTGTCTGTAACCAGTGAAGATTGTGTGACACTGGTCCTAACTGTGTCTGTAACCAGTGAGAATTGTGGATTGTGTGACACTGGTCCTCACTGTGTCTAACCAGTGAAGGTTGTGTGTCACTGGTCCTCACTGTGTCTAACCGGTGAAGATTGTGTGTCACTGGTCCTCACTGTCTGTAACCAGTGAAGATTGTGTGACACTGGTCCTCACAGTGTCTGTAACCAGTGAGGATTGTGTGACACTGGTCCTCACTGTGTCTGTAACCAGTGAGGATTGTGGATTGTGTGACACTGGTCCTCACTGTGTCTGTAACCAGTGAGGATTGTGTGACACTGGTCCTCACTGTGTCTGCAACCGATGAGAATTGTGTGACACTGGTCCTCACTGTGTCTGTAACCGATGAGAATTGTGTGACACTGGTCCTCACTGTATCTGTAACCGGTGAAGATTGTGTGACACTGGTCCTCACTGTGTCTGTAACCAGTGAGGATTGTGGATTGTGTGACACTGGTCCTCACTGTGTCTGTAACCAGTGAGGATTGTGTGACACTGGTCCTCACTGTGTCTGCAACCGATGAGAATTGTGTGACACTGGTCCTCACTGTATCTGTAACCGGTGAAGATTGTGTGACACTGGTCCTCACTGTGCCTGTAACCAGTGAAGATTGTGTGACACTGGTCCTCACTGTGTCTGTAATCAGTGAAGATTGTGTGTCACTGGTCCTCACTTTGTCTAACCAGTGAAGATTGTGTGTCAAAAAGAGTGGACTTTAAAACATCCAAAACTAGGATGTTTTAAAGTCCACTCTTTTCTACATTGTTTAAACTTCTTCCTTTTGTCTCTTAAAGGAGCTCCAAAAACATATCAAACTAAATGTGTGTGACTCACTTGATGGGCGCCGCGGCGGCTGTGGACGACGCAGACGAGCCGCTGGAAGTACCAAACTTTTCCTGTCGCCGCCGAACGTCTCGCGGCGGTTTGGCGACTGAATTCACAAACGCCAATTTCACCTGTCGCACTGTGGAAAACAAAGGTTCAGATCCATCCAAGCTATTATCAGATACAAACCTGTAACTCCGCCCCTTCTGTCTAAAAACTCTATGATGTCATTGTATCACTATGACATCACACTCAGAGCCGTTATTATCACTATTTTATCACTATTTTTTCAACACGTAAGCGAGGACCGGGGGAGCCCTCGTGCCCAGATGGGACGGCACCTGCGGGGTATACTCTTGACAGCTGGAACAAGTGGAAGCCCCTTTGTCTGTCGGTCCTGTCTATTGAAGATTTAGAAGGGTTTGGAGCGGTCCTTTTCTATCTCAAATTTGGAGGCATGGCTGCTCATAAGATTCCCGAGCTGCTGTCCAACAAAATTGAGTAGATGTACAAGGAGTTGAGCCGTGTTGTGGTTGAGAGCGCCATGACCGGACAGAGGAGAGTTGTGCTAATTGAGCAGTTGCTTAAAGACCTCGCAACACGCTCGCTCGAAGGACATAAGACATGAGGCTGAATGACATTGTCTGCCAGGCTTGAACTCTCTGACCCGGCATGGATAAGCCCCTGTGTACGGAGGTTCTGAGGGCGCCGCAATTCAAATTATAAATTTGAATTACAAATATAAATTGTCCCTCTCAAGGCGATGTGTTTTCCCTTTTGCTGTGGCTGTCTCTACTCTTATCTCACATTCCTCTGGCCAAGGCCAATGATAAACTGGTCCATTCTACAACAACACCAGCTCCAGCACGGATCCCCCTCTCCCCGCCTCCCTCTACCTCTCCATCTTCTCTCCCTCCCTCCCTCTCACTCCCTATTGTCCTTCAGGCTTACCCCCTCCCTCACCCTGCCCCCCCCTCTGATAGCCACATTGGCCGGCAGTCGGAGGTGCTCATCCCAAGAAAACAAATCCGTGTTTTATACAAAGCACACAGTCTATCCAATTGTCTGTGAAACTGTGTGTTATTGCTCTCTGCTGTTTCTTGCTTGCATACAGCGCCGCAAATGGCGAAGTGGCCCTTCGCCATTTGAGATCGCGGATACAAGCGGTCGAAATGAGCTTCCACACCGAAGTGTGTGTGGATAGGGAAGTCTGCCAAAACAATTTCCAAGTGGTAACTTTTGTTTGTTACTTACGTGACAATAAAAATGATTCTGATTCTGATATTAGTACTATTATCACTATTAGTGATAATAGTGATGTTGTCCTGTTGGCTCCAACGAACCAGGACCTGCAACATGCACTGGGACGGTTGGCAGCCGAGTGTGAAGCACCAGCAAATCTGAGGCCATGGTGCTCGACCGGAAAAAGGTGCCGTGCCCTCTCCAGGTGGGTGGAGAGGTCCTTCCTCAAGTGGAGGAGTCCAAGTATCTTGGGGTCTTGTTTACGAGTGAGGGAAGGATGAGGCGTGAGATTGACAGGCGGATCAGTGCAGCGTGCGCAGTGATGCGGTCGCTGTATTGGACCGTTGTGGTGAAGAGGGAGCAGCGTCTGCAGTCAGAGCTGTATCAGACCGTTGTGGTAAAGAGGGAGCAGCGTCTGCAGTCAGAGCTGTATCGGACCGTCGTGGTGAAGAGGGAGCTGAGCCGAAAGGCGAAGCTCTCTATTTACCGGTCAATCTTCGTTCCCTCCCTCACCTATGGTCATGAGCTTTGGGTAATGACCGAAAGAACGAGATCGCGGATACAAGCGGTCGAAATGAGCTTCCACACCGAAGTGTGTGTGGATAGGGAAGTCTGGGCGTCTCTGCTTAGACTGCTGCCCCCGCGACCCAGCAACGGATGAAGCGGAAGAAAATGGATGGATGGATTACTATTATTACACATGAATTAGTTTTGGAAATATCTCAGGTGAAACGACGTTCTTTACAATCATTTGGAAAAACGAATTGAACTCCTCCCTCTGGTGGCAGCACAGGGCATTACATGCAGTAAACGGTTTTTACCTTCATTTGTTTCACCATTCATTTTCCACTTAAGATAATATTTCACATTCTAAATAATAATAATAATAAACCACACTAATGTGTGATATTGCTTTTTGGACACTTTACAAAGAGACAGGTTAAAGACACAGCAACAACAACACTTATTTCTTCTTTCTTCAATTCGCCAGTTTGAATATTGAGATTATTATTTCTCCTCGCTCTTTAAGAGTTTCACTAAAACCTCGTCGTTCTCATCACAGACGGAGCCTGAAATATTGTTCCATTAAAATCAGAATATGTTAGATAGAAATGACTCTTCACAGGCGCCATCTAGTGGACACGGTCTGAGAGACAGGTCTTTCTTGTGTTTAATGATAACATTTATATTCTCTGTAATTCAGGATTTGCATGAAATGTTTCCAGTTAACTATAAATAAATCTGATCTAATCTAAGTGTAAAGTGCTTTGGTCTGTGATGGCGCTACAGAAATAAACCAGACTAATACAGCAGATGTATCCACAGCCTGTGACCTCCTCTCTAACATGGGTCATATACAGCAGTGGTTCCCAAAGTGGGGGTCCCGACCCCCCGGGGGGTCGCGGGATCCCATCGTGGGGGTCGCGAGATGATAAAAAAAAACAAAAAAAAGTTAATTTTTGCAATTGATTTAATTTAATATTACTACTTGTTAAATTGTGTTTGGAGAAGACATGATACAAATATATAGTATTTTAAATAAATCTGTAATTCCCAAACATTTTGAGATTGACAGCGTCAATCAAAATCAAGTTACGTGCGGCGGGAAACGTACATGTTGTTTGCTAACGCTATTTAGTTTTACGAGGCTACAAACTACAAAATATTCCTGCTTTACAATGAAACGGTGGTTAATATCCAAAACAGAAAAACCCAGAGGGGTAGAAAAGTGTCAGGTGCCAGAGGCCGATGGTGAGAAGACAGCGGAGAACAGTGAGGGCGACCCGCAAGAAATGCCCTCCACCTCTGCTAAGGGGGGAGCCAGCCAAGACCATCAGTCGTACCCGGCTTACTCCAAAACAAGGAAGTACCGAGAAGAATTCATTAATTATGGATTTGTGTGTCTCGTCGTAAACGGAGTACAACATCCCCAGTGTGTAGTTTGCTCTGAAGTCCTCGCTCACAAAAGTCTCAAGCCTGTAAAAATGCAAAGACATCTGAACACGAAGCATCCCAATCTCGCTGCTAAACCTCTCGAGTTTTTCCGCAGAAAAGAGGGAGAGCTAAGAGGGCAAAAGAAACTCCTAACTACGCAAATAACAATCCCTGCTAAAGCTCAGAGGGCTTCCTACGAAGTGGCATATGTAATTGCACGGACCAAAAAGCCTCACACAATAGGTGAATCTTTAATTAAACCAGCGGCAATAGCCATGAGTCGCATTATGCACGGGGATAAGCAAGCCGCGGAGCTTGAACAGGTGCCTCTCTCAGATGGGACTATTGGCCGCCGCATCAGTGACATGGCACTGGACATCAAACGTCAAATCATTGACGCAGTGAAGGGAGGGAAGTATTCCTTACAATTGGACGAGTCCACTGACGTCTCCAATACCGCCCAGCTCCTTGTTTTTGTTCGGTACATTTTTGAGGGAAAGTTTAGTGAGGAAATGCTGTTTTGCTTGCAGCTGGAGGGAACTTGCACTGGCGAAGACATTTTTACAAACTGAATGGCAATCTCAAAAAAGAGGGTCTCTCTTGGAACGAGTGCGTGTCAGTGTGCACAGATGGTGCAGGTGCAATGCTCGGGAAAAACAGGGGTTTGAAAGCACGAGTCCTGCAAGTGGCACCACATGTCATATTTACGCACTGCATCATACACAGAGAAGCCCTCGCAAGTAAATCACTGAACCCTGAGTTAAAACACGTCCTTGACACTGCAGTAAAAATGGTCAATCATTAAATCACGACCACTGAACACACGACTATTTTCAACTCTCTGCAACAAAATGGGGTCAGAGCACCAGGGCCTGCTGCTCCACACAGAAGTCCGCTGGCTTTCGCGGGGCAATGTGCTGAGCCGTCTGTATGAGCTGCGTGATGAGGTGCGCATTTTCCTCACTGACCAAAGATCTCCTCTTGCAGAGCACCTCACTGATCCAGGCTGGATTTCAAAACTGGCATATTTGTCATCAATATTTGGAAAACTAAACGGACTGAACATGTCACTGCAGGGCGAGAACACAACCATCCTGTCTCTCAATGATAAGATCGAGGCCTTTGTGCGTAAAATTGAGCGCTGGATAGCGCGGGTGGAAATGGGGCGCATTGACATGTTTGCCAAATTAGAAGAATTCCTGGAAGAAAATACACTGAATGCAAATATTGTCCGGGACTCAATTACTGGCCATCTCCAATCCCTTCGAGATCATTTTTACAAGTACTTTCCCAAAGAAGGTACGCAGGAAAAACACGATTGGATTTGATCCCCTTTCACTGCCACCGCAAACCATCTGCCGTGTGACATGGAGGACGCACTGATTGAACTTTCATCCGATCAAACCCTGAAGACACTTTTTCCCTCAAAAACGCTGGACGAGTTCTGGATTTTGGTGAAGGATGAGTACCCGCAGCTTTCCAAGGCCGCTCTAGAAGCACTGATGCCATTTGGATCAACCTATTTATGCGAAAAGACTTTTTCTGCACTGACTTACATAAAAAATAAACAAAGATCATGTCTTAACGTGGAAGATGATCTCCGTGTCGCCATCTCCAAAACTAAACCCAGACTGGATCTGCTTTGCTCAGCGCACAGTGCGCACCCATCACATTAGAGTAATAATGCTGTCTGACCGTCTAGTTTTGCCAGCAAGTTTTTGTGTTCATTTGCTTTTTGTTCTTTTTTGATGTTCACAGTTGGCACTGATTTTGCGCATAAAACAATAAAATACAGCTTCGTATGCTTGTATGCTGAGAGAGTTGAATAAAATCGATTTGCCTTACATTTCACGCGACAGGAAGGCTGTTGAGGTGGGTTGGGGGAGATGGGGGATCAATCATGAGTTCATATGCATCATATAAATCAACAGGACCTACAGAGCGGCTTATTCACAATTTGTTTGGCAACAGCAGAATATGTTTTTCTGTCTGCATAGCTTGCTCATACAACACGCAAAAGTTTGTAAAAAGCACATTTCAAGTGTGTGTATGGGCCTTACCTTAGTTATTAATGAAGTCCAGTTCAGACCAGTTTCATGTTTAAGTCCAGATAATAGATATGTAATCCTCCATTTGGAAATAAGTCCAATGAGTTTACAAAAGTAAAACAAACGGGTGTATCCTCCATAAACTCACTGCAGCCGACTCTCGGATAAATCCAAATTCTAAAATCAACCTTCTTACCCTTCACCACTTTTTCTTATAATTCATATAATCATTGGAAGCATAACATTACCCTAAGTGCATTTTAAATTATCTTAAAATGTATTATAGGTTTGTTAGCCAAACCTGTAGCTGCCCTGAGCAGAAGAACAACAAAAAAGGAGCTTTCTGATGGAATTGAATGCAACCAAATGTTGGGCTCACACACTTCCCCCTGAGGCTTTCCTCACTTACAAGCTGTGGTTGAGCGCGATTAAGACCCATATATGCTTCAAAAACACAATTTATGAGCCATCGTCTTAACTGTAAACATGTTGACTGTAAATTACTTATGTTTGAACTTCTTAAACTGTGATAAACAGAGAAAACATTTTGATAGCACCTCACAGGACTCTCCCTGTGAGCTGTCGTTTTTACGTTTCCCAAGAGAGGCCCGCCTCACAGCGCCGCTCTGTCAAATCTGCGATTTCAAGGTATAGATAAATGAATTAAGAAAAAGTTACATTGAAATAATACACAGCACAAATCACTTTATATAGTGACCGCAAGTATCCATTGTATTATTTTTCTTTCTGATCTGAGGTGAGGCTGGGCCTTACTGGCCTCATCTGACCGCACGTCCCCACAATACTTTGAAAAAAACAATGTTCAGTTTGATAAGTGCCTTGCTTGATTTATATTGTTTCATTTTCGTTTTCTTAACAATTAAGATGCTATGTTATTATCTAGTGTAATCCATGTATGAGTCTCTCCCTCGACTCTCCAAACAAAAATCCGCCCCCCCTCTCGGAAAATAGTTCCGACGTCCGTGTGGGGGGTCGCGGGGGAGTAGCGCATGTATGATGGGGGTCGCGGGCTAAAAACTTTGGGAACCCCTGATATACAGAACCACGTACCTATGTATCTGTACCTGTGTGTCTGTACCTGTGTGTCGTACCTGTGTCTGTGCCTGTGTGTCTTACCTTTGGGCTTGTTGGCGTGTGGGTCTGTACCTGTGTCTGTGCCTGTGTGTCGTACCTTTGGGCTTGTTGGCGTGTGTGTCTGTACCTGTGTCTGTGCCTGTGTGTTGTACCTTTGGACTTGTTGGCGTGTGTGTCTGTACCTGTGTATCTGTACCTGTGTGTCTGTACCTGTGAGTCGTACCTTTGGGCTTGTTTGCGTGTGCAGAGGAGATGCGTGTCTGTACCTGTGAGTCGTACCTTTGGGCTTGTTGGCGTGGGCAGAGGAGATGTTGTGTGTCTGTACCTGTGAGTCGTACCTTTGGGCGAGTTGGCGTGTACAGAGTAGATCTTGTGTGTCTGTACCTGTGAGTCGTACCTTTGGGCTTGTTTGCTTGTGCAGAGATGTTGTGTGTCTGTACCTGTGTGTCTGTACCTGTGAGTCGTACCTGTGTCTGTACCTGTGAGTCGTACCTTTGGGCTTGTTGGCGTGGGCAGAGGAGATGCGTGTCTGTACCTGTGAGTCGTACCTTTGGGCTTGTTTGCGTGGGCAGAGGAGATGCGTGTCTGTACCTGTGAGTCGTACCTTTGGGCTTGTTTGCGTGGGCAGAGGAGATGTGTGTCTGTACCTGTGTGTCTGTAACTGAGTCGTACCTTTGGGCTTGTTGGCGTGGGCAGAGGAGATGTGTGTCTGTACCTGTGAGTCGTACTTTTGGGCTTGTTTGCGTGTGCAGAGAAGATGTGTGTCTGTACCTGTGACTGTACCTGTGAGTCATACCGTTGGGCTTGTTTGCGCGGGCAGAGGAGATGTGTGTCTGTACTTGTGTCTGTACCTGTGAGTCGTACCTTTGGGCTTGTTTGCGCGGGCAGAGGAGATGTGTGTCTGTACCTGCGAGTCGTACCTTTGGGCTTGTTGGCGTGTGCAGAGGAGATGTGTGTCTGTACCTGTGTGTCTGTACCTGTGAGTCGTACCTTTGGGCTTGTTTGCGTGTGCAGAGGAGATATTGTGTGTCTGTACCTGTGAGTCGTACCTTTGGGCTTGTTTGCGTGTGCAGAGGAGATGTTGTGTGTCTGTACCCGTGAGTCATACCTTTGGGCTTGTTTGCGTGTGCAGAGGAGATGTTGTGTGTCTGTACCGGTGAGTCGTACCTTTGGGCTTGTTTGCGTGTGCAGAGGAGATGTTGTGTGTCTGTACCGGTGTCTGTACCTGTGAGTCGTACCTTTGGGCTTGTTGGCATGTGCAGAGGAGATGTGTGTCTGTACCTGTGAGTCGTACCTTTGGGCTTGTTTGCGTGGGCAGAGGAGATGCGTGTCTGTACCTGTGAGTCGTACCTTTGGGCTTGTTTGCGTGGGCAGAGGAGATGTGTGTCTGTACCTGTGTGTCTGTAACTGAGTCGTACCTTTGGGCTTGTTGGGTGGGCAGAGGAGATGTGTGTCTGTACCTGTGAGTCGTACTTTGGCTTGTTTGCGTGTGCAGAGAAGATGTGTGTCTGTACCTGTGACTGTACCTGTGAGTCATACCGTTGGGCTTGTTTGCGCGGGCAGAGGAGATGTGTGTCTGTACTTGTGTCTGTACCTGTGAGTCGTACCTTTGGGCTTGTTTGCGCGGGCAGAGGAGATGTGTGTCTGTACCTGCGAGTCGTACCTTTGGGCTTGTTGGCGTGTGCAGAGGAGATGTGTGTCTGTACCTGTGTGTCTGTACCTGTGAGTCGTACCTTTGGGCTTGTTTGCGTGTGCAGAGGAGATATTGTGTGTCTGTACCTGTGAGTCGTACCTTTGGGCTTGTTTTGCGTGTGCAGAGGAGATGTTGTGTGTCTGTACCCGTGAGTCGTACCTTTGGGCTTGTTTGCGTGTGCAGAGGAGATGTTGTGTGTCTGTACCGGTGAGTCGTACCTTTGGGCTTGTTTGCGTGTGCAGAGGAGATGTTGTGTGTCTGTACCGGTGTCTGTACCTGTGAGTCGTACCTTTGGGCTTGTTGGCATGTGCAGAGGAGATGTGTGTCTGTACCTGTGAGTCGTACCTTTGGGCTTGTTTGCGTGGGCAGAGGAGATGCGTGTCTGTACCTGTGAGTCGTACCTTTGGGCTTGTTTGCGTGTGCAGAGGAGATGTGTGTCTGTACCTGTGTGTCTGTACCTGTGAGTCGTACCTTTGGGCTTGTTTGCGTGTGCAGAGGAGATATTGTGTGTCTGTACCTGTGAGTCGTACCTTTGGGCTTGTTTGCGTGTGCAGAGGAGATGTTGTGTGTCTGTACCTGTGAGTCGTACCTTTGGGCTTGTTTGCGCGGGCAGAGGAGATGTGTGTCTGTACCTGCGAGTCGTACCTTTGGGCTTGTTGGCGTGTGCAGAGGAGATGTGTGTCTGTACCTGTGTGTCTGTACCTGTGAGTCGTACCTTTGGGCTTGTTTGCGTGTGCAGAGGAGATATTGTGTGTCTGTACCTGTGAGTCGTACCTTTGGGCTTGTTTGCGTGTGCAGAGGAGATGTTGTGTGTTGTACCCGTGAGTCGTACCTTTGGGCTTGTTTGCGTGTGCAGAGGAGATGTTGTGTGTCTGTACCGGTGAGTCGTACCTTTGGGCTTGTTTGCGTGTGCAGAGGAGATGTTGTGTGTCTGTACCGGTGTCTGTACCTGTGAGTCGTACCTTTGGGCTTGTTGGCATGTGCAGAGGAGATGTGTGTCTGTACCTGTGTGTCTGTACCTGTGAGTCATACCTTTGGGCTTGTTGGCATGTGCAGAGGAGATGTGTGTCTGTACCTGTGAGTCGTACCTTTGGGCTTGTTTGCGTGGGCAGAGGAGATGCGTGTCTGTACCTGTGAGTCGTACCTTTGGGCTTGTTTGCGTGGGCAGAGGAGATGCGTGTCTGTACCTGTGAGTCGTACCTTTGGGCTTGTTTGCGTGGGCAGAGGAGATGGGTGTCTGTACCTGTGTGTCTGTAACTGAGTCGTACCTTTGGGCTTGTTGGCGTGGGCAGAGGAGATGTGTGTCTGTACCTGTGAGTCGTACTTTTGGGCTTGTTTGCGTGTGCAGATAAGATGTGTGTCTGTACCTGTGAGTCGTACCTTTGGGCTTGTTTGCGTGTGCAGATAAGATGTGTGTCTGTACCTGTGAGTCGTACCTTTGGGCTTGTTTGCGTGTGCAGAGGAGATGTGTGTCTGTAACTGAGTTGTACCTTTGGGCTTGTTGGCGTGGGCAGAGGACATGTGTGTCTGTACCTGTGAGTCGTACTTTTGGGCTTGTTTGCGTGTGCAGAGAAGATGTGTGTCTGTACTTGTGAGTCGTACCTTTGGGCTTGTTTGCGTGTGCAGAGGAGATATGTGTCTGTACCTGCGTCTGTACCTGTGAGTCGTACCTTTGGGCTTGTTTGCGTGTGCAGAGGAGATGTTGTGTGTCTGTACCTGTGAGTAGTACCTTTGGGCTTGTTTGCGTGTGCAGAGGAGATGTGTGTCTGTACCTGTGAGTCGTACCTTTGGGCTTGTTTGCGTGTGCAGAGGAGATGTTGTGTGTCTGTACCTGTGAGTAGTACCTTTGGGCTTGTTTGCGTGTGCAGAGGAGATGTGTGTCTGTACCTGTGAGTCGTACCTTTGGGCTTGTTTGCATGTGCAGATGAGATGTTGTGTGTCCGTACCTGTGTCTGTACCTGTGAGTCGTACCTTTGGGCTTGTTTGCGTTTGCAGAGATGTGTGTCTGTACCTGTGAGTCGTACCTTTGGGCTTGTTTGTGTGTGCAGAGGAGATGTGTGTCTGTACCTGTGAGTCGTACCTTTGGGCTTGTTTGCATGTGCAGAGGAGATGTGTGTCTGTACCTGTGTCTGTACCTGTGAGTCGTACCTTTGGGCTTGTTTGCGTGTGCAGAGGAGATGTTGCGTGTCTGTACCTGTGAGTCATACCTTTGGGCTTGTTTGCGTGTGCAGAGGAGATGTGTGTCTGTACCTGTGAGTCGTACCTTTGGGCTTGTTTGCGTGTGCAGATGAGATGCTGTGTGTCTGTACCTGTGAGTCATACCTTTGGGCTTGTTTGCGTTTGCAGAGGAGATGTGTGTCTGTACCTGTGAGTCGTACGTTTGGGCTTGTTTGCGTGTGCAGAGGAGATGTGTGTCTGTACCTGTGAGTCGTACCTTTGCGCTTGTTTGCGTTTGCAGAGGAGATGTGTGTCTGTACCTGTGAGTCGTACTTTGGGCTTGTTTGCGTGTGCAGATGAGATGCTGTGTGTCTGTACCTGTGTCTGTACCTGTTAGTCGTACCTTTGGGCTTGTTTGCGTTTGCAGAGGAGATGTGTGTCTGTACCTGTGAGTCGTACGTTTGGGCTTGTTTGCGTGTGCAGAGGAGATGTGTGTCTGTACCTGTGAGTCGTACCTTTGCGCTTGTTTGCGTTTGCAGAGGAGATGTGTGTCTGTACCTGTGAGTCGTACCTTTGGGCTTGTTTGCGTGTGCAGATGAGATGCTGTGTGTCTGTACCTGTGTCTGTACCTGTGAGTCGTACCTTTGGGCTTGTTTGCGTTTGCAGAGGAGATGTGTGTCTGTACCTGTGAGTCGTACCTTTGGGCTTGTTTGCGTTTGCAGAGGAGATGTGTGTCTGTACCTGTGTCTGTACCTGTGAGTCGTACCTTTGGGCTTGTTTGCGTGTGCAGAGGAGATGTTGTGTGTCAGCCTCTTCAGTCTCTCCTCTCGCTCCTCGTGAAGTCTCAGGTACATCTCTCTCCAGGACTCGAACTCCTGCGGCTGCTCTCGCTTAAAGTCCCGACGGCAGTGACGCAGCCACAGCTCGTCCGAGTCCTCCATGAACCACTGAACACATATATATACACATTATATATAACATAATATATACATTATATATAACATAATATATACATTATATATAACATAATATATACATTATATATAACATAATATATACATTATATATACATTATCTAACACAGCTCGTCCGAGTCCTCCGTGAATCACTGAACACATATACATTATATATATAACACATTATATATGTAATGTACGCAATGTGTTATATATATAATGTATATGTGTTGTATAGAGTGTGTTATATATAATGTGTATTATGTGTTATATATAATGTATATGTGTTGTATATAATGTATATGTGTTGTATATAATGTATATGTGTTGTATATAATGTGTATGTGTTGTATATAATGTGTTATATATAATGTATGTGTTGTATAAAATGTATATGTGTTGTATATAATGTGTATGTGTTGTATATAATGTGTTATATATAATGTATATGTGTTATATATAATGTGTAATATATAATGTGTATTATGTGTTATATATAATGTATATTATGTGTTATATATAATGTATATGTGTTGTATATAATGTATATGTGTTATATATAATGTATATGTGTTATATATAATGTATATAATGTCCGTCCGTCCGTCCATTTTCTTCCGCTTTATCCGTTGCCGGGTCGCGGGGGCAGCAGTCTAAGCAGAGACGCCCAGACTTCCCTATCCACACACTTCCTCCAGCTCATCCGGGGGGACCCCAAGGCGTTCCCAGGCCAGCTGAGAGACATAGTCCCTCCAGCGTGTCCTGGGTCTTCCCCGGGGCCTCCTCCCGGTGGGACGTGCCCGGAACACCTCCCCAGGGAGGCGTCCAGGAGGCATCCGGAACAGATGCCCGAGCCACCTCAACTGGTTCCTCTCGACGTGGAGTAGCAGCAGCTCTACTCCGAGCTCCTCCCGTGTGACTGAGCTCCTCACCCTATCTCTAAGGGAGCAGCCACTCTGCGGAGGAAGCTCATTTTGACCGCTTGTATCCGCGATCTCGTTCTTTTGGTCATTACCCAAAGTTCATGACCATAGGTGAGGGAGGGAACGAAGATTGACCGGTAAATTGAGAGCTTTGCCTTTCGGGTCAGCTCCCTCTTTACCACAACGGTCCGATACAGCTCTGACTGCAGACGCTGCTCCCTCTTCACCACAACGGTCCGATACAGCTCTGACTGCAGACGCTGCTCCCTCTTTACCACAACGGTCCGATACAGCGACCGCATCACCGCTGCACCGATCCGCCTGTCAATCTCACGCTCCATCCTTCCCTCACTCGTGAACAAGACCCCGAAATACTTGAACTCCTCCACTTGAGGAAGGACCTCTCCACCCACCTGCAGAGGGCAAGGCACCTTTTTCCGGTCGAGCACCATGGCCTCGGATTTGGAGGTGCTGATTCTCATCCCAGCCGCTTCACACTCGGCTGCAAACCGCTCCAGTGCATGCTGCAGGTCCTGGTTCGTTGGAGCCAACAGGACAACATCGTCCGCAAACAGCAGAGATGAAATCCTGTGGTCCCCGAACCGGACCCCCTCCGGCCCCTGGCTGCGCCTAGAAATTCTGTCCATGAATACAGTGAACAGAACCGGTGACAAAGGGCAGCCCTGGCGGAGGCCAACATGCACCGGGAACAGGTCTGACTTAATGCCGGCAATGCGAACACAGCTCTGGCTCCGGTCATACAGGGACCGAACAGCCCTCAGCAGAGGACCCCGGACCCCGGACCCCGTACTCCCGGAGAACCCCCCAAAGAACACCCCGGGGAACACGGTCGAACGCCTTCTCCAAATCCACAAAGTACATGTGGACAGGTTGGGCGAACTCCCATGAACCCTCGAGTATCCGATGGAGAGCATAGAGCTGGTCCAGTGTTCCACGGCCGGGACAAAAACCACACTGCTCCTCCTGAATCCGAGATTCGACCATTGGCCGTAACCTCCTCTCCACTACCTTGGAGTAAACCTTACCAGGGAGGCTGAGGAGTGTGATCCCACGATAATTGGAACACACCCTCCGGTCCCCCTTCTTATAGAGAGGGACCAACACCCGGGTCTGCCACTCCATCGGCACCGCCCCCGATTGCCACGCGATGTTGCAGAGACGTGTCAGCCAAGACAGTCCCACAACATCCAGAGACTTTAGATAGTCAGGACGGATCTCATCCACTCCCGGCGCCTTGCCACCAAGGAGGCTGCCAACCACCTTGGTGACCTCCGCCAGGGAGATGGCCCATGTGGGAAACGTCCCACAACATCTTCAGCCTCTGCCTCCGGGACGGAGGACGTGACGGGGGGGTTGAGGAGAACCTCAAAGTATTCCTTCCACCGCCCGACAATATCCCCAGTCGAGGTCAGCAGCTCTCCACCCGCACCGTACACGGTGTTGGCAAAGCACTGCTTCCCCCTCCTGAGGCACCGGACGGTTTGCCAGAATCTCTTCGAGGCCGACCGATAGTCCTGCTCCATGGAGTCTCCAAACTCCTCCCAGTCCCGGGTTTTTGCCTCTGCAACAACCCGGGCCGCGGCACGCTTGGCCTGCCGGTACTGGACAGCTGCCTCAGGAGTCCCCCGAACCATCATGGCTCGATAGGACTCCTTCAGCCTGACGGCATCCCTTACTGCCGGTGTCCACCACCGGGACCAGCACCAGAGACCTTGCGACCACAGCTACGAGCTGCCGCATCGGCGATAGAGGAAGAGAACATGGTCCACTCAGACTCAATGTCCCCCTCCTCTGCCGGGACCTGGGAGAAGCTCTCCCGGAAGTGTGAGTTGAAAGTCCGTCTAACAGGGGGCTCAGCGAGACGTTCCCAGCAGACCCTCACTACACGCTTGGGCCTGCCAGGTCTGACCGGCTTCCTCCCCTGTCAGCGGATCCAACTCACAACCAGGTGGTGATCGGTTGACAGCTCCGCCCCTCTCTTCACCCAAGTGTCCGAGACACGCGGTCGAAGGTCAGATGATACAACAACAAAGTCGATCATCAACCTCCGGCCTAGGGTGTCCTGGTGCCACGTGCACTGGTGGACACCCTTGTGCTCAAACATGGTGTTCGTGATGGACAAACCGTGACTAGCACAGAAGTCCAACAACTGAACACCGCTCGGGTTCAGATCAGGGGGGCCGTTCTTCCCTATCACCCCTCTCCAAGTGTCACTGGCGTTTCCCACATGGGCGTTGAAGTCCCCCAGGAGAATAACGGAGTCCCCGGGCGGTGCAGTACACCTCCCAAGGACTCCAAGAAGGCCGGGTACTCTACACTGCTATTAGGCCCGTAGGCCGTCACAACCGTGAGAGACTTGTCCCCCACCCGAAGGCGGAGGGACGCGACCCTCTCATTCACCGGGGAGAACTCCAACACGTGGCGGCTGAGATGGGGGGCAATGAGAATGGCCACCCCAGCTCGCCGCCTCTCCCCGCGAGAGACACCAGAAAAGTGGAGCGTCCAACCCCTCTCAAGGAGTTGGGTTCCAGAGCCCAAGCTGTGTGTGGAGGTGAGGCCGACTATCTCTAGTCGGTATCGCTCGACCTCCCCCACGAGCTCTGGCTCCTTCCCCCCCAGCGAGGTGACGTTCCACGTCCCAAGAGCCAGATGTGTGAGCGGACTGGGTCGCCGAGGTCTCCTCCTTCGGCTGCTGCCCAGTCCTGTATAGAATGTGTTATATATAATGTGTATTATGTGTTATATATAATGTATATGTGTTATATATAATGTGTTATACAGTGCATCTGTAAAGTATTTACAGTGCTTCACTGTTTCCACATTTTGTTATGGTACAGCCTTATTCCAAAATGGATTCATTTTTTTCCTCACAATTCTACACAACACTCCATAATGACAACATGAAAAAAGTTTTTTGAGATTCTTGCAAATGTATTAAATAAAAACTGAGAAAGCTCATGTACATAAGTATTCACAGCCTTTGCTTAATACTTTGTTGATGCACGTTTGGAGCAATTACAGCCTCAAGTCTTTTTGACTATGATGCCACAAGCTTGGCACACCTGTCTTTGGGCAGTTTTGGCCCATTCCTCTTTGCAGCACCTCTCAAGCTCCATCCAGTTGGATGGGGAGTGCCGGTGCACAGCCATTTTCAGATCTCTCCAGAGATGTTCAGTTGGATTCAAGTCTGGGCTCTGGGCCACTCAAGGACATTCACAGAGTTGTCCTTAAGCCACTTCTTTGTTATCGTGGCTGTGCTTAGGGTCGTTGTCCTGCTGAAAGATGAACCGTCGCCCCAGTCTGAGGTCAAGAGCTCTGGAGCAGGTTTTCATCCAGGATGTCTCTGTACATTGCTGCATTCATCTTTCCCTCTATCTTGACTTGTCTCCCAGTTCCTGGCGCTGAAAAACATCCCCACAGCATGATGCTACCACCCCCATGCTTCACTGTAGGGATGGTATTGGCTCGGTGATGAGCAGTGCCTGGTTTCCTCCAAACATGACGCCTGGCATCAGACCAGAGAATGTTTTTACTCATGGTCAGAGAGTCCTTCAGGAGCCTTTTGGCAAACTCCAAACTAAGGAGCGGCTTCTGTCGGGCCACTCTACCACACAGGCCTGATTTGTGGATTGGTGCAGAGATGGTTGTCCTTCTGGAAGGTTCTCCTCTCTCCACAGAGGAACGCTGGATCTCTGACAAAGTGACCATGGGGTTCTTAGTCACCTCCCTGACTAAGGCCCTTCTCCCCCAATCGCTCAGTTTAGAGGCCGGCCAGCTCTAGGAAGAGTCCTGGTGGTTCTTCTTCCATTTACGGATGATGGAGGCCTCTGTGCTCATTGGGACCTTCAAAGGAGCAGAAATGTTTGTTTCTTCCCCAAACTTGTGCCTCGAGACAATCCTGTTTCAGAGGTCTTCAGGTGTATATACAGGTGTGTGCCTTTCTGTGTGACCTTATATATACACAGGTGTGTGTGCCTTTCTATGGGACCTTATACAGTGGGGCAAAAAAGTATTTAGTCTGCCACCGATTGTGCAAGTTCTCCCACT